CCCCCTCCCCTCCCCCGCGCCTCAGCCGACGAAACCGACCTCTCCGACTTCGACTTCCCCGACTACCCCGGCTTCACCTCCTCCGACACCGACGACGACTTCGACGCCCCGCGCGGGCGCTCCGCATCCGCATTCGACGACGGCGGCACGCTCCGGCGCAAGATGAACGGGACGGAACAGCTCACGATGCGCGCGCCGCGCAGGGCGCTCGTGGACGAGCGGCCCGCGAGCGCCGTCAGTGCGAGCGATGCGCGGCCGTTGAGCGCGGTGAGCGATAGCCGCCCGATGTCGTCGTGGGCGGACCACGGGCACGGATCGCACGCGCATTCGTTGTCCCAGACGCTCTCCGGCGCACCCTCGCCTTCGCTCGCGGCCGTGGCCAAACCGCATCCGGGTGCAATACCGCCTCCGCGCCCGCCCAGCACGACCTCGCACATCCGACACCCCCATCCTCATCCGCGCGCGATACCCGCATTACCGCACACGCCGACGTCGCCACAGCTCCCGTCGTCCGCGACGCCGACGAACAGCGCGTTCGCGCCGCCGCCGCATCCGCCGATCCCGCGGTCGGTGTCGCCGGAGATTGGCGGGGTCGTGAGAGGGCGGGAGATCTGGGCGCAGACGCAGCCGTTCGTCGTGCTCGATTCGCATGCGCCGAACGCTGTTCCTGCGCCTTCGCCCGCTGCGAGAAGGGCAAGCCAGAGTCCGAGTGTGGTGAGGAAGGCGAGTTCGAGTCAGAGTCCTGGGGTTGGGGTTGGGAGGAAGGGGAGTCGGAAGGAGAGGGAGAAGGAGGAGAAGGGTGTAGTGGAGAGGAAGAGCAGTGTTGTGTCGAGAAGGACGGGGCTGGATGCTGGATCGAGGGATGAGGGTGCGGGGAGAGCGAGTACAAGCTCGGAGGCTAGTACGGCGAGCAGGTCTACGACGACTGCTACTGTCACCGGTCCCAGTGCTAGCGCGACGCCACGGACGAGTTTCGCGAGTGAGGTTGAAGGCCAAGGACAAGGGACTAGCAAAATATCGTTCCCTACACCCTCCGCACTCGCACCGAGCAACTCGTTCTCGTCCGTCTCATCTGCCGCTTCATCATCTTCAACCACAGCCTCAGCCTCGACCTCAACATCACTCTCGCCCTTCCCCACCCGATTCCCAACAACGACCGAGCTCGCACCCGGGATCGAAACCCCCGCACCAGGCAACGGCGCCTCGGCTGGACTCAACGTAAATCGGCTGCCGAATAAGACTCTGGCGTTCGATTTGCAGAGTCTGAATTTGCATTTGAGTATTCGGGTTAGTGAATTGGTCGCGTGTAGGGAGGCAATGTGGGAGTGGCTTGTTAGGTGGCAGGAGAAGGAGCGGGAGAAGAGTGCGGGTGGCGGGGCAGGAGGAGGGGGAGGGTGGATCGAGGAGGAGTTGAGGGGGATGAGTAGGGCTGAGTTTGAGGGGTTGATCGCGCGGTTCGAGATGTACGTCGTTTCCTCTCCCGTACAGGTCTCTTCTTCTTGACTGACAGAATGCGCCACAGGGATATGCAAGACAACATCTCCCTCGACGCCCGTCTGGCGGGTACATTCGCCTGGCCGCGCCCTGCATCCATCGCGCGCACGCCCGAGCGCAAGCAGTTCGACGCCGCGTGCCAGAAATGGGCGGAACATGTTCGGAGCGTGCCGCTGGAGAGCCCGGAGAGGGCGGGTGAGAGGGCGAGGATGGGCGGGAGGATGAGTCGGACTATACGTGTGTTCTGCGCGTGGAAGTGAAGCGTCGGCTTCGTCTTCCCGTGGTCCTCTGTCGGTGCGCGACCGGCTCGCCCACCTTTTGCCAAAATGCCTTTTCTGGAGTATAATGTTTCGTGGATATGATCTTCGCTTTCATCTTGTGCCCATCCCTTTCACGCCCTTCACGCCATTATACCTCTCGATTCTCGTCACAGCACATTCTACACACTCACGCACACCCTACGTCCGCCCGTCAACTTCATCCTATCTGCAATGTTTGTGCAATTTCTTGTCCTGCTTAGATCTATCGTATACCTCCCCTTCCTATATATACACTCCATATATATCCGCGTTCTCTCTCGAGTCTCAACTTCGAATTCAGATGTCGCTCTTCGTGAGCTTGATGGGGATAGCGGTGATTTCGACTTTGCTCTTGAAGCCGGCGCGGAGGTCGGCGTGCTTCTCAGCCAGCGCGAGGTGTGCCTTCAGCCGTCACGGTCAGCAAACCGGCACGTTCAAACGAGGGATGAGCGCAACGCACCTCGGCCGTCTTCCATCCGATAACCAACGCGACCTGCCCGGGCTTCTCCGCAACACCAGCCCTCGCAGCCGCGCCGCTCTCCTCAGCACCCTTCAGCGCCTCAATCACCTCATCCAACTTCGCTTCAATTTCGGCAAGCTCGACGCCTTCTTTAGGCGCGATATACCACAGCTCGCTCAAAGGCGCCTCGAGCGCGGGCGTAGGATCGGACGTGAACGTCGCGTGTACAACGTCGATCTGGGGGTTGGAAAGGTCTGCGAATGTCGGTGCTAGACCGGCTTTGATGAGTTCGAACTCGGGGGAGGCGACGGAGGCTTGGTGGTCTTCGATCTTGTTCCATGCTGTCGACGGGCGCGACGATGAGCGAGGACAACATGAGAAGGGGCGCAAGGGTGGAGACGACGTACGGATGAAGCCGTAGAGTTTAGAGTCTTTGGTACCCAGACCGACCCAGAAGCTAAAGATCCATCAGATACTGTGTATATGTGAGCGACTGTGCGAAGACGTACGGATGGGGCGTCTTTGTGCGCAGAACGTTCAAGGCGCCGTCGACCTCATGGACGTCCTTCTGGTACGCCTCAGACGCAGGGAACGAGACGATCTCGACAGCTTTGCCGGCAAGAGACATGATACTTCAGGCAATGAGTGCTGAGTAGGCTGTGGATGGTGATGGGGGCTCCGAATATGTAGGAAGCCACGCGATGCGACTCGGAAATGCCAATTATCCACCTGGGTGATCGGTGCCACAACTCGTCCGGCTTCTTTGGTGCCGTGCCGATCAACTCATAAGTACTGCAGGTGGGTTCTCTCTGAGATGCCCTCACTCTTCACTAGTACTATGACCCACTTGCTCGGCGACATTGCCGAGGCCAGTTGATTGTGCGTACACAGCGACGACTGGCCACTCGGCGTATATAGGGTGCAGACATCAGATAGCCCAGAAAAAATGATATACAACTAGCGATACATGCAAATACAGATGTTGTTTTGAGTTGAGATCAGCCGTCTACTGCTTCTTCGAGAGGTAAGAGTAGTCGATGGCGATGTCGACCTTCTTGCCGATCTCGGCGAAGAAGTCCTCAGTGAGAACGGGCTCCTTGCGGAACGCCTGGTACTCCTACGCAAGTGGGTCAGTCGAGCCGATCGCAGTCATCAATGTGGAGAGCGGCGTACCTCCCAGCTTTTCCAGCCAACAAGGAAGAGCACCTTCTCCGGCTCCTCCTCGATCGTGCCAACCTGCGACCCAACGTTGACTGGCCTGCCGGAGATCTTCGCCTGGATGCTCTTGACGACCGCCTTCGCGTCGTCGAGCGTGTATCCCTCCTTCGGCGTGAACCTGACGATCTCAGTCACACCGGCATCGAACAGCTTCGTCGGGTCCTCCTCGAAGTGGATGTGCGCCATGTACATGCCCGGAGCTGCGGGGTTCGCGAAGGTGGGCTTGACTTTGCTTCCCAGGACGGCGTACTCGGGCGTCTTGGTGAAGGCGGTGTGCGAGTCGGTCTTGTCCCATGCTGCGAGGGAAGTATGTCAGCCATCGGAGGAGATGGTAAAGATCACAGTAGGAAGGGTATCGTACCGACGATGATACGCAGCTCGGGTTTGTCGACACCGATACCGCCGTAGATACTGCGGGCCACAGTTCAGTACACACATCGCCGTAGCGGAAAGGAGGACGTTACTCACGCATGCGGCGTCGCCTTCTTCATCGTCTCCCAGATGCCGTTCCCAATGCTCTGGTCCTTGACGTACTCCTCAGATGCAGGCCAGCTGCAGTACTCGTATGACTTCTCGTCCTTCTTCACCGCCGGCTTCGGCATCGCCGCGGCCATCATGGTAGCCCAGTTGGAGTTGGAAGCGGAGACAAGGCCGGCCATTGTCGTCTAGATGTATGAGGAAGAGAAAGGTTGGGTGGGGTATGTGTTTCAAGGGGTGATTCCTTGAGATATGAGGCGCAGAAAGTATACCGTATATATAGTAAGCGCTGCGGTCGACAAGAAGGCGTGTTTGTGAGGCTGACATAGCCCGAAGCTTTGCAGCGGAGATAGCCGTTGCATTCCGAGATGCCGAAGCAGAGGGCGTACCCATACCAGCACTCATCGAGTTGCGATCACCCTGTGGTATCTGTTGTAGTGCATTGAATATGGATCCAGAAGCAGCGCCAACGATGGTGGCGACCGAGAGCAAGACGCGTCGACGCCCTGAGCGCGACGCGGCTTCGTCTCCGAATGCCATCACCGTCGTTCGGCCTCACAAGCCAGCCGCGCTGCCGTTCACAGGCTGCCATCCTGGAATAGATCTTGCGTTGCTTGGTCATGGCAGTACGTTGGTTACGGAGGCGGCATGTGGAATGCTTCTGTATAGGCCACGTACAAGCGCCCTTGCATAAGCTCGGGGCTATGCTCAGCAAGAAGTTGAACCACGATCTGTCAGACTGTTGCTTGGGTCAGCAACTTCCTTCAGCAGATGATAGGGTAAGCGCATCGCATCTCAGATTCTGGTGAACCTGGTGTTATAGATACAGGATAGACGTAAGATACAGACGATGGACGTATGATGAGTGTACAATGAGAAGCAATGCTGGATGTGATCGGGTGTAAAGAGTATAATGAAGGAGTGTTGGGCGAGAAGTCCTGCTCAGCGATGATCCTAACGATGAGACTATGTACCTAACGGTCGAAGGAGGGGAGGACGGTATCTTGCCGTCAAAGACGGTCGTAAACGGTATGAAACATATATAAGGTCTACTTCCAGACGACCTCGATCACAAAGGGCGTTGTGAACAGCGAAGAGAGCGTCTTGACAAAAGACGGACGTTTGCTGGGAGGTTCCGGTGCGAGGGGTTCTTCTTCCTTCTTCGCCTCGGCGGCGATGTCGCCAATGTGCGTATGGATTGCAGCAAGGAGATCCCCGATGGTAACATCATCGCCGGCGCGCTCTTTTTCTGCTTCTTGACGAAAGGGCGGTTGGCTGCACAGATGTGAGTAACACTGGGCTGAGACACTGCGCTGAAGGACTCACGGAAGCGGTTGACCTGGAGCGGCAATCTTCTCACGTCCTTGAGCCGGACACGAGGATCTCTTCCGGACAACCTTGAGTTCTTGCCGGACATAGCCCTCAAGCGTCCGATCAAGAACTCTCTGTTCGGTCTGGCATCCAGATAATGTTACACCGGGTTCGTCTTTCCTGCGCGTGAAGGCCTCCTCTGCAAGTTGAGCGCTCCGTTCGCCTCGCGCCGAGACATAGCCGATGTTTACGCCCTCGTACCCTGCAAAGAATGGGTCAGATCGGATCAGACTCCTAGTCATTTATGGACGTACAGTCGATAGTTTGGACGATCTCTTCATACGCACTTAGGCGCATAGTGGTATAGTCGCCCTCTGTCCCGTTGGCAGACATGGATTTGCATGTTCGCGCACTGTTGGATGCAAGATCGAGCATAGTCTCGTGAAACCGGCCTGCTCAGTCGGGGAGAATAAGCAAAAGCGTAGCATCGATGAGACAGAAGAGACGTACCGAGGTAAGGTAAGCTCAGCTCGTCTTCGCCGTTGTCTCCCGTAAAGACAGTACGCTCAAGGTCGTCGATATGGCTCTGAGTCGTGCCCGGCGCCTTCTCGAATACAAGCACGTGCAGTCTGCGCATCGCGCGAATGGAGACATCGGGTAGAGGCTGGGATACGTGTTGATCAGTTCAGTTGATAATCAGCGAGCAGCTAGGGGACATACGACATGTTTGTATGCGTATTCGCTCAGCAAGAACACGAGCGCATGGGTAACCATTCGCAGCCCACTCCAATTGCGAATGCTCATGAGTGCGTTGGCGACCTTGATCCACATGAGCGTGACCTCCACCCGCCGAGCCGACGCCTTCTGCGAGACTATGGTGTCGAGTACCCACAGCGGAATTGCCTCGGTGAACTGCCTCTCGCGCAGGAAGGCGTTATCGACTCCATTTTGGCAGTCCTCGCAAAACATGCGGGGGATGGACGGGCTGGAGGTGACGTGCCGACACATATGAACGACAATGCTCTCGAAATCGATGCATCCATAGAGTCGCGCTTGTATGCAAGATATGACCCATGCGAGCTTCTCGGGGAAATAGACGAAGGCTCGGATGCCTTCGGCGGCAATATTGGAGATGATAGAGGACGCAGACATGCCAGCTGCATAGCCCTCGTGCAATTTGACTTTAGCTGGAAGCGGCAGAGCTCGTCGAGCCCAGTAGGCCTTCGCGTCTTCAGTGGCACGTTTTACGCGCTTTCCATAACCTTCTTCAAACCTATCAAAGAGGGTGTCGTCATAGCCAGTCGTTCCCGTCCTTCGTCGATCGTGACGAACGGCTGCGCGAAGTCCTGGCCCAGGTGCATATTTGCCTTGAGTAAGAGGTATTATGACTTTCTCAAGTCCATAACGAAGACGAGGCCATTGATCCAGAATGTCGGAATGGATCAGAGTCTTGATGCTCGGAGGTGCTTCAAGATCGACGCCTGTACCGTTGGCGTAGAGGCAATGCCAATCACGAACGGTATATATCAAACTTCGATGGAACTGAGCAAGAGAGATACCATCCGGTAGAGGGTCGGAAATATGTGGCGTAGCCAGGGCTCGAATGGCGCATTCCAGGAGGGGTTCAAGATGCTTGATGCGCACGTACAAGAAGAGAACGTCCTTGAGTTTCGCAGCTTCTAGAGAGCTGATTGGGTAGCTGCAGATCATCCACAGCACTGCGTGCATCGACACAAAATCTGGGCGGATTCGCTCGTCCGTTATCTGGTGGGGGATCCCTAGACTGCTGACGAAACACCGCGGCGCTCGATGCGTCGACGGCTGAGTGATCTTCATGAACGTCCGCTCGATATCGCGTGCAGTACACAATGATCCGTTTCGTACACGAGGGCAGGTTAAGAAGACGTAGCAGGCTTCTTCGGTAGATGATTCTGTTCGCAGTCGTAACACATCAGTATCGGAGAGAACGTAGATTCATCTGATTGAACGCACTTTCCAATGCTGTCCAGCTAGGTCGATCTTCTACATAGCACAGAGAGCACGGGCCACGGTGAAGTAGCGGGTTTCGGTCGGCGCAGGATAAAACTTCCTTGGCTTCACGACGCAATTCGGATACAACGAAAACAGCGCGAGCTACGTCCGCATGGGTGAGGCTCTCGGTATTGCTGAAGAGGCTGGCGAGGGGCTGGATGTGGTTATCTTTGAGTTTTGACCACTTCAAACGGGCGGCGTCGGTCTCTGCGATTATATCGTCGATTGAGCACCAGAGATCTTGTTCAACGGTCTGGTGGGCCTTGATTAGAAGCTCCAGACGAGCGCGCAAGGGAGGTGGGTCCTCGAAGAGTACGGAGTGGCGCAGAGCGGTGCAAGTGGTGGCAAATCCAGCAAGGATATAGATGAAACGGGGGTCTCCGTGAATGTGCTGTTCGAAGAAAGCGTGTACGCAGGCGTACGCATCCTCGATCGAGCCATTCCAGATGCTGTAGTCGCCGAGAGAAGACATCGAGGTGGAGGAGATCAACGTAGTTGAGGGTTGCAAGAGGAAGATGCGCGCTATACATTGTCAGAGCGGGACTGTGGTTATGCCCACGGACGCTCAGGTGAGGGGCGTGAGCCACACCGCTGCGCAATCGAGTGGTGGTCCCATTGTCGTACGGGGGTAAACCCACAACATAAGCTTTATTTGACCGTGTGGTTCAACACAATATATGGTCAATGGAAAGGTACGGCATCGTAGTGCCCTGCTCTTGTAGCGGCATCACCAGAGCGCGATGTCAATCTCGGCAACGTGGACGTTCAGAACAAAGACGCGTTGACGACGCGCCTGAGCGTGCGACGCGCCGCGATCCTCGCGTCGCGCCTCGTGGCACGCGTTTGAAGTTGGACGTCAACGACTGTCCTCCCTCACTCGATGGCTAAAGACCACGATGACTTCTTGAATACCGTCGAGGGCGAGATTACTTTCTTTCGCTCGCTGATGCGGGCCCGGCCTGTTGGCCTGCATAAACATTTCCATGCTTTGTCTATGCGCACGGCAATTCACCAGGATACTGGCCGTTACGTGACTCTGGACGCGATATGGGAGAAATTGAACGCGTTGTACAACTTGAAGGCTTTGGAGGATTTGGTGTGCATTGGTCAGCTTGTATTGCATTGACTCAAGGCTTACAAGGGCAGGACGCAGAAGGTTACGACTCCCCCGAAGGAGGTGGCACGCCACACGCCAGCATACCTACTCCAGACCCGGACCAGAACCTGAGCAATCACCCCTTCTTTCGTAAAGAATTCGAACTCCCACACGATCCCATAGTTGAGTCTGAACTTGCTAAACGCCGAATACGCTCCTCCCCCTCGCCATCACCGTCCTCCGCGCCGACACCGAGCGCTTCCGTGCCACGCAAGAAACGGGGCCGCCCACCCAAGGCGAAGAATAAGACCAAACTGGCTGGAGAGGAGAGTGATGCGAGCGAGTTGACGCAGTACACGCAGGAGGATGACGACGTGAGCATGGCGGACGCTCAGACCGAATCTGGAACAGTTGATGGCACAGAGGATGGAGAATCGCCAGGTACGTCCCAATGGGCTATATCCTTGTCATCTCAAGATAAACTGACTGGTTTTCAGGACCGTCTAGGAAACGCGCTGGGACTAAGAAGCCTCGCGGTCAGGGTGCACGGGGCCGCGGTGCTCGAGGAGGGACTTCCAAGAGCAAGAAGAAACGGTGATCGTCTTCGCCCTATGTATACCCTGACTTTGCTCTTCTATATGTTACTTCATGCTCTTGCTGGAACGTCTGTCTCTTCTATGATGACCTCCGAACACCAACTAGCTGCAGTGTACGTTCGGCTCAGCTCTCCCCGGCCTTACATTCCCAGCAACGTCCTGTGACATTCTGTGTGATTTCTTCTATGTATACGACACGAATCGGTGTGAGTGCACTCATCACGTCGCCGCGGAGTCTTGTCCGTCGACCTTGCTTCCTCAGGCCACGGCCGCGCAGATATGATGCCGCGCGACGCGTCGTCGCTCGGCAAGGTATGATGGTTGGTGAAGCGTGTCAAGAATCAACCCCGCACTGTAGGACCTGAGAATGCTTAAAGGGCGCGCTCTCTCGCCATATACGCACACATCATCCATACGCAGTTCGCCCACAATGACTTGCGCTTACACCGCTTTGATGAAGCAAAGCTCGCCTTCGAGGCCGACCTGGACACCGGACGAGATTCCTGATCTGACCGGCAAAGTGATGCTGGTAACTGGTACGTGGACACGAGTTCCTTTCCCCAACGCTATACTCAAAGTGCTGTACAACCAGGCGGCAATTCGGGTGTTGGGAAGGAGATGGTTCGTGAACTCCTTCAGCACAACGCCAGAGTCTACCTTGCTGCGCGCTCCGAACCCTCTGCGCAGGCCACCATTATGGAACTGCAAGAGAAGACCGGCAAAACTGCTCGGTTCTTACACCTCGACCTTGCAGATCTTTCTTCAGTACGCGCAGCGGCAATCGACTTCCTCTCACGCGAGCGGCAACTGGACGTCCTATTCAACAATGCCGGTGTCTTCCTCGCCCCGCGAGACAAGCTTACGGCGCAAGGATACGACATGACAGTCGGGACGAACGTACTCGGACCTTTCCTTTTCACGCAACTACTCATGCCCGCACTGTGCCATCCCGGTGCGCACTCGAACATCGAGAAAGGCCGAGTAATCAGTACATCCTCCGTCACGCACTACTTTGCGCCTCACTTCGACACCGATGTTGCTCGCCCTGGACCGGCACGCGACAAGCTTGGTCGCGATGCGCTTAGAAACGACGTGCTCTATGCCCAGACGAAGACAGCAGAAACCGTGCTCGCGACTGAGCGCGCGCGACGGTACGAAGACGAGCTGATCAGCGTCGCAATCAACCCTGGGAATATCCAGACCGGCATGCAGAGAAACATGAGCAAACTTGATGCGGCTATGGCGGTACGTATTCTCGCTAAAGACTGCCGTGCATGGAGCTCATGTCCAACGCAGAAGAGCATCCTGTACCCCGTCGAACTCGGTGCATATACGGGTCTGCGCGCTGGTACGACACCAGAGGCAGCTGAATGGAATGGCAAGGTAAGTCATGCGCACACCGAGCCCATGGTGGGCTTTTGATCTCATCCCCTTCATGCGCAGTACCTCCGACCATGGGCGAAACTGGGAGAGGCCCATCCTGCGACGCAGGATCCCGAAACTGGCCGTAAGCTCTGGGCATGGGCTGAAGAGCAGTGCAGAGAATGGCTTAAACCTATCCCTCTTCCGAGGGATCAGTAGCATGAGAGATGCGCTCAGATTAATGTGAGCGCAGGCCGGCCTTCCCCGCAGAGAACGGGCGTGCATTATTATACAGGGATCTAAATGACAGTGGTACAAGATATGCGTGTATGGTTTCCAAGATGCTCTAGGTCATGTCCATGCGCTCACCCTCAAGAACGGGTTGAGCAGCGTCCATCATTACAACGTCCTCTGGTGCCTTGTCCAACGCAGTGTCCTTGTTACGACGTGCGGCCAAAAATGCGTCGATCTTGGCCTTGAGTTCGACGTCTAGGCCGTATCGTGAGTATGGCAGTCTTGTTTGGAAGGGAAAACGGACATACCGGGAATAACATCATCGATAGACAGCGGTTGACGGTTGAATGGGTCCTTCGCGTCGGAGAGCAAGATGGACTTAATCGTGGACCGATCGAGAACAGCGCGCGAAGATGGGAGGATAACAGGGTCGCGCATGACTGTAGCCATCAGTGGGTCTGAGCGCTTCGGTCAGCACGACGATCACGGACGGACAGATGCTAAAAACGTACCTTGGAATTCATCCGGAATTTCTCCCAGGTCTTCCTCCGCCTGAATCGACGCCTTCGCCTCCTCGACCTTATAGACAAACAACAACAACTGCTCGATCTCCGTTGGGCTCTTCAGCGATGCCCTCTTGCAAATGTTCGCCGTCTTCTCGAAAAGTTCCTTGCGATAGCTGCGTCCATCGTTCGCAACGGCGTGCACGAACTCGCCCTGGTCCGCGAGGTTCAAGTATACCTGCACAACAGCCGACAAGAGCTGCTTCGGACGGAAGTGGTACTTCTCCTTGTCCTTGACGTTGATCTCGGACGTGCGTGTGCCGGCGAGCGCTTCAAGATTGTAGTCCAGCATAGCCGCGAGCCGGTCGACGATCTCAGGCTCCATGAATGGGCGCTTCGTTTCAGCTGTGAAGATCTTCAGGAGGTTCACTGTGCTATCGCCCAGCTGGTTGTAGCCTGTGGCTTTGCGCTCGAGATCGCGAAGGTTCTTCTCCGTCTCACGTCTCTGCTCGGGCGTCTTGGCGTTCCAAGCTTCCTTATCCTCCATCTCAAGCTCAATGACGCGGATGCGCGACATGTCGGACAAAGCCTCGTCCAAGAGGTACGTCACATCATTGATCATCAAGTTGACGAAGCGCACGAACTTGCTCGTGTTTCTACGAAGATAATTCAGACGTGAAGAACAGAGGCGAGAGCGAAGATACTTACTGTGCTTCGTTGCTCAGAGCTTGTCTGTGCGCTGGGTTGTTCCAAACGACGTTGAGAACATTGGCAATCTCACGACGGGCGTCTATGTGTCAACGATCAGCGTCATTGGAGATGCTGATCAATATATTCTCACTCACGGAACTTGTCGTAGAATTGCGAGCTTGCGCCGGTATGCTCGACCTCTGCGAAGAACATCAGTGGTCTAACACATATGCGGATCAGGTTGCCTCGCATACCAATGTAGTTCGTCGTAAGTGCCGGGATAAGGTTCTTGAGTGCGACAGGATGCCCATTGAGCAAGTTGCCCAGTAAACTATCCTGACCCTGATAGTACGAGACGCTCGAATAGAACAAGACGTCGATGATCTTGTTCTTCAAGTAGGGGTTCTTGATGTACCAGGTTGACGTGAGGAAGGTCATCAGGAAGACAAGCAGCTCTTCTTTGCCTGCGACGTTCAGGCTTCGAGGATCTGACCTGCACAATACACGTTAGTCATCATTCCCGGTGAAGATTCAGTTGCGCCCACCGTGTCAAGAAGACATAGTACTCGATCACATTGTCAAGGATGTATTCGGGCAGTATCCTGAAGTCCCGTGAGACCTCCTTGGGCAAAGGGAGCTCGACAGTTGGCTTTGGGTGCTTCTGTGCGGGGTCGTTGAAGCGGATCAACCACGTGACGGCGAACGAGGTGAAGGTATTGCTCTTGAATAGCAACTCCTGGTCCATGAGCTGGGTCATGTACGCGTGTTGGTTCGCCTTCAGCGTCTCCATCTGGGCTTTGACGGTCTTGATGCTGGCTTCGACCCGAGCAGCAAATGGCGTCTGCGGGTTGGCGAAAGATCAGCGGAGGCCTCTCTCCGAACTACGAGCTATACGTACACCCTCCCAAGAGCGGTCGCCCTCGATAGTCTTCAGATGCCTCTTGAGCTCATCGAGATGCTTCGTTTGCTCCTCAAAATTGTCCATCGTCTTGCATAACCCATAGTGCATGACTGCGAGCGTTAAGTAGAAGATGTCAGAGATGAAGTTAGGTGGCGCCGCGCCAGGTGCAAGCTTGTTTTCCTCGGCCCACACGTTGGCTTCGTCGCTCGTAGCATTGATGCGTGTCTCGTCTTTGAGATCAACACGGGAGGAGTGTGCATAGTAGTGCCTGTCAATGCGATCCAGCTTCGAGTATGTTGCGTCCATGAACGGCTCCGCAAACTGCAGGAGAACGGCGTAGAGGTTAACCATGAAGCTATCTGTGGCGACTGTATTCGGGTCAACCTGTGGGAGATGGTCAGCCATGAGTCTCTGATGTAGTTTGTACACGACACACGTGTGAGCCAGAGCGCTTGATGTTGAGATTGACGGCACGAGAGATGTACCCTAGTACAGCCTCACGGCATTGGGCATCTGCGCGTACGAAGACGTTCAAGACCTTGAAGAGCTTCCCCTGTACCTTTGTTATCCCAACAGGGCATTATTCGTAAACATATATTACTTACGTGGAGGTCCCGTAAGGCGCCACGAAGCGTATTCCTCGCCGACTCAACGTCCATCGCTGGTCTCGTGTCCAAGTTGGCAAAATAAGTCTTTGTAATCGAGGGCCATTCAAGCGGGAAGACGTTCAAGCGGAACAGCGGACCCAATAGACTGGTCGTCTCGAAGTCAGCCGCGGTCGCGTTCGGCGGGTTCCACTCCTCCATGCTGGTGATCATACGCGCAATTTCCTTGTGCGCTGCCAGCGCCTCCAAAGCACCGATGACACCGCGCCACTGTGAGTCGCTTGCAGCAAGACCTTCAGGCTTCGCTAGAGACGGGTGCCATAGCAAGTTGCGGATCACGTCTGAGAGTACGTCCGGCAGTTCGCCGTCGGGCGCAAAGCGGCGGACGACGTCAGCTAGGAAGGTGCTGATCTCCGTGTCATCGAGCTTGTATTCGGATGTACCGGAGCCACCGAACAGCGGGTTGGAGAAAGCACCCAAGGAGAGAAGAGACTCCACGAGTTCACTAGCGCCGGCGATTTTGTTCGGTGGACATGGGAAAGCGTCTGGGCTCATGAAGTTGATGCCGACGTAGCTAACGATGAGATGGCGCATCCGGTCGAGGATTGGTAGCGCTTGTTGGACCTCTGCAGGTAGGTATCCCTAGCTCAAGCATTAGAGGCGGAAAGGAATGTATCGACTGACAACGCAGGCATACCCGCTTCAGAAGAGCCGACTTGGCGGCGTTTAGGCGCTTCCAACAGCTAACAAGGTACTCGAATACAGTAAGATCGCGGGGCACGCGTGACAAGAAAGGTTGAAACTCTCCATCGTGGCTTCAAAAACTTCAGTTCCGATTATTGCACCTCTCTATTGGTTAGGACGTACAGAGCAGGGTTTGGGTTGAGGTCTAATCTCGCAATGACGACAGGCTCTAAGCGTTCAGCATTCAGACGTAAATCACCTGCAGCACAGAAGGTCATTTCGTAGCACAATTTAATATGTATGCGATCCTACCGTTCAGAGACTCGGCTTCATCCTCCATGTATGACTTAAGCCACACGACTTCATATTCGCGAGTCAATGCCACACCCGGCTAGGATTACAGTCTTAGCACGGTTCGAACGCGGAATCGGAAGTTAAACGTACATCAAGAGTTACCCTAAAGACGTCGGTGATAGTATCATTCTCCCACTCCTCCGCGTTGAACCTGGGTGGTGGTGCAGATGCCTTCTTCTTGGGAGGTGCGGGTGCCGGAGATGGCTCGGCTGCGCGCTTCGGTGGCGGGAGTGCGGGTGCAGGCGTTGGCTTCGGTTTCGGTTTTGGCGTGGAAGCAGCGGCAGGAGGGGGCGTTGATGGGGTTGCAGTGCTGCTGGATGATGCTTGGGCTTGTTGCTGCTGTAGCTTCGCGAGCCGCTTCATGCGGATCTATAGACACCCAAAGCACTTATTCAATATATTCTCGCAGAATATTGGAATAGATCATACGCGGTCAGCATCGGTCTCCGGGTCTGTGAGCGGATTGCTCATCGTGTCGCGTCGGATGGTGGTGGTTGTAGGAGGGCAATGATGTACACGCGCCTTCACGCGCTCCGGCGGGGCAGCGCGTCAGCCACAAATACGCCCACGCACGCCCACGCGAGTCCACCAGATGACAGGGAACGCGATTCTTCTTACTCTTGACCATCATGCATCATAGATTCATACTTGACCTGCATCCTCGCATTCACGAGACTCGTGCGCTATCAACTTCGGGGTGTTGCATGCATGAGGATAGGACGCTACGCTGCAAGATAACATAGAACTTGATCTCCGCGGTTACGGTGCTTAGACCTGTAGCGCCGTTGGGCTTGCAGTCCTTACTGGCAAACCCAGAACCTTCTCCGATCTGGGGGATTCCCGTGGCGTTTGTGGGGCAACAATTTGGCTCCCTTCTGTACGAAGGGGATAGACTTTACGGGCGCACCAGTATTTCTACTGGGATATTGATGGAATGGGAATTAAGGTTATAACGGCTCGTCTGCTATATATGCAGTCGTCGTACGCCTCCCCTGCGCTTGCTGCCGCCCTCCATTGGCCAGCAGGATATGCCTTCTGCGTCCAAGTAAGCTGATCCTTGCGCTTCATATCCATGAGAATAGTCCAGCGAGTATGATGAGCTGACCGCGTCGCTGCAGGGTTCAGCTGGCCCGGCACTACTACAAGACTAAAGCCGACCTCGCTAGCTCGACCAGGACCAAGAGCAAGCGAGACCCCAAGCCACTCAAGGGTAGGCGTAAGGTTGCGCGTGCAGAAAGGGAGGCAGCGAGAGCCCGCCAGAGGCTCATGGACACACGCGAGTTTGCGTACGTGATCATCAGCACGTCATCATCCGCCTGACGCCAACGCCGACGCCGACAGTGAATACGACCTGCGAGTGGTGTCTCGCCGCACGATTCGTGACCCAGATCGTACGTCGGCTATGGAAGCCAACGAGGCTCGCTTATGGAAGATGTGTACGGCCTGTCACAAGGAGCTCGGGGAGGGAGTATACCGCTTGTACTTGGCCAAACGTATCAAGCGCCTCGAGGCCATGGCCTGTTCGGGATCTCTCCCAAAAGACGAGACTCAGTCCTTCCTTGCGCTTCGGCGGTTGGTAGCCCTTCTGGCGCAGGAGCGAGTCATGCTGGACACGAATGAAGCACAGTTGAAGGCGGCCGGGTTCGACGGCACGTTTATCGCTCTCGGCAGGACGTACGTCTACGATGCTGTTGGAAGAGTGCGCTTACTGACTCACTGCATAAACTTCCAGCATCAACAAGAGAGGTTTCAAGAGGGAGCTTGGGTGGTACACGGAAGACGAGCTGCGAGCGTGCTATGAAGAGGGGCTGCGCACGGCGGCGAAGCCGGAAGACCTTCCAGTTTCTGAGAGCGATATTTGACATGTAGTGGTCTAATACTAATGGCTTGTTTTTACCTCATACCGCGGGGCACACCCTTAGTTCAGTACACCCTACGTCTAACTGCTTCGATCTCTTCATTGTTAACTAGCTCGGTAGCAATGCGAATCATCTCGCACCCCTCACACTTTCTCACACTTTCGTAGTGTGGTATTCGACGGTCCTTGATAAGGCAGCGCTGTAGGCGCTAGCGCATTCTGACGAACAACGCCCCAAACCTCACCACGATCGCAAGCGAAGGCTCATATATAAGCGTGCAATCCGAGGCTCGAGCTAATGGCATGGCAGTGACTTGTCTGGTGGTGGTGGTGGACGACAAGCATGCGAGGCTCGCGTTGCGGGATCAAACCTTTCCACACGTGTGATTGGCGGGTGCCACAGGGCACCCACATCCGCCGATATTCGTCCACATCGCCGGGGTTTAAAAGTCGGCCCGCGCGAACACTGAATCTGATTCTTTCCCCCATCATTCATTCAGACCTGGCTGTGCACATCTTATGCTGAAATCTACAATGCGTGATGACGTCATTCTTCAATCGCTATTATCCGCGCGCATTATCGAAGGGTGCCCGCGTCGTCCGCGGTGACCGGTCCACCCGCCTAAATGCTACAACTGAGCATCCTGGAACCCTCTCCGATTTGGGGGTTTCTTGTAGCGTGATGGGGGCATACATAGCGCCTCCTGTCGTAGCAAGGGGACAGAATTTGGTCTGTGTTTGCACCTGGTAGCTGGGGTTGATCTCGATACGACTACGCCCACAACACGCGTTCTATAGTATATATGTTTTGTCGTACGCGTTTCTTTGCTTCCAACTGACCCCCATGAGCTATGCAAGAACGCTACTACAGCCTGCGGAGTGAGTTCTCTATACCCATCCTGTCCTTGATATCAAGAAACATGGCTTGCTGAGCACGTGCGCCTCCAGCGTCCAGATAGCACGTTACTACTACAACAATCGAGACCGGCTCGTGAGCTCGTCTACCCCTGCTCGCAGGCCCAAGTCAGGTCAACGGAAGACTGGGCGCTCCGAATGGATGCGAGGGCAGGCGCGCAAGGACTTGATGAAGTTGGGAGAGTTCGCGTACGTGATCGTCAACACGTCATTCTCTTAAGCCCGAACGTTCATCGGTGCCACAGCGAATACGATCTCAGCGTGGTTAGCCGTCGCACTGTTCCAGATCCCCATCGCACAACAGCCATGGAAGCGAACGAATTGCGCTTGTGGGACAAATGCGCCGCTTGTCATAGAGAGTTAGGGACAATCGCGTATCGGTACTACTTGACCAAGAGGATCGAGCGCTACGAGACCAGGGCTTATCTGGACCCGAATTCGGACGACGAGACGGGATCGTTCGTTGCGCTTCGTCGCCTCATAGCAATCCTTCTGCAGGAGCGGATGATGCTGGACATGGAGGAAGCTGAACTGAAGGCGGTTGGATTTGACGGCATGTTCATTGCGCTCGGCCGAGGGTGTGTGATAGCCTGCTGCATGCGTATCTGACATCGCTAATGAGGTATTCCACAGCGTGCGCGTGACAGGTTTCAAAGAGGAGATGGGATGGTCCACAGAAGGCGAACTGCGCGCATATCGCGAAGCAAATGACAAGACGGCTAGGTCTGAAGCTGGGAGTAGCGAAGGTCTTCCTGTTGGTGATCCGAACGAGTGACTATGGCATCTTGACCCCGCTATCATTGTACATTCATTCTTCCTTCCAATGGAACACTTATACACACGCAAGTCCCTAGATATCGTTCATAAAGAGGCGAGATACAGTGACGCGCTTCGGCAAGATAATCGCGTCAGCCCAGACGCGACCTCCATATATAAAGCCGCGCGTCGCACGAGATCCGCGTCCTTTTCCTCCAGCCCCCATGCTGCCTCCGGCGCATCTTTCACGGTGTGATCCGGTCCACACACTGTACTCGCATTTCTCTGAGGCGTTCCTCCGTCGTGCCTTGAAAATGCGCGACTACGAGACTCAGCGTGACTCCTACACATCATCGACGCGCTAAGGCTATCCGAAATCGTGTCGTGCCGTCGGGACGACGGTAGACTGCAATCCCGAGCACCCAGTACCTATCTATCCGTGGCACTCCTGTTTGCGCTATGGCGTCGGTACGGTACATCCGCAGTTGCGGGACGATACACTACTGGTATGATGGAAGCATGTTCAATTGCAATGCTGAACGTGAACCGAGAGATAAGGAAGAGGCGCGTGGTCCGTGGTGCTGCGTGGGGTTTTTCCCTTCCGGCCCTTCGGCCAGGAATATACTCGTCCAGAGAAACGGCATGTGTATAAAAGCTAGAGCGCGCTCAGGCCTCTCCCCTTTTGACGCCGTCCACTATCCCTTCGGTGCCTAAGCGCTCGCGCGAAGACCAGACGTTCTCTTCACGTCCGGACTATTTTCGCCATGTCAACTAACGAGCACACGACCACCCTCCCCGCCGCACCGGCTTATGACGACGTCGCAGTTGTCCCGACCGCGCCTGCTCATGGTCTCGCTTCTGCAGCGGTCGCGCCGTCCGTCAAGGATGAGCACCTACCGCTGAACCGCAAGGTTCACTGGTACAGGAGTACCATCACCCAGATTCTCGTCATCGGAGGCGTCTTCTTCTGCGCACCAGGCATGGGTTCTTCTCCTTGTGCTCTGTCTCGCAAACTGATTGGGTCGCAGGAATGTACAATGCGCTTTCGGGCCTCGGTGCAGGTGGGCTCGCAACCCCGTACTGGGCGAATGCTACGGCCGCTGCGGGATACGTCTTCATGGCGTTCATGTGCATTATCGGCGGTATCATCGTGTCCAAGCTCGGTGTCCGTTGGTCGCTTTTGGTGCGCGAACAGCCCATATCAGGCTTATCTTATCAGGCGCTAACGTCACGTAGATTTCCACGACGGGTGACATCATTTACGCCGGTACGCTATACGTGAACAGCAAGTACGGAACCAACTGGTGCGTGGAATGGCTCCTTGTGAACCTGCGGAAACTGACCATTGTGCGAAGGCCGCTCATGTTGGGCAGTATCCTTTCGGGATGCACCGACGGCCGTACGTGGCCGCCTTCAGTACAAGATCCGTTGTATACTGAACACTCTCACAGTGATGTACTCTATCGAGGGCCCTATCATCACAGCCTACCCTGAGCCCGCTCTCCGCGGACGCATGCTTGGTCTCTGGGTCACATTGCGCAACCTGTATGTCAGCGCCCGTGTCTCCGGTGAACTTGCGCTGATATGTTTGTAGCGCGCCAATCATCGGCGGTGCCATTATCTTCGGCCTCAACCACTCCGTCTCTTCCACCGGTGCTGTCTCGCTCGAGACATACCTTGTGCTCATCGGTATCAGTGCGTGCGCTTCTTCCATAGTACTGGATGACAGTGTCTGACGCGTGACGGATCGTGTAGTGTGTGCCGGCCCCTTCATTTCCCAGCTCATCTCCCCGCCGGAGAAGGTGCAGCGCAAGGATGGCGTCAAGATTGAGCTTCGCAAGACGACCTTGACGGAGACGCTCGCAGAGTTCTGGAAGGTCATCTCCAACAAGAACGTATGTCCTGTATGCCCGTATACCATGTGACTTGACGCTCATACTGGCTCTAGATGCTGCTCCTTGCTCCTCTCATGTTCACCTCCTGGTTCTACGGGTCGTACATCGGAACGCTTGAGACGATTTACTACACCGTCCGCACACGCTCCTTGAGCGCGTTCCTGATCCCCTGTGGCGATGTTGCCGGCGGCTTCCTCGTTGGCGCGTTTCTCGACAACAAGAAGATCTCGGTGGCGAAGCGCGCGCGCTGGAGCTTCGGCGTCCTCATGATCTGCAACCTTGCATGCTGGATCTGGGCCGCGGTGATCACGAAGCAACTTGAGGACGGAAACCCGATGATCGACTGGACATCCGGCTCCTGGTTCGGCCGCACTTTCCCGCTATTCGTGCTTTTCGATCTTGTCACGATGGCTACCCAGACGATGCTGTACTGGCTCATTGGCCACTTGTCGTCCGACTTCATGACCCTCTCGTTCATGACGGGCTTCTTGCGGGGCGTCGAGTGTATCGGCCAGGCTGTAGCTTGTGAGTGCTTCCCAAAGGGCCGTCCTTCTCTGTCGTTGACTCAAATGTACAGATGGTATCAAGTCGTCGGCCTCCTCGGATTGGATCAGTATCGGCTTCAACATCGGCTTCTTCGTGATCTCCATCCCTTGGGCATACCTCGTTGTTCGCAAGATCGGCGTTGAGTTCAACACTGACGACATTTCCAAGCTGCCTCACGTTGACACCATGTCACAAAGCGATGTGGAGACTGGTTCAATTGACGAGAAGGAGAAGGCATAGTTCGCACTCATGTACAGTAGTCTGTAGCGTTGTCGGGACTCGAGTATCATAGATATCCATGCATCGCGCGCGCGAAGTGTGTGAAAGTATTGTTAGCGGAAACCCCCCAATCCTGTGGGAAGACAGAATCGACCGGGCCGGTGGTCGCCGACGCCACGGAGGGCGCGTCGACGCGGCAATAAACGTTGAGCTCAGCTTGGTTCTAACCGCAACCATCATCCTCCGACCGTCGGCACGCTAGCTTTTGGCTATGTCACTCTTTACATTGGCAACGACGGCACGGAGTGTATTCTCCACTCCTGCCCGCTTCTTCTCGTCCACGTCGGCGTCCGAGGCGCTCTACAAGCTGAAGACACACTCTGGGGCGAAGAAGCGGTGGACAGCGTTGGCAAATGGAAAGTTCAAGCGAGTGCGTACTCTACAAAAATTGCCCTTGAGCCGTGCTCATATTCATGCATAGGCTCAAGCTGGACATCACCATTTGAATGTGACAAAGAGTCCAGGGCGAAAGAACCGACTCGGCTTGACGGCGTACTCAAATAAGTCGCAAACCTCAAGGTTACACAAGCTCATGCCATATGCATGATTTTGGCATGGGATTATATATCAGGTGCGCGAGTCCCATGTGAACGTTCCTGTCTATGTGCTGACACCAAGCTACAGTACTTCTATCCGCGACTCTAATATACGTTGCTATCATACATATCACAGAGACGACGCAGGCTCTTTTGTGTCCACCTCATCATGCGCGTTACTCTCAGCATGCTCCAGCACGTCGGTCTTGCCGCCAAAGAAAGCGCGGATGTCTCCTTGCTTCGGGTCGAACGCAGCACTGCCTATACCGCCTTTCTGGCGTTTCTGTATATGTCTTGTCAGCTCTCCTCTACAGGAAATGCAATACTTTGCAAACTTACGATGCCATCAATATGCGAGTGCTGGTTGACATGCGTGACCTTAATGAGTAAGGGCGGCAAATCGCCGTCCTGAATGTCCAGAGGCGTCCCCTCCTTTGAGATCTGCAATACACTTCAGAGCACGGCCAGTACATCAACTGACAGACCCACTGGGATATCGACGGTGACTCGAGACCACGCCGTGTTCATCAAACCCCTGTAATCGCCCTTCGGCGCACCACCGTCGTTCTTCTGCAGCAACTCCGAGATGAGGTGGCTGATACACAAGCCATGGCTGACAAGCGCAATATGCACGCCTTTCTTTCCAGCGCGCGCGGCCTCCCAGATGTGAGGCATGACGAGCTCGTTGATTGCTTGCCTCGCGCGGTCCCCGAGATCATTGCTGCTCTCTCCCTCAGGGAACTTCTCCTCGTCGCCGTACAGCACGGGGTAAATGCCCTTCGCGAAGTGGTCTTCAAGCGAGAGACCCTTCTCCTGGTTCATCTGCCAGGAATGTCCCTCGGCAACTCCGAAGTGCTGCTCCCGGATGAGAGGCGACACTGTGAAGCTTGGCTTCGGGTCAGGCTGAGCGTCGTATACGGCGCGCGAAGTCGAGTATGCGCGCTTGAGCGGTGAGGCATAGATTGCGTCGAACTTCGTCGTCGACAAGGATTGACCGCACGCAAGGGCTTGGTTCATACCTACGTCCCGTCAGATGCGCGTCTATGGAGACTACTTGCCAGGAAGTACCGTGGTTCGTCAGAGGTGCATCCTTCCAGCCTGCCCACACGCTTCGTACATTGTCCGTTGACTCGCCGTGGCGGATCTGCGTCCAACTTCAATATAGGAGCAAACGAAAACGGCAATGTACGTACAAATGTTACATAGAGGGTCGGGGTTGACATGGTGGTGGTCCTGAACCAAGTTGCCGCCTTGGGGTCTGAGAGCCCATAACCCTGCAGCTGATCGGCGCGTCCGCCGCGCCCATCGTCGGAGTCAGCGCGTCGCCCACGTGTGGCCGACGTCACATGCAAGAACGCGGCGAGGCAGTGCGCTAATTGAGATGCCTCTATAGGCCTCTCGTGTTCTTATGAAAGTTAAGGAATAGATGCGGAACAGGGTTATTCGTGATATACCATGAAACCTACAATCAGACCAGATGACGGAAAGCCTTTCCTGGCGCCGTGTCAACCAAACACACTCAGACCGAGACATAGTGGCTGCCATACGTATCTGAACCGTACAGGTACGCGTTGTTATGCCTTTGTATACCATTTTGAGATGGATAACCGTCGAGGGAGAGCTCGCGTTCAATATCTATCGTGACATTGTACTTTCTGCAAGCCCATCGCCGGCATCCAGCGTCGCGCATGCATACCATGTCAAGCTTCGGTTCTGAGCCGATCTTGATGTATGAAACCGCGCTTTCTTAACGCAACTATGGCTTGACTCTATCCAAACTAGCTACAGTAAGATCAGGCTTCGTAAAGAGGTGTATCGCTGTGTTCTTCACGTCCGCGCGCCTCACAGCGCCTCACTTCGACAATCCACGTGAGCGCGTTTGTAGCGTTCCGCGTTGAAGTCAGCTCGTTGAACGTTGAATCTTGCAGCCAGCCATCATCTTGTTTGCTCACCATTCTCCCTCTCATACCCATCATTTGTCTTCTCATATAGTTGGCTATGTCTGAAACCGAGGATGCCTCTGTGCTAGGAAAGCGAGGGCGTGACGGAGACGCCGCCATGTCTGACGGCGAGGATGTCGGACCGCCCATGCCGCCTCCGCCAGGTGGGGGGGAAGAGAGTGATGACGATGTTGGGCCTATGCCCATGCCGGATAGTGGTACGAGTGGTGCGCGCAAGAAGAAGCGCAAGGGTGCGTTCCTCATAGTGTCTGTTACTCGCCGCCCACTAACAGCCAGTAGTTCTCCCACATGAACGTCTCTACCTGGAGCACCTGCCTAGTGCCGACAGGTACTGGAAGAGCTTCATGCATAGAGAAGTCATAAACTTTGTTGTAGCAACAAAGTGCGTGATCATATACATCATATCAAAGTCTCTACTGACGCTGTACGCAGAACAGACTTCATCGTCACCACGTCCATTGACGGACATTTGAAGTTGTGGCAAAAACAGGAAGTCGGCATCGAATTCGTGAAACACTTCAGAGCCCATGTACAGCCGATAGTTGGAGTCTCAGCCAGTGCAGATGGCACATTGTTTGCTAGTATCTCGGAGGACGGAACGGCGAAGGTGTTCGACATTCTGAACTTTGGTATGCTCATCCCCTGTCTGTACTGCGAAAATAGTCTCAACGACTTGCTAGACATGATCAACATGTTGAAGTTAGGATACACCCCACGCGCATGTTGCTGGGTACACAAGCGTGGGCAAGTTCAGGGCTTACTCGCCATGTAAGTAATCCGTTCAACGGCGGCTGCAATACGTTGACCCGCAATCAGTTCTGAAGCAGGATCGGGGAAAATACACATATATGATGGTCGAGGGAACGAAACCCCTTTGGAGACGGTATCGAAGTTGCACAAGGCGCCTGTGCATCTCATGACAGTATGTGCGTGAGCGGCAAGGATTCTGTGCTTGCGCTCATTGTCTGCAGTACAGCGACCGTTACGACTGCGTCATATCTGCCGACGAAGCCGGCTTCGTCGAGTACTGGCAGCCCAGTGAGCCTTTCGAGCTCCCCAGGCATGCATCTGGCTTGTGGCAGTTCAAGTCACAGACGGACTTGTACGAATTCAAGAAGGTTCGCAAACGACTATTGTGCGCAGACTTCGCTGACATTCCTTCATCTGTAGTCGAAATCAACACCGACATGTATCACTCTCAGCCCTGATGATTCTTCCTTCGTCACCTTCTCGCTGCCTGATCGTCAAATCCGCGTGTTCTCATTCTTGTCCGGCAAGATGACGCGGAAGTACGATGAATCACTTGCAGCAATACAAGAGATGCAGCAGGCGGGGACAGCCGTGTACAAAGTTGAGGACATGGAGTTTGGGCGGCGTCTCGCCGTCGAAAAAGAACTCGAGTTGCCAGGACCGGACGGGAAGATCCCTGGGATGTGGATCAACGCTGTTTGGGACGAAAGCGGCGCATTTGTTCTATACCCGACGCTACTAGGCATCAAGGGTGAGCTGATACGTCGACTTGTGCTTCACTTGTAACTGACGCACTACCTGCAGTTGTAAACACTGTGACGAATCGCGTGTCCCGATTACTTGGGAAGGACGAGACTGTACGGTGGCTGAACCTGAGCTTGTATCAAGGCGCTCCGCGCAAGAAGGGTCTCACCACGGCCGCTATGGTCGCATCTGCGAACCCCATCCTCGCAGAAAAGGCCGGCCGAGACCCTACGTTGTTCGGCACGGGATACAAGCGTCAGCGCTTCTACATGTTCACCCGCAACGAACCAGAGTTTGTCTTCTTCCTCTTCACGTACGTGCGAAACGCAGCTGACCCTCTTCGTCAGAGATAAGTCTGGAGATCGCGATATCTTCAACGAGCGCCCGACACGGGATGAGCAAACTGTGGCAACCACAGGTGCAAATGCGCAAGCCCTTGCTGCACCCCTGGCTACTTCGGCGACTATTCACACCACGCTTGGCGATATTCACATCCGACTGTTCCCGCAACAAGCACCGAAGGCGGTCGAGAACTTCGTTGGACATGCGAAGAGCGGCTACTTCGAGGGCATCATCTTCCACCGCGTCATCCCCAAGTTCATGATTCAAACCGGAGATCCGCTCGGTGACGGTACTGGTGGTGACAGTATCTGGGGCAAGGAGTTTGAGGATGAGTTCTCTGACGATCTCAAGCATGACAGGTATGCGTTATATCCGTTGAGAAAGAGATAATGGAGGCTAATTTCAACTTGCAGGCCTTACACTGTCAGTATGGCGAATGCTGGTCCTGGAACGAACGGGTCGCAGTTCTTCATCACAACAAACGCGACGCCATGGCTTGACCGCAAGCATACCATATTTGGACGCGCTCTGTCCGGATTGGAGACCATCCACGCCATTGAGAACGTGAAGGTCAACAAGCACGACAAACCACTTGAAGATATCAAAATCATCAACGTTGTTGTCTCGTAGTGCTGGTGGTCTCCGATATACATGCGCATTGAAATACTAGTTGTATTCTCCCACTTCCTCCCAATCCTCCCTTTGATGCTCAGATATGTCAGTCAAGACGCTTGGATTGGCTTAGTCTCGACTTTCCTCCCCGGCCGATTGAATGTGAGAGGACATCGGTTATCAAATTCCTATATCGGGCTGCTCGTTCGTTCTCAACTGACGCGCGCCGAGTATTCTTTGAAACGAACATGTGCTACCTATCCACGGTCGACCGGTGCAGTTGGCAAATGTCGACCATAGACGTTTCTAGCTCTTTGCTAGACTGCTCGGATCTTAGTGGCGTCATCCTCGTCGCGGAGCTTGTGTACGCCTCCCTAGCCAACATCGGAGACTATCCCGCCAACAACATTTGGAAGCGCCTCGTCAATCTTGACGCCCGTGTCTCCTAGTCGAGCACGCGCATTGGTTGAAGGACCGTGCAGGGTGCTTCTACAGCCTATTCTTCTCCACTAGGCAGTTTGAGAAACACGTAATTCACGTGCTCCAAATCCACGCGTGAATTTGCCCCTCTGTTCTGCGTGAGCCCCCCTACGCCTTTCGCTACGGATTTTTTTCGCGGGTATGCTCTCAGACGACGTGCTGGGGGGTTCCATCCACTCGAAGTACGCAGTCGCGCCCTGTGGCGGCAGCTAAAGCCTCATCTTGGTGGCCGAATTCACGCGTGGGTGCCACGTGAATCACGTGTTTCTCAAACTGCCTACTGCCTTCGATGGACCTTACCCGGAGCATACATCGGAGAGGACAGGTGAGCGTAAAGGCTCCCCGCTGCCGACGAAGCCGTCGATTTCTCGATCTCCGGGCTGTGGTGTTCCTCCTTCTGCGACCTTCGAGACATGAGAATGTCACATATACGCGTTTCTCTCAAAGGTATATAAACGTCGCCGACATAGAGGTGGTCGGCTCAGTACGCTTTCCAGTGTACCCCATCTCAATCCTTTTCGCTTTGCACAATGGCCCCACCCGTCGCTACCGAGACCTCTTACGCACCTTCGGTCTCTGATCTTAAGAGCCAGCTCAACGGATCGAAGACTGAGACCAACGGCGTGAAGCCCAAGGTCGAGGATATCGTCGAGGACTGGTCCGGCAACTACCAGTTCGCCCCGATCGAGGAGGCTGAGGTCTCTCGCGCGATGATCAAGCGGTAAGTTATCCTAGTTTCGCCTAATTTCATGCTTCTGTGGCTAACGGGTGACGGGTAGATACTTCGATCAAATGTACGAGCGCGCGGTCTCGGACGTCGTCATCGTTGGCGCAGGCTCCGCTGGGCTGTCGTGCGCCTATCACCTCGGCACGACGAGGCCTGACCTGAAGATCACGATCATCGAGGCCAACGTCGCCCCAGGCGGTGGAGCATGGCTCGGTGGCCAGCTCATGACACCGATGGTATGGATGATCATGCGTGTATGATTTTTCGTAGCTCATTCTGTGATAGGTCGTTCGCAAGCCAGCAGATCGCTTCCTCGCGGAGCTTGGCGTCCCATTCGAGGATGAGGAGACGTTCGTTGTCGTCAAGCACGCCGCGCTCTTCACCTCCACGCTTCTCAGCAAGGTCCTTGCCATGCCGAATGTCGTGATGTTCAATGCGACCGCCGTCGAGGACCTCATTGTCCGGCCCGACCCTGTCTCTTCAGGCCAACGTGTCGGCGGTGTTGTGACGAACTGGACGCTCGTGGCCCTCAACCATGACACGCAGAGCTGTATGGATCCCAACACGATCACTGCGCCCGTCATCGTCACTGCGACTGGCCACGACGGCCCCATGGGTGCCTTCTCTGCGAAGCGCCTTGTCTCGACGGGTATGCTTAAGGAACTCGGCAATATGCGCGGCCTCGACATGCTTCGTTCAGAGCCAGCTATCGTCAACGGCACTCGAGAGGTCGTGCCCGGACTCATCATGGCCGGTAAGTCGCAGCGACGATAGGCGTCGGTACCGTGCTGACTAGTCCGTCAAGGCATGGAGCTCTCCGAGCACGACGGCGCCAATAGGATGGGACCAACCTTCGGCGGCATGATGAGCAGCGGAGTGAAGGCCGCCAAGGAGGCCATTCGTATCCTCGACTCGCACAAGGTCGTCAAGGGAAAGGTCGTCGCGTAGCTTCTCATGGGATTGTGAAGTCTACCCTCCACGCAATGCATACACACCAGCCACTCATCTCTAAAACGTTGTTGCCCTGACTTATGTTCGATGCTAAATTTATCGAATGACGTCTGGGGTGGCACCCGCAGAAATGACCCGTAGGGTTCAAAATTGGTACAATGGTGTGGTGATACATACAGTGAATTACTTCCACCGCTCCGTCAGAAGTCGCGTTGCAACAATGAGATAGATATCCTACGCGGAATGTGGCAACAAATGACACCTGTGATTGTAGGCGTAAGCTTAATATCGAAACACCGGCCAAGCCATAAGACACATACCCTAGCATTCCTCTCCCTCCCCAACCTTGTCTAGGTACAAGCCGCAAGGCCGTCATAGCCCCCGCTCTCCGCACAATCATCGCAATTGGTTTCTGCAGCTGAGTCAGATCTGCAGTCTTATGGAGAGGAAATAACGCGCACGTTCTCGTTCAGAGCCACCAGCTCGGCCAAAGGTTGCAAAGACGCTTGAGTGAACGATTCTTTTGTTAGATGCCCGAACTTCAAGACGAGGTCTTCGCGTTGCAAGCCCTGCGCTACATCAGTGTTTGCCCGCTTACACCATCTCTGAAGCCGCTCACAGATTCTGCAGCCGGGCTCCCTGGCGCGACCGTGTTCACCCTGGCGAAGGGCAATAACTGAGCTTCTTGCGGAGCACTTGCGGTGGGTATCTCCTCCTTGCGTTCATACACCTTCTCCAAGGCCTTCGCAAGTTCCCCACGAACAGCAGAAAGGTCGTTGCGCAGCTCAATGATACGCACTCTTGCGGTGCGAACGGCCCACACGTCTATATCGGCGCGAGGGAAGCCCTCGCGATCCACCAGTGGCGTCTGCATATCCGCGCCATGCGAGCGTATGATTGCGCCCTGGTCCTCGATTTGGGCTTCAATTGCATCCTTACGGGCCATGAGCGAGCGAGCTTGCTCTGCGGCACTGTTCTCAGATGGTAGTGTCATGCCCATAGTATTGGTGTGGTGCAACAGTGTGGATGGTAGTCGTCGGAGATCAAGACACGGTCACGCTGACGCGTACAGTAGACGCGTACTCCTGAGACGCGTCTGGCTCTTCCCACCATCAACCTTGGATATCCGAATACGTATATTAGACAACGAGTGCTTCCGGAAGCCAACCCCGGGCGTAGGGTATCTCTGAGTCGGCGATTTCGGATGCTCGAGCGCTGTAATAAGCGAGTACTCCGCGCGAGAGGCTTGCCTCATGTAAAGGGCCTGTGTTCTCTTGACTGCGACGCCCATGCCTCGACCCTCGAATATTCTCGCGACTCTCGTAATTGCCTTGGTATGGTATTACATATGTGGTGTCGTTGAACAGACTGCTGATGACTGCTTGCTCATCAGGCGGTCTTGTTTTATCGGGCCCGCTACTTGATCCCGAATGTCTTTTTACCGAAGCCCAGCTTCCCGTCCGAGTATTACTATGGCAAGGGTGCATGCCACACCGTCCAGCATCCCGGAGTGTCCTCGTGCGAAGATGGACGCTTCTGGGAGAACACTGATACTGGCGAGAGACGGTTGTTGCTCAGTTGTGACCCCGGTCGACGAGGATGGAACACAGTCCTTGGCCCATTACGTGACCCCACGCCCCGTGGTGCCCTGTGGTTGTCGGACTTGAGCACGCATAATCTGCTCAAGATCGAACTCGTTGACTTCCCGAAGCATCATACCTTTCACCCACTCGGACTCGAAGCCTCTCCTGCCCGTACGGGTCGGACTTCACGACTCTTCGTGGTGAACCACGCTCGCAATGCAAGCGTCATAGAGGAGTTCACGCTTTCATGGGACAAGCCCACATCGGCACGTTGGATCAGGACACTCGACTTGCCGACTCTCAATACGCCAAACTCACTGGCACTTACTTCGAACGACTCTTTCTACGTGTCCAACGACCATCATTTCGCTCTTCGACACGAACTCGTATTGAGCAAGCTCGAGACGTTCCTCGCACTCCCTCTCAGTCACGTAGAGCATGTCGCCGTACCTGCTCCAGGCGATGACGAGCAGCCAGTCGCTATGACGGTAGCGGGCAGCATTCCCTTCGCCAATGGCGTGGCAATCTCCAAGGACGGAAGGGTCGTGGCGGTGGCGTCGACTACGGGCACTGCGGTGCATATATACGCCAGACACATCCCTTCAAATGCCCTCATCCCCAAGGAAGAGATACTCGTACCCTTCGCCCCGGATAACTTATCGTTCGATGATGATGGCGTTCTCCTGGTCGCAGGACACACCGACTTCCCAGCACTCATTGGCATGTCGAAGGACAAGCCGGGTGTACGCGGTCCGACCTGGGTGATCTCTTTGCGCCCGACTCCAGAGTCGGAGCTCGTGGACAAGGTATTTTGGGACACGAGGGCGTCTTTCTCAGCGTCTGCGAGAGTTCCACCACCACCTTCGGGTTGGAAAATGGAGACGCTCTACCAGAGCAGCGGGCATGGCGGCTTCGCCTCCTCCACTACCGCTCTTCGCGACACACGATCCGGTCGTCTGATTGTGACGGGCCTATACGAAGAGGGGATTCTTGTGTGCGACTGACGAAGTCGTCATTAATGACGTGTCATTAATATCAAAGATAATAGCACAGGTAGAGTCAGATACGGCGAATGTCCGAAGTATACAATGCTAGATGTCCATTCCGAGACCAATTCCGGACCATATCTGTGTAGGCTTAAGTCAGCTTATGGTCTCTGAAGCACGCGTATAAATATCGAGAATCGTCAGTGAAGCGAGTGCCACATTTGTAACACTCTGATAGTTAAGCCGGACATAGATCCTGCTCCTCCCCAAGCACGCTCTCGCGCGCTTCGGAGGGTCATCTGGCCCCGGCAGCTGTCATCATTCTGAAGGACTTGCGCGCCTTGATGGACCGTTGATCACACACGCGAACACTCACATATTCTAGTCCTCCTCATCTGTAAGTTCCTCGCCTACTCGTATGCCCGAATGGCGCTCGAGCCCTGCGCGGCGTGCCCACGCTCGGCCGTCCGTATACGGAGGCACACGTAAGGGGAGAAGTAAGGCATAGATAGAGCTAGATTCATCATGGTAAGAACTCTGAGAGTCGAAACGCCAATGGGCACGCACTATCGCCCAGGGCCGAGGTTAAAGAACAACTGCAAGTTGCGCTTCCAACCAAGATCGTAGCTGTTGACGAATACATCACCACGTTCGCGAGCCATCGCACGGTATGCATCATGATCATGCGCCTGTGCATAGCCAAGTCAGGAAACCAGAAGAACGGGAAGGAAGGAAGAATGAAGAGCACCTCTACAGCTGTTTCAGCCTGTGCGATGGCGTATATGTGCCATGCTAGCATCACGCTGACAGCGAAGCACATGACGAAGCAAAGCACATATGTTACGGCGAAGTACACAGCCGGCACATTGTGATTCCAGGTATCCTATAAGCGGCGTTCAGTATACATAAGACCCGGAGTGGTGAAGGGTCGCGTGGTGACGGCGAGCACTAGCCTTGAAGGGATCGTTCAGCCCAAAGGCATCATAGACATGTGGGATACCGGTCAAGACGTAGGAGGCAGTTGCGATGACAAGGTAAGCCCTGTCAGCAGTCCGTCAGCACGTGGTTTCATACAGAGGAAGCTTCACGTCAAGTCGACACGGAGCTGGCGTTAGACGGAGCTCTCTTAAAATTGACACCGAATGAAGAACCGTCTCATGTAATGCACCGGAAGATGAGCGTCACGCACATGAATAGGACAAAATGTCGTTCATTGTTGATGCCCACACATTGGTTGATCCCTGGCGCTTGCGGGTAAGCAAGCGGGTATTGGAGGCAATAACGGCAGTCGCGACCGGTCGGGTGGATACTCACACTGCAAAATGATCAGTATTCGCCGATACGTATCAATGCAAGCGAAAGATGAAAAGATCCCCGCATGACCTTGACCATGCGAGACAGAAGAGGAAGGAGAAGCAAAGAAGAGAAAGTGTGGCGTACAGGGCAGTGGTGATCAAATTTCAGAACACATCGATTGCATACACGACAGTGGTGCGCCCTCTCTTCCCGGCGTCAGTGCATGCAGGCAAGGATATGGACTGTACACGTACCTCGGGCCGTGGATGGTTGCACTTCCTGCACATTCCGATGCTGGCAGGCGTGATGTTTAATCCGAGTTCGTCACTCCAGCTCACGCCACCATGACGGCTGCCGTCAGCTCTTCTCTTTGCCCATAGTAAGCTGTTGTGACCGTCTAGCTGTATAGGTGGTTCGTCGACAAATCCAGGCGAGACTGTACAGACATAGTAGTAGTGTGCGTAGAGGTTTGTAATGATGAGCAGACATGGCGGCACGGTCAAGACAGGCCAAGGTAGAGAGGGTAGTATCACGTCGAGGAAACATATCGTGCCGCCGGTGAAGAGACAGACAGCAAGGCCGATGAACCACGGTCCCGCGAAGCCGGTGATGGCGTCACCCCAGCGCTCGACGCGCTTGAAGCAGGCGAAGACACAACGGGCGGCAGCGCCAGGCATCTGCATTCGCTGAGCTTCTGCGAGTACAGGCGCCTCGCTTCAGAATGGGAAAGCGGGTGTGCACGCGGGGCGATGGTGGACGAAGAGAAGATGGGGATCCGCAAGTCACGCGAGCGGCTCACGAAAGACGCTCGAGCAGGGCCGTGGCACTCTAACTTCTCCGGGCTTGATCCTGTACGTGACAATGCCCGATGGGCGATATTGTACGGTTTAATTGGCGGGTACAAAACGGAGAGTGGATGGAGCAGCGGAGGACGTCACGTAAATCCCACAGCGCGCTCGCAGCCCGACGCTTGACTCCGAACCGATGCCAGTGCCTTCCATTTCACGCTTTAGCTCCTCCTCCCACATCGGGCTCCTCATTGGCCAGTCTCCGGCGACTATGCAGTCTAATTACTTCAATTCAACTCGAGACCCGCTCTCGCTAGACCACATCCGCTCGGTCCTGACCAGGCTGGAAGATACCATCATCTTCGGCCTCATCGAGCGCGCTCAGTTCGCGCATAACCCACGCATCTACCAGCGCGGCGCCTTCCCAGAACTTGTCAAGATCGGTTTCGAAGGCAGTTTTGTTGATTGGTTCATTAAGGAGACTGAGAGCTTCCATGGTGAGCGTGAGCGCCTATCAATGTCGGGACAACGAAGATCTGAATATGATCGACAGCCAAAGCACGACGCTATACATCCCCAGACGAGTACCCCTTCACGCCTTTGTCTGAATTGCCTGAACCAGTCCTACCCGCTCTTGCATACCCTCCACTGTTGCATCCGAATCGCGTGAACGCCAACTCGTCCATCCTCGCATTCTACACCCGCTCTATAGTCCCACGTATCACCGCCGGCGCCACTCGCGCGCTTGCTGCAAGTAAACGAGCCAAAGGCATCGTCGGCGAGGATGAGCAAGAAGATGATGGAAACTACGGTTCTGCGGCTACGCTTGACATTGAAGTATTGCAGGCAATGAGCAAGCGCGTGCATTACGGTCAGTTGCAGGCTATCTCGCCACCCTGATGCTAGACATACTGACAACGTCGTAGGCAAATTCGTCAGCGAGAGTAAGTTCGCGGCCGACCCTGCCGCCTTCATCCCGCATATCCGCAGCCGCAATACAGAAGCTCTGGAAGCGCTCATCACCAAGCCCGAAGTGGAGGCACGGCTATTGCAGCGCCTGCGCAAAAAGGCGCAGTTGTACGCACAGGATTTCGCCTCAGATGGTGAGGTGCTTGCCTCGGGCAAGGGCAAGATCGACGTCGATGGCGTCGTGGATCTTTACGAGAGCTACATCATACCGCTCACCAAGGAGGTTGAGGTGCGTGTTGACACAGTACATCTGATTGAATCGTGCGCCAACCTTTGCGTCTTTAAGGTCGACTACCTCCTTCAGCGCCTGGAAGGTCTATCGACCGAAGAAGTGGAGGCCTTATCAAAAGGTGCTAAGGTCGACCGGCATAATCGGTAGCGCCGTCGCATGGTGCATGAGTTGACCGAACGGTGCACCTCTAATTTTCTTGTCTGTCATAGTACGATACCCGTCTTCAGATACATCAGATACATACGACAAGTGAATGAATATCTTGCGCCCTACAGTATGATCGTAATAATCGCAAAGTCCGAATACGCCGCCCTACGTCATCTGAGTGCCTTCGTCGGCCGATGACGACCTCCGGAGACCGCCGCCCGAACCCGCGCCCTGGATTGACACACACGCAGTCATCGGGTGCGCGGGTGTGCGGTCCTTCCAATCGACCACCACCATCCTGCGATGAACACGAGCGCGTTGAAGGACTTGCTCTGCGATGAACCAGATTCCACACTTCTGGAGGCCGTGAATGGCAATCGCGACCATCGCGCTCTTCTACCTCTTCTTGATGCAGAAATACAGCGCAGCTCGTCTCGCCTGCAACGTCTGAGAGAGTATCGCAATAGTCTGGCATCCCCCATTCACAATCTACTTCCGGAAATCCTATCGCATATCTTCTTCATCTACGCGCAGGATAACGACGAGCTTTTCAATATGCGATGGGCGCGGCTGCTGCTTGTGTGTAGACGATGGCGGGACATCGGCATGCTGACTCCCAAACTTTGGAGTTTCATGGACTTATTCGCAGCTTACTACGATGAATGGGATGAAGCAAGTGCTCGAAAGGAAGCGCGTGATGCTCAGCGCGTTCGGGCTCAGATGGCCCGCGTCGGACTCGCGCCAACCACCGTCAAGCTGACCCTACATCTCAACCTATCTGAACCGAAACGGGCTTGCTTGCCGATGTTCTGGATTCCGTCCGCACTCCAATCTTTCCACCTGAACGGAATCAACGCACCGTTCCATGAAGTGATTGATGTATTCGTCAAACACCAACACTCTTCTCTCGCACACTTCGCTGCGTATCAATTGGTACCTGCAGGCCCATTCGACGACGCGGCCAGGGCAGTAACTCCTCTTCCAGACGACATTCTCAAGGTCAACCTTCCACGTCTAAGAGAGCTATCTCTAGCGGGGTTCCGATTCAACTGGACGTTCATACACGATCTTAGGGTTCTCAACGTGGAATATTACCCCGAGAATGACCTTTCGAGTACCCTACGGGATATCAGCGACGCCCTCACGCGTTGTTCGGCCCTTGAAGAATTATGGCTCATACTGCATAGCGAGGGCGATGGATCCATGATATCATCGTTTTCGCAGACTGTATGGCTCCCAAATGCCCAGATCATCTCTTTGCAAGGACCTGCCGGGTTCTGTTTGGGCCTTCTGGAAGCTCTGACTGATTTGCCATGTACCTCGCAATTGCGCGTCTCTCCCCTCCATCCACCATCACTTACTTCAAACGATGTTTGCAACTCGCCACTATTATCTTATCTCACTAGTCACGCACGTCGAGTGGATGCGCCCACTATGCGTGCCGTGAGCCTTGTGAACCAACCCTTGGCCGGGATGTATCAAACGGGAGTAAGCGGTTACGCCCAAGTGGACCGCTGTCTCGACCCCGAATACATGTCCAACCACCATGGGCAACCGTCTTCGCATATCCACTTCTCGACGAGACGTCATATTCAAGACGCCCCCTTGCCTACTCCTGAAGTCGAGCATATCATGCGTCATATCATTCGGACATGGAACTTTACAAATGTCACACATTTCGATTTGCGATTGGCTGGCTGGGATCCTGATATCCCATGGCAACATCTTCTTGCAGAGTTACCCTCCGTCACCACGATCATCATGCGTCCCGAACAGCCCACCAGCCCCCGACTCGTCCTAGGTTTCCTGCACGAACAACTACAGACCCACGGCCGGCGCGTTGTTCCAAACATTGTGTTCGATGCTCAGAAAGTGAATCCATACGTATCGCATGCTGAGCTATCACTGGAGACGCTTGCCCGAAGGACCCTCATGCATACCCTAATGTATTGTGCTGCTGCTGCCCGCGCGGGAGTACCACTGGAAACCGTGGAGATAATCAACGACCTCGAGCCGTCGAGGTTCAAAGCTCGCGTGCTCGAGCCCACGATCGCCTCCTTCGTATGGAGTGGACTCTACCAAGACCTCAGTACTGGCTTCATATATTGTGGTGTTCTGCACAATCAGGCTCTCGATTGCAGCGCGGTCGCTGCCGTCACGCCCCAGGGTTCACATTCCGAGTTGGAGTAAACGTCGATGACATTCACGGGCACGAGCAGACAATCCAAAACTATCGCATACGAGAGAGGGAGGGATACACGGGATCAGTAGCAAGTCGGAACCGAGGAGAGAATGTGGAGTAGTGGGAGTAACAGGTAGACACCGTAGGGTGGTATGTAGTCTGGAAAATGGAGTTGTTGATACAAGCAAACGAACGCTACGATGGGCAATCTGCAAAGCAGAAGTTAGGGGACCGCGAATGATGATATAAGGAATACGATAGAAGGAGTGGGTATGTGATTGCGGCCGTGCCGCAGAAGTGTCTTCCAAGTAATCGACAAAGAAATGTGAACAAATGACTCAGAGCCCTAGATCTGAGATCCAACTGTCAGTATGAGAGGGCTGCGTTGATGAAAGAGCATGTACCTTCGAATAGACGCTTAGCCTCCTTCTCACCGATCTTCTGCGTCGCGCGCCGGACGAGCAACTTCTCAGTGCGGAAACGCTCGTAGAGTACCTCACGAGTGTGTGTTTTCAGCATCTACAAAGCAAACGTCAGCATCAGCATCGTAGCAAGGGAGACCTTAGAAGAAGTTGGAAGCAAGTTGAGTCCCTGGACGCCCACATCTCAATGCATGTATGCATGCAACACGTCAATCAGTGCCACATCCCACGAACCACAATCCCACGTGCTGGTTTGGGCCACATCCAGCGCAGATGTATCAAAACGAGAGTGGCCCACTCAATTGACGGATGTCTCGGGCATCGGGATCATCATCCAATAGATCAAACGACGCACCTTCATGTGCGTGCTCAACACCGCGACGCGCAGCGCCGCAAAGTCACAGTGTGCGGGGTTCAGGACATCGACAGTACCCCATCGGTATGCGCGGGTGAACACACCCCGCAAGGTCTCGGGTGCGCCAGTTCCAACGAACGAGCTGTCTGCTTGCGAGTGACCGCTGACGCTCTGGTCGGGGTGACCATGTCCGCTCACGCTGCCTCCTCCGCCTACATAGCCGTTTCCAGCTCTCCGCGTGCGCTCGGGCATAATCAGGGCGAATGGAACCGCACGCGCGAGATCACGCTCCGCAACGCGGGCAGCCTCGAAACGAGCCACTGGCACGCTGTCCATCTCGGAAGGGTCGATACGCACGGGAGAGCGTTCTCCACCGGATCCGTTGCGTATGCGCGAGCGCGAACGAGAACGAGTGGGTCGAGCAGAAGAGGCACGTCTGCCTGTGCGCAACTTGATGACAGGGCGAGCGCGTTGTTGCGGTTCCTCTTCCTCTTCTACCACAGCACTCTCGTCTTCAGCCTCACCATCAGGGACGGCGAGATGACCGTTTCCGTTCTCGCTGACTTCAGAAGGGCTATCGGAAGAAGCTGCAGCCAAGATCTCGTCGTCGACGCTGGGATCCGCTGCCTCCGGCCCAACACTGCTCTTGGCGCTCCGGGTTGCGACAAAGACGCCTAGGTCGAGTTCGGCTTTGGCCAGCTCGGCACGTACAGTGGCTTTACAGCGAGCAAGTCTCGAGTCGGAGAGCATGTCTGCACGAGCAATGACAGGAAGAACGTTCGCCCGTCGGGAGAGGCGCCCAAGTGCGCGCAGGTCGGCCGGTGCCATGGTCAACTCTTCTTCCTCTTCTTCTTCCGCCTCATCCTCGTCTTCTGAGTCAGAGCCGGAGTCGGAAGTCAGCGGTGGTGTACTCTCGCTAGTCTCCGCGAGGTGACGTGTAGCGCTAACAGTGGCATCCGACTGAGTTCTCGTGTGCTGGCGGTGATGCGCCTTGCGCTCGCGTTCCCTGCGGCTGACGATACTGTCCGGGTCGATCATATAGACCACAAGATGCACATGTCCGTCCATTCTCCCGGCTGCCGGTCGTATGACCTTGCTCTCCTCTTCCATAGTCTCCTTGAACCTCTGCTCCAGTCCCGATATCAGCGCGCCCAGCTGACGCTCCAAAACGAGTTCGCGTCCCGGGCGCACATCCAATCCGGGTGTATCCGTCACACGTAGCGCGAGCCGGTCAAACCGCGCTTCCGCGAGGTCCGCGGCGAATGTGTTCGTACTGGACGTCGGACGAGTCGAACCACGCAAAAATGCGCGTAACTCTGGAGTGGGTTGCGAGGCGAGATCGGATGTTGCCAGTAATAGCCGCAAGAAGGTGGTCTTTCCAGTCCCCTGCGCGCCAGCGACCTATCATGACTCTGTCAAGACATACAGATGGAATAGAGGATAAGGATGCACACCATAAGATTGAACTGCGGTGGCGCGCGTACAGGTCGGCGAGGACGGGCAGTGACAGTAGGCACAGGGCTTTCGGTACCAGCGCGGGGGTCGAAAGCAGCAGCTCGCTCGCGTTCGTATAAACGTGAGATAGTATGTTCGCCACTGCCATTGCTCGCGCTCATGGCGCGGAAGGGTTTGTGCCACGGTACGGGCCCTGGGCCACCGAGACTCGTTTTTGCCGGGCTCGCCGGCGAGCCAGGCGTCGGGACGTCGGTGGCTTCTGCCTCTGGCGACGCGCTGCGCAACGCGTCGGGGTCAACCAGGTCGGCTGGCCATTGCAAGCCTGTCGCAGACAGCGTCGGCAGCGACGGCGACTTGCGCGGCGGCTCCGGCTCCGGCGGAGGCGTCGCGGGACGCTTTCTGAAGGATTTGAACATCGCGCTCAGCGCTGAGCTCGTCGTTGAGGACAAAGGGGGGCGCCAGGGACGTGCCCGTCGGTTAACCATATCATCCACGTGGACCCATGTTCTTTTCCATGCTTAAAGTCTTCTCATCAATCAACCGTGAGGATGATGAGATGACGAGCTATAGCCTTCTCTCGCCCACACGATGACATGACTGATGGACAGTACTATGTAATACGCATACGGAGGCACTACGCGAAACCAGATACGCAGCTCGACACAGTCGTACTGTAAATGGACACTACGCATCCTCATCGCCGTCAAGTGGCTCGATGAGTGGCACCGGACCAATGGGTACGATCCTATGAGGGTTGATCTGCAGAGAATGTACGTCAATCGATTCGGGATAGAACACCAGCACCAATAGCTTACAGTGATGTGTGACCAGTAGTAGTGCGTTTTGATGTGATCAAAGTTGGTCGTTGACCTGAATACGTCGTTACCCCAGTACAGACGGCGAAGCCAAAGGTTGATGGCGGGATATCCGTGGCGGATGGTCTTGAGGTTGCACTTGAAGTGGCCAACGTATACAGGATCGAAGCGGATCTATACAAGGCGCATCGTCAAACCGAGAGGAGTCTTGTGCAGCGGTTAAAACGCACAATCGTGACGAAGAGTCGGACGTCAGCCTCGGTGAGCTGATCGCCAATGAGGTATGTCCTGCCGCTCAGTATGCTTTCAACACGATCGAGCCCTTCGAAGACCTTGACGACAGCTGCGCGATACGCATCACTGCTTGTCGCAAGACCGGACTTGTACACGCCATTGTTGATATCGTTGTATACGCATGCGTTGAGCTGGTCAATCTCGGCGCGAAGATTCTCGGGGTACAAGTCGACAGAAGCCTTGTCTGCGGGTAAAAGGTGATTGAACGCGGTATTGAACATGCGGATGATCTCCGAGCTTTCGTTGTTCACGATGATGTCTCTCTTCTTGTCGAAGAGTACGGGCACAGTGAATCGCCCGCCATAGTTGGGGTCCACGTGCAGGTAGACGTCCTTGATATGCTCTGATTCGAACAGCGGGTCCGTGTCCGCACCTGGGAAAGAATCCACAGATGCGAACGGCCAACCATGGGATCCCATGCGAGGGGAGACGACGGTGACGTCTTCGGTACAATGGAGGAATGAGGCTGAGTTTATCCAGCAGGAATTATCGGCGCGGCGTACCGATGAAGTCCTCGAGACCCTTCAGCTTCCGGACGATGAGAGTACGATGAGCCCATGCTGTAAGAAGCATATCAGGCGCAAACCAACGGAATGCGTGTCATGAGGATGCGCACGGCATGCATAGGAAACGTAGAGATGGTAGCGACCTGCAGAGTTAACGATGGCGGCGAGTCAGGTTGGTCCACAGAGATGAATACTGACTGCAATACGAACCAACTTCCGGCTCAAAATCGCCACCTCTCTCAATGAAGTTGCGGAAGCTTGACTCCGGGCGCTTCAAGGAGCCGTCTGCCTCGAGTTTGAACTTGGTGATGTCAGTCTGGTTGGAGGTATCGCGTGCGGAAGACATTGTGCACTGGCTAATCAGGGCTCGTCCCAGAAGCTACTCGGTCAGAGCGGGCGAAGATTTATACGTCCTGCGCTGAGTCGTTGTCGATTTGACTAGCTGACTGTACTCGGGAGAAGAGGACAACCTGTGACGGGATACTGGGCTCGTCATCGCACGTATTGATGAGTTACCCGCACCTCCAGTTCACGGGGTCAGGACTGGCGCTTGTCATGATACCGACGCCTCATAGGTAAGAAGAGTACACAAGCTTGGTCCAGATTAGCAAGCAATGTCAAACATCGTGAGTGATATGGTGATGACGTGCGGAGACAAAGGCCTCCATCGCGAAAGTGTGGAGGATAAGAGGCAATCGCGGTCACATGCCTTTGCCCAGTGGGCCGCGCGTCCAACGTTTTAATTACAACAAACTACGGGCGGGGTATCCCCTGACCGATATAGAAAGGTGGTCCTGCTTTGTAACCTCTCAATGACTATGCGAGTATTGAGGCTCTATCCTGCTACGCGTGACAGTTGTTCTCGGATGCTCCTCCTGTCGCGCGGGTCGTCGAAGCCGGCAAGCCGTGTTAAAAGGCAGATGATGGCCAACTACATGGCATAGCTCAAGCAGCAGACGAGAAAGAGATATCCCTTGGAACACGCTTCCCGTACGGGTCATAGTATGCGGAAGAGGGTCGGGGCAAGATGGCGCTGGCGCTAGTGCTGATGGTGGTTGCAAACAGGGCTGAGAATCCCTCGCGACGCGTCGGCGTATCGGTCTTCTCGCGCTCACCGCAATGGTGGCCGACTGCTTACTCATATTCCGCTGAACTATCTCTTTGATTGTAGATACATGACCACAGAAGAGTATAAGTAAATCGGAAGTCAGCGTTATATCATACACTCTATCATAAACTGATACTCGTGCATCCTAGCTCGACTCAGGCACCCTTCGCCGTATACTTCGATCTCTCGAGTTCGACAATGTTCTCCCTTCCCTTAGAGAGCATTCTCCGGATGAAATCATCCAGAAGTACTATGATACTGGTGAAGAGGGACCAGATAATATTCGGCAGGCCCTGTCCCGTGATGATGCAGACAGCAGGCATAATTGCCGTCAGCCCGTAGGCTACGCGGCTGGTTATGGGCGGTATCTTGAAAAGCCAGGGAAAGTCGGTCCAATCTGAGAGGGCCAAGTCCAGTAAGATGACGATGTTCGAGAAGGCGAAGAGTTGACCGAGAGGTATCGGTGTGCTAGGCTCGTGATGTTCGCCTCTAGCTTCGGCGCTGCGAGCGAAGAAGGGGTCCACGGGGTTATTGTTCTGCAGTAGGGCTACAACCTGCCTGAAGGCATAGTGGTGTGTCAAGAGGTATTTCTCTGAGCCCATGATTGACTTCTCACAGGAAGATGGAGAGACTGATTATGGCGCGCAACATGAAGAGTGACTGCTGTGAAGACTTCTCATTCTCTCTACGCATGGACTCGATGACATCTTCTTGCTCTACATTCCACTTGGTAAGGAACATCGCCACGACATCTCAAGCGCCACACCGCACCGATCTCGTCCAGTACGCGGTTCTCGCCTTCGTCGTCGGAGTCAGCAGCCTTGAAAGCCACGCGTTGTCGTACTGATGTCATAGCAATAGAATATCACTAGATAGAATAGGTTGTGTATGCGTCTACTATCGCGGCTGGCAACGATGATGACCGTTTGGGAAGAGCTTCCGCGCGGCGCGCGACGCGTTCAAGAGACGCGCACACGTGCTGACGCACTTTTTCTTCGATCTCCATCTCTCGTATGGGCCACATCTGCTTCAAGCTCTTCCTTTCCCTTTGCACGCATTTGGCAGCCGGCTGACAGCATCACTTGGTCACCCACTATCATGTCATCCGCTGTACCGGTCGAAGAAGGCCAATTTGACGATGCGCCCGAGGACGTGCAGACCGCCGCGCCTGTTCCTCAATCTGCTACCACAGCTCCAGACTCGCGGGGTGGACACACTTACATCGACGATGATACACCTCTTGACCCTAAGATAAACTTGGACTGGTCTGAGGATGAAGAGGTGTCCGAAGACGAGGACGACGAAGAAGAGTATGAGGATGGACTTGCGCGAGTGGAAGATGAAGATTGGGAGATTGCTGAACGGGGTTTGTAGGAATATATCAGAGCACGAAGTCTTATTTGCTAACTAATCGCCGGCTACAGACTTTACGAAACAGTATAATCGTCTAAAGCAACATCTGGCTGTACAGTCCGGCAACGCGCAAGGTGTATCCTCGGCTACGAAGAAAGCTGCTGTTGCCCCTCTACCCGCCGTAAACCACCCCCGCGCTGCAGGCACTACTTCGACCAAGGACCAGACGACTGACCAACTTGCTGCTCTGTCAAAGTTCTCCTCCCGCCTCGCCAAGATTGATACACCCTATCAGATGGGTGTAGGTGTTAACCGCAAGGGTCCCAGTGCGACGGCAAACATGAAGGACAAGTCGGATCGCGCGACCAACGAGCAGGTGCTCGATCCTCGTACACGTATTATCCTCTTCAAGATGATCGGCCGTGGGCTCGTGCAGGAGGTGAACGGGTGCATCAGTACTGGAAAGGAGGCGAACGTTTACCACGCTGTTACACCCGAGGGCGCACACCTTGCGTTGAAGATCTACAAGACATCCATCCTTGTGTTCAAAGATCGCGACAAGTACGTCTCGGGCGAGCATCGTTTCCGGCGCGGGTATTCGCGGCGCAACCCTCGCAAGATGGTGCGCTTATGGGCCGAGAAGGAGATGCGCAACCTACGGCGGCTCGTCGCCGCTGGAATCCCCTGCCCTACACCGATTGAAGTTCGCGAGAACGTCTTGGTCATGTCTTTCCTCGGCGACGAGCAAGGATGGGCCTCTCCGCGGCTGAAGGATGCTGAGCTGGATCAGGAGGCGTATACGCGCCTGTACAAGGAACTCGTCCTGGCCATCCGCACGCTCTTCCACTCGTGCAAGCTCGTTCATGCCGATCTGAGCGAGTACAACATTCTCTACCACGCCGGTCACCTGTGCATCATCGATGTCAGTCAGAGTGTCGAGCATGACCATCCTGCTGCGTTCGACTTCTTGCGAAGCGATCTAGGGAATGTGGAGGACTTTTTCGGCCGCGGTGGTGCGCGCACGATGGGCTTGCGCCGTACCTTCGACTTTGTCACTCGCGAGAAGCTGGACGATGAGGATGCCGGTGCAGTCTTCGACGAGTGGCTCGCGGCAGCGCCGAGTAAGGAGGAAGGTGCCGATGAGCTTACTCTGCAAGAGGATGCCCACGAAGAGAGCGTGTTCAGACAGTCATACATCCCGCGCAGCTTGAACGATCTCTTGAATCCAGAGCGCGATGCTGGCGCAGTTCAAAGCGGCGCCCGCCTCATGTACTCGGATACTATCGGCATTGTCGACGATATGGCTCCCAAATCCAAACCTGTCGTGCGCTTTGATGGAGACGAGGTGGCCGGCGAAGCCGAGGCCCGTTCATCGGCTGATGATGAACATCCATCGGACCTGGGTTCAGACTCGGAAGTGGAGGGTGAAGAAGGTTCAAAGGAGTTTGTCGAGCGCCAACCGCGCGGTCACCGCAACGAGGATAAAGCCGCAAAGAAGGTGCGCCCAACTCATTTCCGCTATCTGTGCTTCCTCGTATCTAACCAACGAGCACAGGAGCGCAAAGCAGCCGTGAAGGCGGAGCAGCGAGAGAAACGCAAGCAGAAGATGCCCAAGGCCGAGAAGAAGAAGCGAGTGAAGGCCACTGCGCGCGGGGGCTAGATGCTCGGCCTAGATCGTACCCTCATCTGCAGAACGTTGTTGATTATCATTCCACGCCGGCGCACTGCCATTGTAGCCATAGCTGTAGTAGAGTAGAATGTGTTTTTATTGTACCTGTAGCAGTACCACCTCCTGCAAAATCCCCCTCGGATGAGCCGACGTTTGATATCGCGACTGGATCCTCAAGCGTCCGTAATGCAACCATGGCTGGCGTCTCCGACGAGTTTGACGTACTTGTAGAGCGTGCCCTGGTTGACCTTGAGCGGGGGAGCCTTCCACTGTGCCCGGCGCTCCGCAAGCTCGTCTTCTGTCACGTCCATGTCCATCGTGTTGGCCTCGGCATCGATGGTGATCACGTCCCCGTCGCGCACGAGAGCAATCGGGCCGCCGACCTGCGCCTCAGGGACGACGTGTCCGATCACGAAGCCGTGCGAGCTGCAGAGCATACAGTCAGTTCAAACGTTGCACACCGTACAGAGACCGGGCGCGAGCGGTGTGGGAAGCGGATGGCGAGGGGGCCGAAGAGACGGGTGTGTGTAATTAGGTGTGTGGGAGGACCGAGACGTACCCGCCACTGAACCGTCCGTCTGTCAAGCACGCGACATCCTTCCCAAGACCAGCGCCCATGATCAAGCTCGTCGGCTTGAGCATCTCCGGCATACCTGTTTACGTGCGGCCAGTATCAGTAAGGACCCCTGAACTTTCGCGGGCGCAGTGTGAATAGAGAAAGGTATCGGGGAATGGTGGGTGTAGAATGGGCAAAGCGGGAAAGAGGGTCGGGGACGGAGAAGAAGCAGGGACTGTACGGACCAGGACCGCCCTTCGGGCCTAGATAGCGCAGCACAACGACCGTCTTTTCACCCTTCTTGATAGAGCCGCTTTCGACCGCATGGACGAAGTCCTCCTCGTTATCGAATACGCGAGCTTTTCCGGTAAATTCGAGGCCTTCCTTGCCGGTGATTTTAGCGACAGCGCCGCCTGGCGCGAGATTGCCCTTCAGGATTCTATGCGTGTGTCATAATCATAGGGTCCAATTCAAGGGTTATACGGACGCAAGCTTACCGGATATGACCGGACGGCTTGAGGGGTTGGTCGAGGGGACGAATAACATCCTGGCTCGTGTCGAGCTCGCCATACTTGTGTGTCCACTGCTCGAGGTTCTCGCCCAGAGTCTTGCCAGTGACAGTCATGTTGTCGCCATCGATGAGCTTGTGCTTCAGCAAATAAGCGAGAATTTCTGCGGAATAATGTAAGCAACGCTCAAATTCGACGACACAAGAATCCCGTGACCGTACTGGGAATGCCGCCGATCTTGTGCACGTCCTCCATCACGTACTTGCCACTGGGCTTCAGGTCGGCGATGAACGGCGTACGATCAGATACGGCTTGGAAGTCGTCAATGGTAAGCTCAATACCGCACGAATGTGCGACGGCGATGAGGTGCAATACGGCGTTCGTCGATCCACCAAGGATCATCGTAAGCACCTGTACGCAGGGTCCATTCAGCATTGGGCCGATATGGGCGGTGATTGACGCTTACCATCGCATTTTCGAAGGCCGAGCGCGTCATGATATCCCTCGGCAAGATGTTTTTCTCAAGCAGGTTGCGCATTGCGGGACCAACAGCATCACACTCAGCGTGCTTCTCCTCGTACTCTGCGGGGAACGAAGACGATCCGGTCAATGTCATGCCGAGTGCCTCCGCGGCGCTGGCCATTGTGTTGGCCGTGTACATCTATGATGAAGATTAGAATCGAAATTTGTCCTGTATTGGATATACATACGCCACCACATGCGCCAGGACCGGGGCATGCATGCCTAACGGTGTCGTAGCGAATCTTCTCTGCTTCCTCCGTCTTGCCTGATTGCAAGTACTGCCCGTATGACTGGAATGCAGACACGAGGTCAAGCTGGGGCTGGCCTGCGCATGATCCTGGGCGAATCGTTCCACCGTACACCATCATACCAGGGCGATTTAACCTTCCCACTGAAAGCAATATTTGTCAGTACATCAGGTCGTTTGTCTCTCTAAAGAGGCGCACGTACGAGCAATGAGTACACCAGGCATGTTCTTGTCACATCCGGGTACGGTGACCATACCGTCGAGCCAATGTCCACCAGCAGCAGACTCGACCTGGTCGGCAATCAGGTCGCGAGACTGAAGGGAAAACGACATTCCGCGGGTGCCCATGCTGATGCCGTCGCTGACGCCAACAGTACCGAATTGATACCCCACGATGCCAGCGTTTTCAAGAGACTTCTTCACGCGTTGACCCAGCCCAAGAAGATGCCGGTTACATCTGTATAATTTGAGTTCGCTGTACAGTGCTACGTAAGACTTGCACGCACGGGTTGCCCTCATACCTAAGTATCGAACAGACACACATGAGTAAATGCATAGAGCACGGTCGAGTAACACGCACCAAACGCTGGCGACACCGACCATGGCCTTGTTGAAGTCCTCGTCGGAGTTAATGCCCTCTGTCGCGTACAACATAGCCTAGAGTAGTCACTATTGAGCTTCTGCGTCCGCAATACGCCATATGAACGCACCTGACTGGCACCCTGGTCCTTCGGTTGTGTGACCGTGCGCGAGTACCGGTTCATGATGGGCTTCTCGTCGCGACGTCCAGCGCTCGAGCTGAACGCGCGCTTCACACCGGCCCGAGAAACCTTCATTGACTTCATGGTGAGCGGAGGTGAGGTTGCAGAACGCGCGATGAGTCGAAGTCAAGTCATGAAGGAATCAAGCAGCCGCGTTTCGGCCTATTTTCGGCCGACGCAGCGTGTGGCCCAAGGATCCAATCGCGCAACGCGCTTTTTGTTATGAACCGCGATGAACATCGGCCATTGTCGACGAGTATGGGCCTTGGTGTGAGACGCGTCCTCGTATCAGTGGGCGTTCCGCATATCGTGTCAAATGGCTATAGAACTGTGATTATCACGCGAAGACAGTGAGACGCACGGTAACATAGCAGATCGACTGCCTAATACGCCGGTTGTCGTGGACCTGTACGCTACGATACCGTCACACAGACCTTTAGAACATAGCGCGACGGCGGCATGGTCGTGATGGCCGCGGGCACTAACAGTGACATGATCAGGCTTGTCCTGCTCTCACTAATGACATGTCGAATCTTGTCATGCCTCTTCTTCCTACAGAACAAGTGTGTACGACGATACGATCGCTTTTTTGAATCGAAAAAACACATTCGTTCTGTCGCATTGTATGTCAGATGCGCATGAACTTGCATTTAGAGTATGGGGCGGACTTCGGGCCGCCATCCAGGTACAGACTTTAGCTCTCCATTCTTCGTCCCAGGAAGAAATTGGCTTGCTGATGGCTCACGCCACAAGAGATCGACGCTTTCGTTATGCCGCAAATGCCGCAAGACCTGCGAGCTATCGAGGGTATGCTCAGTTGCAAGAGAGAGCGGCAAAGGCAGTATGCCTGAAGAAGCGCGCCAGCCCCTCGGAAAGCTGCGTGCCACATGTGGCGCCGAACTTATTCGCGTCGGCTGCCTTTTGCGGTGCAGGGAATGTGACGCGATGCACGAGACAGAGGTCTAACCTCACCGTCATCTGCCGCTTTTGTTCGACCTACTAGGCTACAGCCTATAACGCGTACATACTATAACTGACGTGGTCCAAGTATTGAAAGAGGGATAATGAAGGGTCAACATGGACATGGTTGTAGCTGATTGTGGTCGCTGTCGGGGTTGATGGTCGGAGATGCTCCCGCTCCGCCCAGGTCCGCGCGCGGCCAGCGCGGATGGCTTCGCAACGTCCACGCAGCTGTCTTGTGAAGCTCATCGCTGTACCGGAGCCATTCCATCGCACGCGTCAGTTTCCGAACACGCGCGATGAATCGATGACGGCCCGCGTCTCGCGCTCACCCTGTCTCCCGCCGATCTCTCCTGGCGGCGCCTCTCGTCGTCCTCCTCACCTCTCGCTTTCGTCCCTCTGCCTCGGGTTTCTTTCTGAGAATGCTTCTGCATGCCACTGACTGACGGCTGTGCTGGACAACGCCAGAAATGGTGGGCATGACCGGTTGACAGCCGGGCGGCCCAACGCATTTTGCTTCCGCTCGAGGCGACTCAGCCCCTTTGGCCGGCCGTCCAGGTTGTCTCCCACCTCATCCACGTCCACGAACCAGCCTGTGCACTCCCCGAGTCCACACAGGAGGATCCGCCCACTCAGACCTCCCCTTTCAGCGCGTCTGGCTCCGTGCGCGCGGATGGACGCACGCCTGGCTGAGGTTTCGCGCATTGTCTCTCCCTTTCGCGCCGTGACCGACCAGTGCATTCCTCTTAAACCTCTGCATCCGTTGAGGTGTTTTCCTCCGCCCTCAACGCCCACTACGCCTATCGAGACGCCTCCCGTCTCCCGTCTGCCTCCAGCTCGGAAACGCGTCGAACATCCGTCTTATCCTCCGCCGAAGCCTCCGAGCGCGCTTAGCGGATCCACAAGCGAAGGGATCTATCTGCCTCACGAACAACTCGACAGCTGCGCCACACGACCCTACAGTCCGATATCCAATCGTCTCCCTATCCCTCACACACTACGAATATTTATAATCCATGAGCGGACATGGCCAAGACGACGGGAACGGTCGAAGCAGCCTTCCAGAGCAGCTGCACGCACATCTACATCGCGCGCCGCCCGGATCGGAGAGCGGAACGGCGTCCCCCGCTCCAGTAAGCCAGTCGCAGGCCCAGATACCTCCGCATCAGCATCCACATTCGCAGCTCTCGACGCCGCATCCCCCTGCACTCGGCGACTACGTGCCAACCCCACCGATCCCTATCGGATACCCAGCTCGCCAGCAACAACAGTCGTATACGCTGCACGAAGATCCCTCGCGCACATACTTCAGTCAACAACCACAGCAACCACAGTACGGGTACCAATCTCAACAGCCTCAGCAAAGTCAGCCGCATGCCGGTCCCAGCGGCTGGAGACAGGAGCAAACCCTAGGTTATGGCGAGCAGTATGGTTGGCGTCCACCAGCTCAGGCCGAAAGCTACGCACGTCGCGGTGGGCAAGAACAGCACGATGCCGGGTTTGGCGCGCGGGACACCGGATATGGCGCCCGCGACACCGGGTTTAGCACAAGCTACAGCGGGCGCGACCCGACCTTCGGTGGTGGGCGCGATGTGGGGTTTGGCGCTCGTAGGGGCTATTCGCTGCGTATGTCCCTCTGCTCCTATGTTCCCCCGTTGAAGGCATCCACTGACGCGCAATACATTCATAGAAGGATACTCTGACATCCGATCCTCACGCTCGCCACCACCTCCCCCTGCTACTCAGCAGCAGACCTACGGCGGTCTGTCTTCCATGACGCCAGGTCAACCACAGTCATCATACTACGCCTCCCCTCTTGAAGATCCCCACGCCACAACTTCCACTTCTTTCCCAGGCTACCTTCCGCATGAGCACACGATGAGTTTCGGCAGCTATGACCGCTACCCGCAAAGCGATCTGCGCCTACCGATTCCCGGCGGCTCGGGGAGAGAGGATGTACAGTACGGGCACCCTCTTCCACCTGGCCTGCTTGGTCTCTCGATGCACACAGGGGCGCCGGGAACGAGTTACGGATCGCAGCATAGCGTGTTGAGTTCGCCAGGCCCGAGCAGTCTTGCGGGCCCTTCGAGCTTGACTGGTCCCGGAAGTAGCATGGCGGCATCGAGTCAAGGCAGCCTGCTCGGAGGGCCTTCAGACCCGCTCGGTTTCCCCTCTTCATACGAGTACGCCAGCGATCCCGAACCCCTTGGTACTCTGCGCGCTGTCGGCTCTACGCCTACGCCCGTAGGTGTCTCCATCAGCACTCCCCGTGGCAGCAGTAGCGCAGGCGGCAGTAGCGGACGCAAGGCCGACGACGACGATGAGGGCAAGCCCACGAAAAAGCGCAAGGTCGAGATCGCGTGCAACTTCTGTCGCCGTGAGTACTTCTCATTGATATACCCATTTTGGACCTGTTTCCGCCACTTGGAGTCATGTTCATCTGCGGTTCTCCCGATCGTCAGTTTCCGTTTGAGTTTTGGCAGTTGGTGGCGAGCGGCCCCACCTTGTGGGTGCGTGTAGGTGTGTGGATATGTGGGCGTGCGTAGGCGCCTTCATCTCCGCCACTTGCCTCCGTTTATCTTCCTCTCCCCGATCGTCCCGCCCTCCTCCTCCGTTCGTTGATTATGACGCGTGTACTGAACCCTTGCTCTCTGCAGAACGCAAGCTCAAGTGCAGCGGTACCAAACCTGCGTGCGACGCCTGCATCAAGCGCGATCAAGCCGAGCGGTGCCAGTACGAAGCCTTCCCGCGCCGACGCGGACCAGGCAAGGCGCCTCGCGGGACGCGCAGAACCGCGCATCGTTCACGCGCTACGGCGCCTGAGGCACAGGCTCAAGGCTTCGGTATCATGTCGCCCGCGATGAGCGAGGCCGGACCGTCCACGTCCAGCCGCTTTCAACCTGTGTCAAGCCAGGTTGGCAGCTACGGCCAGCCACATCATGGCCCCAGTTTCGTGCAGATGTCTGGACAAGGGTATGGGCAGCCGAGGGCGGGGCCGAGCTCGCAGCCGCTGTCACAGGGTCAGACGCCAGGCCCGAGTGAGTTCGGGGCCTATGCACCTTTGCCGGCGCCAGGATATACGCTCCCGAGTCCGATCGCGCCACCATCGCTGGCCCCGTATGGAAGTGCGTTGAGCATCCCGGGCCCAAGCGGTGAGGATCAGCGGCGCAGGGCGGAACAGCAGCGTCAGCAACAGCAGTACGAGGAGGAGCAGCGGCAGTTCAAGGAGGAGCCTCACGGATATTGACCTGGGACTGTCATTTGACTTTGCTCTGATTTACGACCTACTGACGAACGGTTATGGACGCTCTAAGTTATCCGTAATCCGTATCTGTATATCACATAATGGGACCCCTGTATTTCTGTGGTACTATTACCTAGTTCTTTGTATCTTTGTTTAGTTGTACATAGACTCCCTCTACACAGGAGTAATGGATTTGTAGTTCGGATCACTCGACGGGGAAGCTCTCGCGGTACATCCCTCGGCACGACGGCAATACCCGTACCCTTCAATTCGAGGGTGCGTATAGCAAAGCAACCAAGATCACGGTAAGGGGAAGTTATGCGGCGCCGAGGGGCAAGCCGACCGAGCCGACTCCCGCGCCGTCAATGCGAAAGTGATTCTCCGAGATGCGAACTGACGTTAGAAGCTATGCTGGAACATAGATACAATCAGGGATAGGGGAACATGTTGACGAGGGATAGAGAAGTGTCACCCTCGATTGCAGCATTGGGTTTGGAAGTTAGAAGTTGCACGGTCGGATATAATGATTCAATATATGAAATTAGACTTCCGGCCGGGTTCACAGCGGGGGAACGCGGGGATGTTGGAGTGAGAAGAGCGTGGCCCCTGGCGGCCACGCGATCGTATTTTCTATATGGCCTGTGAGCTCCTGCGAGCCACGCTGCGCGCTGCGTGCCTCTTTTTGCGGTCACACCGAGGGTCAGAGAAGCGGATCGCTCGACTCGGCGCTGGTCGCCGTTACCGGCACCAACTGATCTGCGTAGCCCGTTCCGCAAACTGATTACGCCCCGCACCGGCACGTTTCTGCAGCCCTCCATAACTCCGTTGCCACACATCGGCCCCCTGCAACGATGCGAATCGAGTCGATGGCCTCTCTAATTCGCTCTCTTGCCCGATGCCGAGCAAGGGCAAGCTAGAAGGCGTACCGATGAAGATTTGGCTCGGACCAAGCTGGACTGAATAGCACATGAAAACAGGCACCCAGTGCGCGCGTGGGGTTTTCTGTGCCCGACCGGCGGTGCCGCGGCCTCCGAAGCAGCGCACTGCGCTGTTTGGGCCTCGACTCTGGTAGAGCTTCCGTTCGCTGATATAGGTATATTCTGATCCGGCGGGCGCATTGTACGTGAAGAGCGGGGTACAGACAATGCGTTTTGTAGACGTGCAGTAGCGAGGATTCTTTGCTGCAGAAGGCCTGTGCTGTGAAGGGAAGGCAGGAAGGTTGAGTTCAGGCGTTGACGCGTTTACGAGGAACGTAACGCATCCAAGGGACAAGAAGCTCGTGAATAGTACTCACGGCCATGATCACGCGGGGCTCCCGTTTTTGAGATCGGCGAGTCTGGGTCCCGCTGTCGGGACACGGAGGAGAGAGGGAATCAGTCTCGGGCGAGCGGTCGGACTGTTCCCTCCTTACCTTGCCCCGCACGACCATCTTGAGTGACCAGTACGACTGTCGCGCGGATGGAGTACACGATCATGGTCGCCGGTGCGCGCGCGGGCAAGACGGCCTTCCTCCGCACCCTGCTCGACACCGCGGACATTGCCACGAGCGCGACGGCGGAACAGCTGAACGGAGTCGCCGCCTTTGCGGCCGGCGCGGCGGGGCCCACTGTGGGGATCCGGACCTGCAGCGTGGACGTCGCGGTGGCAGACGGCGCGGTCATCCGCCTGAACGTCGTGGACACGCCCGGGACGAACGAGGGCGGGGTCGCCGCACCCGGCCGGGCCGAGCAGGTGTTGAGCGAGCTCGTCCGGTTCGTCGGCGACCGGTTCGCCGAGACCCTGGCAGCCGGCGGGCGCAGCGCCAACGACCGGCACGTCCATCTGTGCGTCTACATGCTCGACCCGGACGCCATCGTCGCACCCACCACCGCCCTCGCCCGTGCCGCTCTCCCGCCTTCGGAAGTTGCCGCGATCCAGCGCCTCAGCTCCCGCGTTAACGTCCTCCCAGTCGTCGCCCGCGCAGACACCCTGACGTCCGACAGGCTGGCGTCCGTCAAGCTCGCCGTTCGCCGCGACTTGGCAGACGCCGGCATCGGTTTCGGAATATTCGACCTCGACGATGCGCAGGCCCAGGACGCGGCCGCCCCTTCGTTTCTCCGCCTGCCGTACGCCTTGTTCGCCCCGGACTGCTACGGCCACACAGACGGAGTCGGCCGCCAGGTGCTCTCCAGGCACGAGCTCCTGCAGACCTATACGCCCACCGGCGGACGCGCCCACGGCCGGCTCGTGCTCGGCAAGTACACGCGCGCCTACCGCTGGGGCCACGCCGACGTCCTCGACCACACCCACTGCGACTTTCTCCCCCTCCGCCACGCCATCTTCCACCACAGAGAGGTTAGTGCCAGTAGCGATCACCTGACTTGTCCCATCTCGCCCCTAACTTCGCGCTTCTTCTGCACAGACGCTCCAGAAATACACCCGCGACTATCTGTACGAAAAGTTCGTAAAGGAGCTCCCGGCCCCGCCCACGCTCACTACGCGTCCCATCCTTACCATTGACGCCGCTCCGATCTACCCGACCAACGCCGCGCCTCTCCCGGTAGCTGTTCCCCCGCAACAGCAACCGCCGTCACAGCCTTCGGCGCCCGCAACCTCGCGCGCGAAGAAAATCACGATCGCCTGCAACTTTTGCCGCTCGCGCAAGCTCAAATGCGATGGCGCGCGCCCCGCGTGCCATCAATGTCAGAAACGCGCGCACGCGTGCGATTACCAGGCGCCCGCGCGTGGCGGAGCAGGCGCGCGCCGGAAACGGCCGAGCGCGAGCTCCGGTGGCGAGGCTGAGAATGGGGAAGACAGCGATCCGGATGCGGAAGGAGAGCTGGATGCCGGATCGGCCAGTCCGGTCGCGCGCTCGGCGCATACGCCCGATCACGAAGACGCCCATGTCGCAAACGGCAATGGAAATGCTGGGGGACAGTTCTACGATCACCCACCGCCCGCGACGATGCTCGCCGCGTTAGCAGCGAGCGCAGGAGGCATGAAGAGCGAGCCTGTGCTTCCCAGCTCGCTCGAGCCACATAGACTCATGCCTCCATTGCCGCCTCCACATGCAATGTCTTTGCCTGCACCCAACGTGCCCATGCAGCACCACGCGCTCGCCTTACAACACGTGCTGCATGATCCCGCAAGCGTCTTGCCACCTATTCGCGACCTTTCGCAGCCTGGTCCTCCCGAGGCGGGGCCTAGCTCGACTCCGGGGAACAGTCCGCAGGCTGGCCGGAAACGGGCGGCTACGACTGGACAAGGCAAAGCAAGGACAAATGCCGGCTATGGCCCGAAGGTCGTCGCATGCAATCACTGCCGGGGTGAGTATACGTCTTGTTTGTACATGGCTCCATCATATTTCACTCAAGCTTCGCATACCGCACCGTATTCTAACTGACGCACCTGTTTTCTTAGCTCGCAAAACGAAATGTGACGGCCAACACCCGACCTGTGCGTCATGCGCCCGACGGAATCTCACCTGCAACTATGTCAACGACCCCAGCCAACCCTCTCGCCGACGCGCAAGTCACACCGCCGGCCAGACGCAAACGACATCCCCGCCCCACCAATCCCAACCCCAACCGCAGTTACCAGGGCAGATGGACGGCAGCCCGCTCACGCTCAGCCAAGGGCCGACACCACCGGGACTGATCATGAACGGAAACTACGCCAATGGCAATGGGCACGTCAAGCGTGAACTCGAACTCGACAATGGCGATGGACCCGATGGATCACCTGGTCGCGGCGACCCAAAGCGCATGCGGCTCGTCAACGGAATCGCGTAGTTTCCTGTCGTTCCGTCTCACTGCGCCTCCTTTCTATTTTCCTCTGCTTGCTTTGCTCGACTGAATACCGCCTCTCTGGACTCGGACACGGGCTTGTACACGAATCAACGAACGAACGAAAGAGTATCATTGTGGTTTATACTGTACGCTAGGCTAGTGTGGTCATCCTGTCTTCTTCTTTCTCTCTGGGCTTTCCCTCTCTCTTCCACTCTGTTCGCTATAGCAATTTTTGCCTCTGCTGTGCTTGTGAATTATAGTTATACCGTCAAGTTTCGTACCTCTGTGCTTACTATGTTTGCTCGATTGTCTGCCGACCATGTGTTTGATAGCAACCTTTCCTTGGCTCACCGACCTCCTCGCGCGCACGTACGATAGCTGGATACCTACCTATAGATGAAGATTCCAGACCTCGGCTCCCGGTGCTAGATATAACCGGCCCTCCCTTCCAGTTCTACAATAGCAACACCAAAAGCAAAGCTTCGGCCATGATCCGCAGTCCAGACCGGAGAGAACGTAAACTCTACAACTAGTGCGCTCAGTTTGACTGGGTTTCCCCAAGCTATCCCTCTTGCGAACCGTGACGCTGCACAGTGCAGGGGCTGAGAAGCACTCTTCGGGCAACTGGGGTTAGGGTTGGAACTTCTCCGCAGAGCCGCCGCCCGTCGGCTGACCACAAGCTTTCGGAGAACCACCATCATCAAGCCGTCTACAGCCCTCCAGCACCAGAGGCACTCATCTATAGTCCAACATACACACGATCTAGCTTTCCATCGGACGCCCACCGGCGCGTGGCCAAAGCGTCCGGAAAGACGGGGCGCGAGAACACGTCGTAGGCGCACCTCCACGGTGCTAGCTCGAGGCTCGCACTCTCATCCGGTTCTCGGTCCCTCGCTTGTATAGCCTTCCCTCGCTGTCAGTTTAGCCTTTCATACTTCCTCCTTCGACTTCGCGGGGCTGGCCTACAACATGATGTCGATCGTGCTATCACTCTTCCTAGGGCGCCGAAGGGCAAGTGCTCGCGGTGGGCACGTTACGGCTCTGGACCTGGTCTTCGCGGTGGCTCTGCATTCGTGACACGAGGTTGCCGAGCTTGTTCGATAAGATGGAGGAGGCGATTCGATCAAGCGATGCGGCGCGTGTTGGGGTGTACATATATCCTGTTTGCATCTCAGATCATAACGCCGCTTGTTCTCTTGAGCCACGTGCTACGTTATCAGGTTCGCAGCATCGTGGGCCGCACATGCTCGCCACGAGAACCAGTAACTTCCCAGAAGCCTTCTCGGAATGTCATAGAGTCGTTCGTGGATAATTGACCGAATCAACTCGCGGCGGGTCAACATCAGCACATCACAGATGTGCAGGTCCGAGTCGATGCGCTCAGGACAACATGGTAACTAACATTCAGCAAACATTGTCCTTGCTATATAGTCTCAGTATGGGGCTGAGCGACCTGCTTCGTGAGCATACACCCCGCTTACTGACATGCATCTTGCGGCCAGACTCGCTGTGGCTGGGACAATCGCTGCTCGATTTGTGCAAGCTAAAGCAGGTTTCGCGCACTTTCTGGTATTCATGCATTCAGGTCTTCTGCCAGAAAGTCTAGTTAGACTAAATTGATGCTAGGTGGCGAATTCGCAATCCTTCGACGCCGATCAATGGCGTACGGAGATTACAGCCGCGCAATCCCTTGGGATACAGGGCTTTGGTACGTTTCATGTTCAACGATGATGTCCATACTCTTACGTTTTCGAAGTCCTAGATACCGCTGGGAATTCATACGAACCCTCGCAGATTGGTACGGCCTATACCGTCGCTGAATCTCTGCCGCAAAGCTTCGAATTCATCTGGTCGTTCGATTTCAACTCTCACGCATGGAGTAACTCGGAGATCGTCTCGCTCGTTACAGCACACGCGTCAAGCCCTGCATCGTACAAGTGGAATGGCGACGTGCTCGTATCCACCTTTGGCGGGCAGACAGAAGATGATTCGTTCTGGTCTGGTCTCAAGCAGACCCTCAGAGGTCAGGGTATTACCATCTCGCTTGCGCCTGCGTTCAACAACTACACCGATCCTGACGACGCGTCCACTCTCTTGAGCCGCTATCCAAGCATTGACGGCTTCATGAACTGGCAGGCCTGGCCGCAGGACGTAAACCAGACGCTCACGACTGACACCGATCTCGCCTACCAGTCGGCCATCAAGTCGTCTCGCTCCGGTCCATTCATCATGTGTAAGATGTGCCCTCTGCGTGCTCTGTACTGAGCTGACGTTGAAGTAGCCGTCTCTCCATGGCAGTTCAAGAACCTCGATAGTCAGAATGGCGACCTGGATAACGACTGGGTTGAACTGAGCGATACACTTATCAAATACCGCTGGGAGCAAGCCATCAACGAAGTCAAGCCGGACATTGTCGAGTGAGTTCTCTCAAGTATACACTTCGGATGGCACCCATAGAGGTATCTCAGGATCGTGACTTGGAACGACTACGCAGAAAGCCACTACATTGCCGCGCTCAACCCGAACGTCGTGATGGCCGCCGACGCCCATGCATATGTCGACGGGGCCGACCACACGCCGTGGCAGATCATCATGAAGCACTACATATCCTGGTACCTCACGGGCACCGAACCCGCCGTTTCCGTGAGTCCCATCTCTTACGATCCTTCCCATCTTGATACTCATACCTCTGCTTCAATAGACCGATCAAGTGGTGGTATGGTATCGTCTGCACCCGAAAGCCGCTGTATGCTCTACGCCATCTCTCCCGCGCAACTCGGCGTTCCCTGCAGACGCCGTATTCGGCTTCGCGCTACTCACGAGCCCGGCGACGGTCACGATGGACATCGGCTCGAACAATCACTTCGAGTGGGATGCGCCCGCAGGCGTGAGCATCGGCTCGGTGCCATTCCCGCAGCAGGACAACCAGATCCCGTTCATCCAAATCATACGGAACGGCGCTGTCGTGGAGAGCGGCTTTGGAAGTGCGACCTGGAGTATGGAGTGCGAGACGTACAACTTCAATCCTTTCGTCGGCGTGATCCCAAATTGATCACCCAAGCGGTTTGCACTTATACGCAGTTTGGGCTGTGCACTATATATCATGGCGGACGCTCCGTGTAGTTCTGTCAATTCTGAAGAATGCCGACTGTCGCATGAACGATTACGGGGACAACAGGTCGGTCAATAAGAGGGCTATACATAGATCTCCTGAACGTATGACTCGGCTACATAATCAAACACTCCTTATCACCTCCACCCCTTCCTCCTCCATGTTGAGCCTCCAATTCCGCCAGAATGACCTTCTCCTCGTCGCTCAGCAACCCCTTGCGATCGCGTTCGCGCATGGCACGACGCTGGCTCTCCATCTCGGCCTTACTCCTCCTAAGTTGATTATACAGTGGATAGAGCGAATTGATATGTGCGGATAGATGCGTGTGGTAATACAGTGATGATTATGCCGATGCGAAGAGCGATGGCGGCGCGTAAGGATTGCGATGTGTGTTCGCGGGAGATTTAGGTGTACAGTTCGTAGGCGGATCATTAGGCCCAGGTGCAGTGGTCGTGTTCGTGGGTGAGGTCGTGACAGGTAGAGGTTGCGAAGAAGGATATCTGGAGCGTCATTAGGGATCAACGAATCCATATTGAGCGGCACATGCTTACCTGTCAACTTTGTGGGCCGCGAAAGGATTTGGCATTGCTCCAACTTTCGCATTCAGATTGGCTGTAGAGGCCTTGACTGATGCCACGCCTTCCTTCGCGGATGCCAACGCCTTCTTCCCTGCTTGTGATGATGTAGGGCCCGAAGAGGTAACAGGTTTGCGCTGCACAGGCTTTACTGATGCCGACTTGTTCGAGGAAGAAGCGAGTGACGAGCAATTGTGGGTCGCGGGGAAGCGGTGAGTTGGACAGAAGTCGAGGCTGCATTTCTGTCAAGTTGATGATATCAGTATACATTTCGACTTCCGTAGTGTTGTAACATACATCGCAATGAATGGGTGCGTAAAGGACCTTGCCGCACTTCCCTCGTGCACAGCGCGGCGTCTTGCTCTTCGTCTTGCCGGTCATGACCGAGCATTCTGCGTTCAAGTGCCGTTCCATCCGAACGTTGGGGTCCTCGCCGGGCGGAATGGCAACGGGTTCGTTGCATAGCGGGCAGTCGGGTGCCACACGGTTGTGACTGAACTCATCGTACTTCGCGCAAGAGTGCTGGTTGGGCAAGAAATGATCGCCGCAGAAAGATTCAGAGCAATGTTGGCATTTGAATGGAAGGAAGTCGACGAGGTTGCAGGAGACGTGAGAGCACTGGTGGCCGATGGCCAACAAGCTTTGTTCGCGGTCGGCAGCGGTGGACATGGTGGTAGTGGTGAGAGGCGTTGTGGCGCGTAAAGCCTCGCGGATAGCACTTATGAAGAGGACGCGTGTTCTAGCTTACGCGTCCCGCCACAGCGCACAGGCTGAGCGAGCAGGACAAGCAGTGGCTCCGAACATTCGAGCCATTTCGGGTCAGGCACGTGGCGCGCGGCTTTCGCCGGGCCGAACCTAGCCGTGCGGCGTGCACACTGCGTAGAAACGTAGCCTTGACCACGATGACGACGAGTCGAGTTTCAACCCGTATGCTATTTCTGTACGCATGGAGCTTCCATACAACATCTACTAGTGCCAAGTTGAAGAATATGGTAAAGGTCCAAAGTGAGCGGAGAGTACAGGTTCATCGTTCGGAAAGCACTTGATGGCCAGCGTAAGCGGGAGGGTCCTCCTGCGTTTGCATGACACTCAGGACCCGGTATATCAGACGGGTGATGCTCGTCTCGCTCGCCACCACTGGTGTATCTGGGTCATAAGACGAGTCGGTGGTCGGTGGTTGGGCGCTAGGATTCGCCGCAGACCTCCGCGTCAATTGACCTGCCGATCTCCCAGGGACGAGTCGTGCGGGTCCATAGCCGCTCCTGTCTTTGAGGGTATACCCAGCGGGTAAGTCCGCATCGCCTTCTGTGTAATCGCTTGCAGGAGTTCCGGGAGGAAACGGATCCAGCTCGAGCATAGCTGCTGTGTCTTTTTCAGGATGAGCGCGCCTTAGGCGACGCTGAACGATTATGGCACCGAGAAGGCCGATAATAAACACGGCGACGACACCGACAACGATGCCTGCAATGTCACCACCGGACAAAGCCTTGTGGGATGTCCCAGGTCCCGTTGAGCTATTGACAATGTCAGCTCACAGACGTAGAGGGCTTTAGTCTTACGCGAACTCACTTGGAAATCATGTCGATAGTGCCGCTCAGCACGTCCAACGACGCTGACTGACTCCAGTCGAGCATCTGTGATGCCTGTGGGCCAGCCCATACAGAAGAGAAGTTTCCTCCGTCTTTAGAGGCCAGGTCAAGCAGTGCGTTGTACTATGATATCAAAGCGTTAGATCGTGGCTATTGAGAAGTACTCTTCCGATTGAACGGACCTGGACTATCATGAATGACTGTATGAACAAGGCCATCGGTTCAGACGGATCTGTCCTGGACCATACTTCGTATAGAGAACGCATATACACATCTAGCCCCTTGTGTCAGTTCATCCCGATACCTGAGATGAGTCGCTGACACTCACCTCTGTAAGTTAAAGCAACATCATTCGAGCTAGGCTGAGCTCCTGGTGAGGCTAGGATAGAACGTCAGAGGCCGTAGCCGCCGTTTAGAAGATTCGACGTACTCTCATTGAGTATACCGGCAGCATCTCCGGTGGGTATTGTCCACGCAGGGCAAGGAATCGTCGAGCTGACCAGTGTCTGCAGGCTGGTAGAGCCCAATGTGTGAAATTAGCTTCCACAGGTTATGAAGTACGTCTTCATGACGCTTACAGAGACGCCCATGTCGAACTTGTCGCGACTGGGGATGAACTGAGTATAGAAAGCCCTTCCATCAGCAACCCCTGATTATGGGTCCATTGCAACTCGTTCGCTTGGCATGTCTGAAGATTGAAGCTGTGGACCGATCGTGAGTACAGAGTCGGAATCGGCGAGGCAGAGCGCGCCATGACAAGCTTACCTATTCCAGACAATCTGAAGATCGGGGGAGTACATATGGTTGTACATGAAGAGAGCGGACTGCTCTGCTGACGCCAGATACGTCGAGTTCCCGGTTGAATTCCATAGGTGTGCGGACAGACTAGGTGGATTCAGCTTTCTGGCACAGATCGTTCAGTAGAGCACTCACGCCACGTAGGCTCCGACTGTCTCTGCGCTTGAAGTGTAATCCGTTGGTAGAGATGCCTGCTGCGAGTCATGAAGTCATTTCAAGAGCTAAAGATAGGTCGCGTCTAGAGCCTACAGTGAGTATGGCACCCGCAGATGTAGCTTGGGACTTATTAGAACAAGTCATAATAGCATCAGGATAGCCGACGTACCATTGGAGTTCGGCGTGCAATGAGGCACGAAGCTTCCATTTCGCGTGTGTTGACTCCCGGCTGCCCCGTCCTCATCGGAGACAAGGTAGGCTTGCGTGATGTCCCAAACATGAACCGCAGTTCCCAGTAGATCGGTATCATTGTAGGCGCGAGATGCGTAGTATGCGGCCAGTCCCCACATCCTGCGCAGGCAGATCAGTAGGGTTTTGCGAACGGATGCGGCGACCAGACTCACAATGGATCAGTCGTAAGGTTTTGTTGCAGCCGAGAATCGAAGAAGTCGGGGTGGCCGCTTTGATATGCCGCAATGCTCTCGTGGACAAAATTGCGGTAGGATTGCCCGTTGGAGATGTAGTCAAATTGTGCGACGCTCCCCAATAGACTGGCAGATTGCCAAGCGGTCAGCGCTGGATTTCTCGTGTGAGGATGCGTGCAAGAAGAGGCCAGTTTGTGTGCGCACCATCATCTGTACCGTTGCTTGTATTGATGCTTTCTGTCATCGATTGGACGGCAGCTTGAGCGACGGAAAGGCGCTCATTCCGCGAACGAGTAGAGGTAGGTTTCTGAGGGTGTTGTTAAAGACTGATGTGCTTCATGACCTGTGGAGGGAACACACCCTCCAAGTGTCGGGGACTGTGAAGTTCTGCGCAAACACGCACACGGGCAGAATCCAGACGAGCAGCATTGAAAAGCAAGGCATTGACGCCGCTGGGCGAAGCATGGCGGTTCGCGAGCGAGAGCGGGGACACCCAAGTTGCCTAGCCTTTCGGCGGGGATGTTCAAGTATGCGACCGAATCCGAAGACGCGAACCTACACATCACGGATCCTCAACATCCGGAGACGGAAATGCTCGCTACGTACGTCAGAGCATTCAGTGCATATCAGTTCTAGTGGAATGGTGTAAACGATGCGGCGTGAGGCGGCCTTTGGCCTAGGTGAGATCAGGATGAGAGCAGGATGGCATGTACCGGTGCCGCAATACAGTGCTCGGGAGAGAGCTGTGTCCGTGACAGGCACCCACAACAACGCTTAAGCGCTGTCGCGCGGATGATTGTTCGATGAAGTGTATTACACTGACACGCCGTCTTGTCGCAGGAACAGGGTCGTCTGAACGAGAGTGATGAAATTTGAAAATGCATATTCGTTGAGAGGGCCATTGGGTTTGACTACATGGCCGTCTCAAAGGTCCGTCGAATGCTCCCCGCCCAGAATGATACCATGTAGGATGAGAACAGATGATCATATGCACCAGTGAACCTGTACAGATGAGGGTTATCGACAAACTGACAAGGTCCGAATTCGGCCACGGAGACGCGTGGCATGCACCGGCCAATGCCGAGCCAATTGATTCGCCGCCCGCACTCTTCTCTCCGTCTCTCATCTGCGCCCAACACCTTCTACTACTAGCACCGCTAATACAATACTCGGGATGGCACGACTTTCAAGATCCGGTGATTCTTGGCGGACTAGATACGTGGTCTACTCAGGAATTTCGATACCTATTTGCACGTAAACAATCGCACGAGATGTACACCGTCGATCAACGCATCCTCGCGAATCACACCAAAAGGCGCTCGCCGGCCAGCTATGGGCGTACCGGCTGTCCGCCATCTGAGGAACATGTGATGTGGCGTATCAAAATCAGTTCTCTGAGAAGACGTGGGTTTAGCGCGCGCAAGATGCGAATACTGGTAACTGGGTCACCCTTGAACGTTAAACAGATATGCGCGGACTCTTTCCAAGGCCGATAGATCCCAATGTATCGGCATTCTTGTCGGCACAGCCCCTAGGAAGGTGTATCCGCGCGTGCCGGAGCCCGTCGGTATACTTTGATGCATGCGTCTAGCCGAGCGTCGTGCCCTGCCCCAACTTGAACCTCCACGAAGCTGGAGTCCTTGCTCATGACCATGCGCCGCACTCTCGCCAGTATAGCCTACATAATTGCCCTCGCGGCTCGGTCAGCGACGTGTAAAGCTGTCTTTGCGCGGTTCATGGTACGTTCTGCTTCTTCTCAACGGAACCAGCCTCGTGACGAGTGCAGCGAAGGTCGTGAATTCGCAATCGTTTGACTCTGACCAATGGAAAGCGGAGATATCATCAGCGCAAAGTATCGGGATCCAAGGCTTCGGTGCGTCCCTACTGCTCAACCCATTGCACTCTGAGCTCATACGCTTGTAGCCCTAAATATCGGCAATGACACCGACTACCAGCCCCAACAAATCGCCACGGCTTACTCCGTCGCCGAACCCTTGGGCTTCAAGCTTCTCCTTTCTCTGGACTTCACATACGCATGGAATACGTCCTCGATGGCTTCCCTGATATCGGCGCACGCAAACAGCACGAGCATGTATAGGTGGAATGACGATGTTCTCGTGTCAACGTTCGGCGGAGACGACAACGGTCACCCAGATAGCTTTTGGGCAGACCTAAAGAGCACGCTGAGCTCGACGGGCGTGACGATCTCGCTTGCCCCAGCATTCACGACTTACAGGAATCCGAACTCCACACAGTCTCTCCTCGATACGTACAAGAGCATCGATGGGTTCTTCAACTACTGGTCATGGCCGCAAGACGTCAATCAAACACTCACCACGGATACGGATCTGGCATACCAAGCAGCCATCAATACCTCGCGCTCGGGACCGTACATGATGTGTGCGTAGCTTTGCGCGTTGCCATCGGCAAAGGGGCTCATACGCACTCTTACACAGCTGTATCCCCGTGGCAGTTCAAGAACTTGGGGAGTTCGGGAGGTGACCCAACAAATGACTGGATCGAGCTCAGTGATACCCTCATCAAGTATCGCTGGGAACAGGCTATTAGCGAAGTTCATCCAGACATTGTCCAGTGGGTCTCTCCGCGTTCCTCATATCGACTCTAATCTCACCTAGCGCGATAGGATTGTCTCTTGGAATGACTACGCCGAGAGTCATTACATCGCAGGGCTCAACCAGAAAGTCGCGATGGACCCCGCTGCACATGCATACGTGGACGGCAAGCAACATACCCCATGGCAAATTGTTATGCAGCACTACATATCCTGGTATCTGAATGGAACCGAACCAGCGGTTACCGTATGTCCCATCTAACAACTACTTTGAGCCGCCGCTCACTTTCGCTGTAGAAAGACCAGATCGTCGTATGGTACCGCTTACATCCGAAGACGAGTGTCTGCAAAACACCTTCATACCCGCGCAACGCTGCGTTTCCCGCCGATGCTGTCTTCGCCTTGGCGTTGTTGACAAGCCCGGCGACGGTGACGATGGACATCGGTCTGGGTAATCACTTCGAATGGCAAGCGCCCACGGGTGCAAGTCTCGGCCAAGTGCCTTTCCCTGCTCAAGACGACCAGATCCCTTTCTTGGAGATCGTACGGGATGGACAAACCGTAACGAAGGGCTATGGTAGCGCCAATTGGAGCAAGCTATGCGATACTTATGACTTCAACCCCTTCGTCGATATAATCCCGAATATGTGATCCATTGGGGGGAGTTGCGTATAAGCATTATATGTTATTATACAGAACGTGCGTAGGGACATGGCAGAGTGGTGGACAACAAGATGATAGCAAAGTGTGATGAGTATGACTTGTGATTCGCAAGATCATGAACTAGAGTCTTTGGCACTCGGTTCGCTGAGGGCCGCGCGAAGTGCGCCCCGTCCCTGCCACATCTCGCCCATGAGATGCCACAGTGCACTGACAGACAGAACATCTAGTCTCTTCTCGTCAGGTTCCGCTTCGCAATACACGCGCAACCCCTCTCGTAGCGTATTCTCGTCACCCTCCAGCAATCGCTCAAGGCCGTGCACACTCTCTTCGGGTTCGGTGCATGGGGCTTCAACATCCAGCGGACCTGAAAACAAGACGGGGTGCGTTGGAGCGGTTTCGAGCAAGTCCAAGGTCTCTTCGTCGATTGCGAGAAGCGAGCCGAAGAAGGATAGCAGTGGTATGTGCACGCGCGGGTGGGGTACTGCTTTGGGCGTAACAACATACGATGAAAAGGAGCTGACGCCTGATACGGTACGCGAGCGTATCCATGACATGGTTGAAGCGGGGGCCAAGCGAGCTTGCCGCTCGGCGCGTATGGCAAGTGGGTGCGCGGGGTAGCGCCGAGACGCGATGAGATCCCATCGGCTGGCGCCTACGATCTCCTCGTCGAGAACGGCTTCCTCCTGCCCCAACTGAGCATCTGGGGCCTCTCCGTTCATAGAAGCAGGCCATTGCCATTGAGCTTCTTCCTGCACAGAATAATTGCTGGGTGAACGCAAGTCGTCCCAGCCGGTGTCCGTTGTTGTGGCGGTGACGGTGCTGGTCGAGCGCGAGCGCGACTCTTCGGCTGGTCTACGCACAATGGAGTCTATGCCCCTGGCATGGTCCGAGTTTGCAGGATTGGGGCTGGGGAGCACCGAGGACGGGTTGGGAAAGATGTAGATCGACTGAGAGGGTGTGTCAATGTCGTTCTCAGATAGCCAGACGCGGGGCGGAGGCGTCGGCGAGCGTCGCCGTGCGCGGGAACGGGGGAAGTACTCCATGGCCCTCGAGGTTTGCGTGCAAGGAGGAGGATGGGAGGGAGTGCGGGAACAAGGGCAGCGCCTATTAATTGTATGGCGCCTGTCGACTGGGGCGGTGATTCAAGATCTTCCGCGCCTGTAGGAGTACCGCCGACATCCAGTGCTGCTCTCGGGCGATCTCGGCTGGTTATCGAGGATGTATCGCAGCGTGTCTAGCAGCTATCTGAAGTGGCGCCATGCGGCAGCAGGTCCCAGGAGCGATGTGCCGCGCTCGATGCTCTCGATGTTCGGAACGTGGCGACCCGCGTCATTCCGCGCCGGATGGCGGAAGCAGACTCGGATGTAGCTTGTTGTCTACGCCCGCCCACAACTAGCTCACGTCCGTAGATGCACATTGCGTCTCAGCACCCATGCAAAGCCGCAGTGCATAGTGGGAACAATGGGCCGTATGAGCCAGAGGATGCGGGCCGACCTGTTGGTGACAGAAATTTCAATAGTTCGAACCCCCGGAGGACTTCGGCGGTATCGGTCCGCGTCTGAAGTGCAAGTTGACCGCAACCGTCATCTTCCCCAGTCCTCCCACAGCGCCCGACAGCGCCCAGAATACATTCTCGTTTGCTCGCGTAAACCTCAGTTCCTGTGCCAGTCATATTGCAAAGCGATGGCTGCTTGTATGAGATTCACTCGTAGAGTGCGGAATATACGACACCTTGGTCTGCGTTATCGGGCCTGACAGTCCTCTACTTTGACAGGTTTGGAAGTCATTCCTGGATAACGGAGGTGCTTGACCCCTCCAGAAACCCGTGTGATGGTGCTTACCCCTCGAAGGACACGATGCGACGTGCTTCCCGAATGTAATCTCATCGTCTGGCTTTCACTGAGAGCCTTCTAACGTCTCTCCTCATAGCTGAACCTGCTCTCCGCAAAGCCTGGCCGCGTCGAGGCTTCCCTCAAAATCGAACCTTATAACGGTGCGTACCTGTGGCCCTGCCTCCCTTAGCGTCTATTCAAGGACAGGTACCAAGTGAAGTCAACCGTGTTGGGGTGCGTGAATGTTGTATTCATTGAATGGTCTGCGATGATTGACCGCTCTTAGACCGTGCACGGCGGACTTATACTTTCCTTAACTGATACGATGGGCTCACTTGCCGTCGGCTCGAAGGGCCAGTACATGACGGGCGTCTCTACGGACATCTCTGCGTCATTCGTCAAACCCGCAGGGAAACCAGGTGACGTTCTAAAGATGGTGGCGATTGTTACTGGCATCGGTGAGTACACGATGTCTACGGGGTTGGTGAGGATGCTGATCCGAGTGCCCAATAGGCAGGTCCCTTGCGTATACCCGGGTGGACTTCTATAACGCGAAGGGTGACCTAGCCGCCTACGGAAGTAAGTACAGCCCATGTGCGCACACTACCGAAAACCTCACACCCTTTCAGCTCATACGAAGTACGTGGGCAAGTCTGCCGGACACGAGGTGAGGGCCGTGATCTACATGCCGCCAGTAGAGCTAACCGGCTCGTACAGCACGATATCAAGCTTTCGGAGGACGGTGAGACTGTACTGGAGGGCAAGGATGTAGATTAGAGTTAGCCACAACCTTATTATACTATTTTGGAAACCGACGCTGTGCTATTGGACTAGTTCGCACGTTTCGAGTCGAACACGTCGCGTCAGACGCGCATGCGCACCTCGACCACAATCACGTCCACCATGGACGGCACCGAATCCCACCTTCTTTCAGATTCTGGCTCGCTGAAACCCCCGAAACATACCAACTCCATGTCTCATTCTTCTATATCTGTATCACCCACTATAACTGGCTCGCGCCTGCGAGGATCTCGTCGGCCGAGCAGTAGCCACAGCACGTATGTCCGAGAATCATGTGTCCCAGCTCAGGCTTCTCAAGGCCATGCACAGCAATGTTACCATAACACCAGAACTTGTCGCGCCTATACCAGTACGCCACCCCGAACTACAGGCACTCGACATGCACGCACGAAACTGGCCAACTTCATCCTCCCCCGCATCGTCATCACGCGCAATATCCCCAGTGTCTCCGTGGCGCGGCACGGTCGGCCTATACCGAAACAGTCTAGCTGCGCTCGCAGAATCGGACGGTACTGTGGCGAATGCGCGGGAAGAGGCGGAGACAGGTGGTGGAAGGAGATGGATACGTTGGATGCATAGGAATAATATGAAGGATTGGGTGGTGCCGGCAATCCTAGTATCAGGCGCCCTCGTGAAGTGGTGTGTTGGTTTGGGGTCTTACTCTGGTACGTGTCTACTATGGGACATATACTACTGGGACTAATCGTGAGCAGGCCAGGGTACACCTCCCATGTATGGCGACTACGAGGCTCAGCGCCACTGGCTAGAACTCACCATTCACCTGCCATTCACTGAGTGGTACCGATATGACCTGCAGTACTGGGGCCTGGACTACCCACCTCTCACTGCATACATCTCTTGGCTATGCGGATACATCGGCGCGTTATGGGATCCATCCTGGTTTGCACTCGACGCGTCGCGAGGGATTGAGACACCCGGGAGCAAGTTCTACATGCGACTTACCGTACTTGTCTTCGACTACATGATCTATGTTCCTTCTATCTTTATGTTTACTCGGACGTTCCTTGCCTCACGCTCCAGAAGGACCCAAGTACGTGTCTTCCGTCTCTGCGTCTCTGACTTGTTCTGATCACATCGAAGGAAGAACTTGGCACTAGTCACTCTGTTGTTCCAACCTGCTCTCTTACTTGTGGATAATGGCCACTTCCAGTACAACTCGGTCATGCTTGGTGCGTCCAATTGAGAGAGTTTGGGATGTATCGAGTCTGAATCGATTGTCGCAGGCTTTGCTGTATTCGCCGCCAACTGCTTCGCACGAGGATGGGATGCACTCGGCGCATTCTGCTTCGTATGCAGCCTATGCTTCAAGCAAATGGCCCTGTATTATGCTCCTGCCGTCGGCATGTATCTTATCGGAAAGTGTTTGTACCTTGGGCCAACTGATGGGTGCGCACTGATCTACCTGTCACTGCCTTACGGGGAACTCATGTTGACTTCACAGGACGCGATTACTTCTCCGTTTAGGAATCACCACCGCGCTTGCATTCCTTCTGTTCTTCTTGCCGTTCCTCCCACCTTTCGCGCCGCTCTCCGCCGTACTCGACCCCGTCACTCGCATCTTTCCCTTCAACCGTGGCATCTTCGAAGATAAGGTCGCAAATTTCTGGTGCGCGTCCAATGTCGTGCTCAAATGGCGGACATGGGCCTCTCGCGATTTCCTTATGCGGCTATCAACACTTCTTACACTCGTCGGTTTTCTCGGCGCAGCTATTGCACCCGTGAAAGCATGGCTTAGGCTCGCAGCCGCAACACCGATCGCAGAGAGAAGCAAAGCGGGCGTGCCAGCCGTCATGCAACCCGTGCTGTTGCAGGCGCTACTGAACAGCGCCATGTCATTCTTCCTATTCTCGTTCCAGGTCCACGAGAAGACCATCCTCGTTCCGCTTCTTCCGCTCACATTGCTGAGCGCGGGCGCCGCGCCTGAGAGTAATACATTCGCGCTCGGCGTTCTGGCGAATAATGTTGCCGTCTTCAGCATGTCGCCGCTCTTGCGCCGCGACGGGCTGGCCTTGCAGTATGTCGCGTTGACGCTGCTCTGGAACAAGATCATCGGATACAACCCAGCGCGATATCCTCTGTCATCGGTGAGTAAATGGAATGCTTCTCATCGCGAAGCGCCGCTAAGTGGGATCCCCAGCTCGTCTACACAGCTTGCGCCGTGTTTCACATAGCAGAACTCCTAGTGCCGCCACCCGCGCGCTATCCCGATCTGTATCCCGTCCTCAACGTACTGGTCAGCACTCCCATCTTCGGCTTGGCCTGGCTCTGGAGCATAAAGTCAATCATCGAGGCACGCTGGGCCGTCGGAGGCCTCGGGATGGGCTCCGGCGCGTCGGATGCTGCGATGACGCCGGCGACGGAGACTGCAAGTCTTGAGGGCAATCCTCTGAAGCTCAAGGGCATAGGAAGCTTGAGGGAACGGGGATTCCGGACGACGAGCCTGGGATACGCATCTGGAGGCAGCATTGGACGCGGAAGGAGAAGAACATCGTCTCGTGCGAGCGCGGCGGGATGAGGCGTACGGTGTACCTGCCCGAACCCTGTATAGTGTACTGACTGTATAGATGGCGTCGAACATCGTGCATGTGCGGATGAGTAGGTGAGCGCCCGCGGGTTCCTGAGCCTGCATTGTGACTATGCGAGGTGGAATCTCTGGCGACTTCCTATGCTGAGATGGAAGTCCGGTGGCCCGGTGTTATTTCATTAAGTCTCAGATGGTGGGAAGACCGGACACGGTCACTGTGCAGAAGCTTGTGTGCAGCAAAGCAGCAAAAGTTGGCTCTTACAGGAAATATTCAGCTTGTACTGAGTGTAGCGAAGACCTCCGGTTGTGCTCTACCACAGCAACAGTAACATTGGTTTAACCCCCTAGCGTCGGCCCGCATGACGAGCGCAGCGAGGATTCGAAGCTTCGGGTGTCACCAAGATGGCAAGCGAACGTCCTGGTAACAGAATAACGTCAGCGTGCGTTCGCATCCTCTTTGACATTGTCATACTGTACTAACATATCCTCCAGATAGGTTGTCCACGAAACCCCCCTACAGGTGTCAGATCTGTGGATGACGATTCCGCGAGCGGAGATATACCGCCGTGTGGCACGGCACATCGATCTATATCTCCGAATAATCCGAACATGCTGACTGCACGCCCTGGCTCTACCTTTATTCCTCCTACGCGCTACGCCCGGGACTGCCTGTGTCAGCTCTCCATCTAAAGTTCGCATCTCGGTGGGTCTGCGATCCAGGATATGATCAGCGTCGCTCAACGGATCCCATCGCCGTGATGTTCTTTCGTGAAGTTGGGCCACATCGTTCTTCCTGACCCGACGGTCGTCTGGGCCGCCGTAACAGCGGTGAGCATCGGGGTGCCCGATGCTTCGCAGTAATATCCGCGTGGAGTCTGATTTGCTAAGAAGAACAAAAAGTGTGCCGTTTAGAACACGAAACTGCGTGCTTTTGGAGCTTGCATCCGGTGCAACCTCAGGATTCCGAACAAAGGCCACCGTGGGAAAATGTTTTTTCGTCTTCAATGTTCCTACTACCCTTCATCTTTGTGCATATGAGTGGATTACGACTTAACTCTAATGGCTAGGCACAACGTACTGAAAGCAGCCGTCATTTGCAGGGACCATACGATAGGAGAGCGCGCCCAAAAGAGTACCTCGACGCCGACGGATTTGGTCCCGTTTTAGGGAGGAGCGGCTGTCAACGGAACTTTGGCTTCGCCTTGTGTGCCCTGAGCTGTTCATGCATCCAGCCAGAAGGGACCCATGCCGACGGCCCGGCCGCCAGGCGGCTCTTAAAACAAGCAGACATACCGCCCGCGCGCGTACCTCGCCGCTGCCTTGCTGCCGCCCTCCTCGACTACCTCCGTCTTCCCCTACACGCCATGGACGCGTCCTCGCCCATTCTTTCCCATCTTTCTCCTCAAGGCCGCGCTCTTTTTCTCCAGTACGGAAGCGGCGAGACCGTCGCCTGCCCATTTTCTTGTCTACATCATGCCTTTGAACACTACGCCGCGCAGCAGCCCGACGCCATTGCCGTCGAGCACTTGGGCGACTCCATCAACTACTCGCAGCTTGATCGCAGCGCGAATGCTCTCGCAATTCGTCTACGTGCTCGAGGGGTCGAGCGCGGTCGCCGCGTATGCCTTCTTGTACAACGGTCCATAGCGATGGTCGTCGGAATCATGGCTATACTGAAAGCAGGAGGTGCGCTTCCTACACATGCATCCTCGTGACAGTCTTCTGACACTCATCCCACAGCCGCATATGTGCCAATAGATGGTCTGGTCTGTACGGGTATGCATTTCGGCTCGGGTTGGCCGAGCTACATCATACTTACACACACTAGACTCAACATTAGCGCACGTCTTGTCTGACTCTGGAAGCGTTCTCGTTTTGACGCTGGAAGAGTTCCGCCACCGCCTTCCTTCTGACACGCCAGTTCTATGTCTTGATGACTGCGTCATCCGAGACGCGCCGGCGGATGCACCTCGTCTTATCGACGAATCCATCCCATCCGACAGCGCCTACATCATATACACTTCGGGTGCGGGCTTGCTCGCCACATGCAACTGTCAGTCAGTCTTCTGACCCGAGCGCTCGCAGGTACCACAGGGCAGCCGAAAGGCGTCGAGGTCATGCACGGAGGAGCTACAAACTGTGAGCGGCGATGTCATTGCCATATCTGATAGTCAGTCTCACAATTTGTAGCCGTTTGCCTCTCGCCTGGAAACCTCGGGATTCGTCCGGGCACACGCGTAGCTCAGCTTCTGAACATAGCCTTCGACATGGCAGTTTGGGTGCGATACAACCTTCTCGAATTGACGTCTCTGTCTGATGCACTTTCAGGAAACATTCGCCACACTCTGCAATGGCGGCACGCTCTGCATCAGGGGCAAGACCTCGGTTGAGTGGCGTGCCCTCATGAAGAGCGTCGACGTGGTAGTGGCCACGCCATCACTGATGGGTTCGTCCGCCGTTCATCGCCAACGACAGTAGATGCTCATCTCCTCCCCCTCCTCAGTACCCCACGACCCCCTTCATTATCCAAACATCAAGACGGTCGTCGTCGGTGGCGAGCCAGTTCCGCAGAGTACGCTGTGACGTGATACTTTCTAAATATAGTTATTGACGCTCTGAGCAGGTCTTGCTGATGCTTGGTCCAAGAACGGACAGTTCTTCACGAGCTGCGGTCCCACGGAGATCAGCATCTTCAACACGGGGCGGTACCACGTTTGCGGCACGAAGGTCAACATAGGCCGGCCGACACCGAACAACTTCGTTTACGTTCTGGATGATGACCTGCGACCGCTACCTATCGGCGAGGTCGGCATGATGTGGGCGGGTGGCGCGGGTGTTTCCAAAGGGTGCGCACCCAGCGTTGAGTTCGGGAACTGGCACTAAAGCTCCAACTACTCACCAGGTACCTCAATCTGCCGGATAAGAATGAAGAACGGTATCAACCAGATCCCTTCCGAGCAAACGGGTATGTCGACCTGGAAGGACGAGCACAATGTCGTGATTGACTGTCGCACAGGCACATGATGTTCAAGACTGGTGATCTGGGTCGCTGGCAGGAGGACGGGACCCTTGCACACCACGGACGCGCTGATGACCAGATCAAGGTTAAGGTGCGTACATCGAGAAGCCCAGATTGAATGAAGCTGACGTCCTGCAGGGCTTCCGTGTCGAGCTGGATGGCGTTGCGGCGGCTGTTCGGTCCCATCCATCTGTGACGCACTCTACAGCTCTTTTGATCGACTCTCACATATGGAGCTTCGTCACCCCTCGGCACGTTGACAAAGATGTCGTTCTTACAGCTGCTGGTGCTATACAGCCGTACTATGCCGTACCAACGCGTTTCATGGCGCTGCCTTCTTTCCCTTATACCGGGTGCGTGAACAGTTTCCATCAGTGACCGAGTACTGAAGTAGTGTGCTAGCAACGGGAAGATCGACAAGCGACGTCTACGCGAACTTGCCGCAGAACAGGACCTATGCAATTGCAGCTTCGATGTCACCCATATCAGGAAGACCATTGCAGCTGTCAAGCAGGCCGAAATCGCCCCGGCATCATCGGCTTCACGGCCAGGTTCACGGCCGTCCACGCCAGTAGATCTTCCTGCCGTACAACTCCAAGACGACTTCTCTTCTGTAGGCTCCGACTGCAGTAGTGCTGATCCTTCATTCCCTCCCACTCCCTTATCCGTCGCATCACCATCGCCACTAGACAAGAGCGCGCTTGTCTGGGACGACTCGGAGGAGGAGCATTCATACATGCAATTGGACTCGCAACCCCCTTTGCTACGCATACTCTGAGGCTACTCGCTCTTCGCCAGGTTCTTCATAGCTATCTCTGACTCATCCATATGGTTTCTTGCAAGCGCCGCCTACCTACCATCTTCATCGAGGGACACTGTCGTTACTGTGACCGGACTTTCTTGCTCATCATTGTTTCGAATCTTATGGGACTTCTTCCTATCTGCTGTAGTATCTAGATTGTATCCACTACATGACATTCACCTGACCTGCTTGAAACGGCGCCAGGAATGTGTTCGCACCAGCCTGGCATGTGTTTCCACCAAATCGTAGCTGTGTACTATCTCTTGGTGTTCGGGGCATGGCGTAGCGTAACCTGGCGTAGTTCCTTGAGGGGGACCCCGTCCTTGTAAAAATTTGACCCCAAAAATCCATACCTCTTGTCTGTCTCGCGTAGTGCTGATCGTGTGCGGGGAACGACGTTGAGATGAGGGGGAGCCTGCGTGCTCAAAAGTACGTCACTGGGTGTGACGTGTGCGATGAAACAGTCACGCTCGCGCTTGTCGCGTCTTGCCTTTCGCCTTCTCCCTCCTTGCAATGGAACCCGACAAGATGGCGAAATGACATGGCACACGCACCCCTCCTTGACCGCAACACTCGAAAATGATTCTTAGCATGGCCAGTAGTGGCATCATCTATGTACTGGTACCTCATCTCACCCGCTGCCTCTGCGGCTAAGCCGAGCAAGATAAGCAGCGAGGAGCCCCGACTGTGCTTTCTGTTCACCAGGAGTTGCTAGGGCAAGGCTGAATACATCCGGCGAGAAAACCTTCCATGTCCGGTTCCGCTGCCCTTATCTTCCGAGCCATCAAGAAATTGAAGGCTGTATCTCACACAGTGCGCTCGCGATCGCGAGGCTAGCACCCAGTCCTGTGCAAGGCTTTCCCTGTCATCCAGGGCTACTTACTGTCTCATACTTAACCCAATCCTGACAGGATCCGACCCCAAGCCTCCATCCTCAAGTTTCATCTCGCTCGGGAGGTATGAGCGCTCGGCGCCTACTACCAAGCTCAGTCTTTTCCCGCGAAGTAGGCGCACTTCTCAGTCACCGGAAGGTGGGACACTCTTCCGATGCGTACACCACTTCGTGATAGCATAGAATGTCGGCTCTTTCTCCGACCTCTGTCCTTGGACATTCAGTTGTCCGAGAGGAGTCGTACTCTCCAGATCCTAGCGCTACCCGCTCTCCCGGAACAACTTCTCCCGGCCCTGGGGCGTACGGCCGCATTAGAAGACGCATCCCTCGTATATATATGTGCACTGCTGCATCATATCGAGTCCGAAGAGCGTTTGATTGACCGTCATGTCTTTCACCGCCCAATCCGAGGGGAAGAAGACCTCTTCTGTCGATCTCGAGAAGGGCTGCACTATTGTGGCACCGGATTCTGGAGCGGTTCCCGCGAAGACCCAAGGCCACTACATGCGCAATCTCCGTCATCAGATCTTCACGCTTTACCGCAGGCTCTTTGGTGTTATCTTCGTCGCCAACATGATAGTATTGGTCGCCCTGTTCAGTCTCGGTCATCACAACACAGAGCATCTCGGACTCGTCGTCATCTCAAATCTCTTCTGCGCCATCCTCATGCGACAAGAATATGTCATCAACACTTTCTTCACCGTGTTTTGTGCAGTACCACGCTCGTATGTGTGAACATGGCTTGCAACGGATTCGCTGCTGACACAATCCATCAGATGGCCGCTGAGAATCCGTTGCCTATGTGCGCAAGTGTACCACATCGGAGGCCGTGAGCGCTTTTCACGGACCATCACTGTCTAGTATATAGTCTGACAGGCGCCTGTAGTGCACTCAGGATGCTCTGTGTCTGGCACCCTATGGCTGATCATATTCAGTGCCCAAGCAACGAGAGAGGTCATTGTCGGTGGCCCAGCCTCTCCGTTGACGGTCGCCATCTCTTACTGCATCCTATTCCTTCTTCTCATTATCCTTGTCCTGGCGTATCCACGGTTTCGCCAGGCCTTTCATAATCACTTCGAGGCGAGCCACCGCTTTCTCGGTTGGACGGCAACCGCCCTCTTGTGGGTCCAGGTTGTCTCGCTCATCAACGATTACCGGCCACCGTCAATGTCATTGGGAAATGCACTCGTTCAGTCAGCTCCGTTTTGGCTGGCTCTGATTCTCACACTCTCACTCATGATACCTTGGATACGACTTCGAAAGGTGCCAGTCCAGTCGGTGGTGCTCTCGAAGCATGCGGTACGCATATACTTCGAAAACGGTACGCTGGCGATTGTACCCGGGAATTACATGCTGACCTTGGTCCCATCCCTTTCAGTCACGCCTATCCCGGGTTGTGCTACGCACATATCGGACAATCCACTTTTGGAATGGCACAGCTTTGCTGCCGTGCGCGAACTGGGCAAGACTGGTCACTCGCTTGTCGTCTCGCGGGCGGGAGATTGGACAGCGAAACAGATTGAACATCCTCCCACGCACCTCTGGGTGCGTGGTATTCCGACTTGCGGCGTCTTGCGGATCCTCCCTCTCTTTCGGCGCGTTGTACTTGTCGCCACCGGGAGCGGGATCGGGCCATGCGCGTCATGTCTATTCGCACAGGACGTGGAGATACAGCTACTATGGACTTCGCCGGACGTCAGACGTACATTTGGAGACGATCTCGTGGACTCAATGCTGGAAAGCTCGCCAGGTGCCGTCATACACGGTGAGTTTGCCTACTCCCACCAGGCTTTGGACCCAGACCCGTCTGACGACTACACATCAACAGATACACGCGCTCATGGGAGACCTGACATGGTTAAGCTAACGTACGGCCTCGTGCGCGACTTTAACGCTGAAGCCGTATGCGTCATCTCGAACCAGAAGCTCACGCAAAAGCTCGTTTACGGGATGAGGAGTCGCGGAATACCAGCATTCGGGCCGATATGGGACTCCTAACAAGTTCAGCTAGATTCGTTGTCGCTCTTTCAGTGATCTCATCCATGTAACAAAAGAATAAGTTCGGACGCATGTACGATACATCGCGAAGTCGATAGAGACAAATAGTAGCACTAGCACCATGTACATTATGGCAGCGCATTGTCCGTCATGCAGTGGTATCTGCTCTGGCAAGACCTACATGAAACCCGTAACTCCGTCAGCAAATTGACCGAAGAGCCCCAGAGGGATAGATGCCGCTATCGCATGGTATCCTGCCGCGTTTGGGTGCAACCCATCTCCCGAATCGAAGTCGGCAACGATGACGGTGGCGTTCTGAGAATCACGGACAACTGCGTCGAAGTCGAGAACGGCATCGAACTTCCCACTGGTTCTCATCCAGTCGTTGACGCGCAGCCGTGTCTGCTCGCGTGTCGGGTCGGTATACGGAGCAAAGTTCCCGAACGGCGTGATAGTGGCTCCGAACATGGGGATGCCGAGGGCATGAACCTGACTGATGATCTGTTCATATCCGAGGATGAGTTGATCGCCAACGGCTGTCTGAGAGACGACGTCCGTAGGAGCATTGCCAATGTCGTTGACGCCTTCCAGTATTATGGCGAACTTCACGGCAGAGTGGGATAGGAGGTCGCGATCAATTCGACCGATGCCGTTTGCTCCAACTCCGTCGGTGAGTACACGGTTCCCGCTGAGTCCTTGGTCGATGACCGCGATATGGGAAGTATTGGTGTTATTCTGCATGAGCGTGAATAGCTGGTTTGGCCAACTAGCATAAGTCGGCTTCAGAGGTGTCAGAATCACAGACGGATGAGTCCACGAACCGGTCATTCCTATTGACATCGCTCCCCATTCCGTCAACTATGCTCGCTCCAAAAGCGACGAGGGTAACTGCTTCCTGAGGGGCCCATGCTTCGACCGCGCTGACGAAGTACCTGCGCGTATCCATTAGATGAGGGCTTCAGCTGCTCGAGATCGGATACGTACCAATGTTCTGCACTTTGCGAGCCAGAAAGATCCACCTCCGCGACAGCGTTACCATTGACAAAGAAGCTCGTAGTCATGCTTAAAGGGTGGGTCGTCACGTCCACACCCTGCTGTCCGCTCTCAAGATAGACACTGACGCTGATATCGCCTTGTGGTTCGACTTGCATGTCGATAGGATCCGAAACTACGAGCGCACCATTGGGTACACTGAATGAATTTGAACCGCTGAAAGTGACATTCTGAAGCGTGTCCAGCTGGATGCTGCTGACACCCGAGGAACTGTTTGTCGGCAGTGCAACGGTGACAGCTGTTATAGGCAGGCTCGTGGTACCGAATGCGTTGCTAAAGCGTAGGCGTATCATAGGTGCACCCAGCGAGAGATGCAACGTCTGTCGGATGGTGGTATTTTGAAACGTGACGTTGGAAGAACTCTGTAAAGCCAGCTCAGTCCACTGACGAGGGCGAAGAGCGAGACTGTAAACTAACAAAGGGAGCAGGTGGAAGATCAGCAGCTTCTGCCAGCTGCGGCGTCGCCGCCCATGTGTCAACCCAGTGACCATTCGCCGGATCCGGTGAGACCTGAGCTCCTACCAGCAGGACGTGGAGCACCAGGACTACAGCTGAGAGCGCTGCCTTGTGAAGATTCATCGCGGCGGGATGTGACGGCTTCGTCGTCGTCAAAGATGTTGGGCCGCGGGAGAAGCTTAGGATGCTGCTGGTTTTATACCGCAACGGATATCACGGGAAGGTCTTGATATACCCATCCAATCGTGCGCCGAACCTTGATCGCGCACAGTGAGATGACTTTACGATCGCACAGGGACCTAGCATGAGAGTGCTTACTTTCATAGAAGCAGTGTACCCAACCACATGTCGGCTAATGTATGCCGCCTTCCTGAAGAACTGAAGAACAAACGTGTCAGCGGAGCAGACAATACAGAATGAATGAACATAGGGTTCATACGAAATCACTCCGTTGACTCATGAGCTTCTATTTCAGCGTGCATAGCAGCAAACCGAGGAGTCCGCTCCGTACATCTTGTTCAAATGAAAGGAGTAACTCTGTGTACGACGCTTTCGATGCAGGTACAAGGATTTGGGTTGCCCGTGGAGGCCGCGAAGCCCGCAATGAAGGATCTTCTCGAGTGGACTGTGGATCTGGTTCAGCGAACTGGGTGACAGATGATAGCGCGCGAAGGAAGGCTCCCCGCCCTCGCCGCAGGAGGGCCCGTACAAGTTGCTGCGAGATTGGTGAGACTCAATATGGTGACGGCACGTCGGCATCGTGCAAGTCGTCAGGTGCCTCAGGCCAGTCACGAACAGAGCTAGCGTCTAGTCATGCGTGTTCATCTTCTAAAAGGCGTGTCCAATGATGTGTCGGCCTGAATATATTGCCAGCTTCACTGGGGTCAATGTGGCTGGTCACGCGGGCTTCGTTGCAAACATTTCGCTCGAGTGTGTCATACACTGTGCAAGTCCCGTCCTGTGAGTACCTCGGGAAGCCGTAGTGTGATGATCTCAGGCATCGAGAAGAGAATCCATCCATTTGAGAAGCCTGTGCATGGCCTTCTCGCGCATTTCTATGGCGTATGCGTATGCGCAAGTGAGGTCGCCTGCCAGCTCCCTTCGATGGCCGAATGAAGCTGAGTGGCTCATCCCGACGATGCCGTACGAGTAGTTTGGCCCCCTGGTTATCTTTAATGCAGGTCCTGTCGAGATGATACATGGAAAAGAATCATAAGATGTAACTCGACTTGTGATCGTGGTGGGAGTCGAAGGACAAGAAGGAGCAAGCACCGAAGCAGGTCACGCGGCAGCATTGCGGGACAGGTCGGATGCTGCCGCCGTCGTTGCCGCACAAGCGCTCGGTTTTGCGCTGGAACCACCACGATGTCTTCTGAGGTGTTCGTCGATCCTGGCCGGAAGGCGCGCATACAACAGAATTTTTGCAAAACGACGACATCGACCCGTATCTCATAATACAGCCAAGGGCGCTGCTATGCATTCGTTTCATGAGGCTCCGCCCATGGCCAACAACCTCGGTCAATGGCTGTCTATGGACGGTGTCGACAGCGAAGCATGCCGGCCGACGTCCTGGATTGTATATCGCCGCAATCTGCGATCATCCATACGGCAGGAAACCAGACTCGGGTGAAGACGCACGAGCTGCTTGAAGCTATCGCTCGTTTTCCATATTATCATCGAGCGCGCCGACGGTTCACGCGCTTTGATGACTGGTCCTCGGCTGCATCACTAGCCTGGGTCGTCGCCGCGCGTGCTATCAGCGGCAGGGATTCCGGCAATGCTCTCATTACATAGGCTCGTCGCTCTCACCTGAGAGACCGACTGCCTGTAGTGGACGAATATGCAGTGTGCATTCATTATAGCCGGGCCGCGGGCACCGGCTCAGCATTCGTCTCCGGTCTCCGACTGATGTATCCCCTTTTCGACAACTATTTCTCCTCGTGCACCCATTCAGTTGTGCCGCAGCGGGTAAGAACGCGGCACTTATGATGGCCGGCTCGACAGTTACATACGATGAATAGGCACATAGCCGGACCTGGACATGAGGCCCAAGCATCCGCGGGGTCCTCCCTGATGGCGGACCACTGTTGTCCTTCGGGTTTGCGTGGATGTCGATGAGATCCGGCGAGTGTCTTCACCACTTCCAAGACCTCAAGAGCCAAGAGCTCTGCTATATAAGTGAAGTTGACTTGACCACTCAGACCCCAGGATCACCAGTCCTTTTCGTTGGCCTTCACGTCCAGTTCTTCCCCGGATCTTGTCATCAACATGAAGGTCACCGTTGTCACTCTCCCCGTCGTCCTTGCTGCCATGGCCTCGTCGGTCGCTGCCATCTCGCCAAAGCTTACGCTTCACCTTTCGGATGGAAGTTCTGTACGTGCTCATGTAACCATCTCTTATTGCACCGTTCTGATCCACGGTTATGTACAGTCCGTTCAGTATCGCTCGTATGTATACACTCAGATAGGCATCTGCGCTTCTCTGTCGCTGACTATATTTTTGACACCTGCAGTGATGCGTCATGCTTGAACGTGAACACCGTCAGCAGCACCCCCACAGTCGCCGTTCAGATCAATGACTTCAACTTCTACTGCTTTACCTACGACGGTTTGAACTGCACCGGCGACCAGTTCAAGCTCGGCAATACCAGTGAGTACCTCGCATCGACTTATGAGGCCATCGGCTCACACCTACGTCCAGACTGGTACAACCTATCGGACATGACTGGCCTGTCGAATATCACTTCGCTCTGGTGCTACCAGCAGTTCTTCTGCTAGGCGCATATCTGGGATACATTTTCTTTGGGTTATAGTGTTGTATTCGAAGGGGTCTTCACGTGAATGAACATGTATCGATGCACTTTTGTCTGAGCAGATGAGAGATGATTCTGGTAGTCCGCGGTTAAGAGACTATTGGATCTGCGAACTCCAACAACATCCATGAGAGCAGACTCAGCTATCAAATGCATTCTCATCCCATCTGAGTCTGGCAAAACGCTTAGCCTATGACGCAATATGTACTACAGAACTCGCACGTTCATGAGGGCCGCGCGGAGATGCACTCGCGCCGCCACGAGTTTGCCTCTTACCATCATGTCACTACGAATGATGTTCGTAGACTACCTCGGATAAACTCGGGACTTTCTTCCGCTCATTCACTTGCTGAACCTGTGTATCCGCATAGTGCATCTTTTTACCGGTTATTAAGGGACCCATCCACGTCTCGCGATGATCGACTCCGGGAAGAACCAAGCTCGATGTGCCCATCGGTGACTATCTCAGCGTACCTCCAGCGTCGTACCTTGCCCATCCTGAATGCATACACACTTCAATTCCATCACGCAGCGGGAATGTCTATCTTGCAGGCCGTCATGGGTACATTTTCCTTCACGCGACATCGCCGGTCGATCAATGCGGGCCATCCGTAGAGAGCCGTCGATCATAGCAGGTCCAGCCATGACGAACTTGACAGCCCTCTTCACCAATATATCATCGCAGTGCCGCGTCGGGCGTAGGGTATTATCTATTGAATGCGTTTTCGATCGCTCACATGTGCCCAACCATCGGGCGTCGGCGACCGTGGCAAATCAGAGCAGCCGCACAAGTCATGTCGAAAGTACGGCCGCAAACGCCTCGGGATCGCGGGGAATCTCGAACAATGCCCGCTCAGAGTTCACGTTCATCGCGCTAGTGCGGTCTCGGTCATGGTGGCAGCTCTCATCTGCTCGTGAAGTACCATCTGCGCAATGAGCATCTCGCCGGTCCATGGTCCATCAAGAGTCTGGCGCGCCCACGAAGTACGCAGCTTCGCCGTTATAAATCCGTCTCCGATCTCCGCTTTGTCACTTCTCCTTTCAGACCATTTGGCATACATCAAATGCATTGAGTTGTGTTACTCAACACTGCGGCGCGCATCAAGCGCGCATGGTGCATTTAGTAAGCGTAGGCACGTACCGGTGGACGGACCCGGCGACCACAGACCGTCTCGGTCTTCCTGTGATGGTGGACCTACACATGGTCCCAAAGCGCGGATCCGGTGCCACTTCCGACGACGCTCACAAGGTCTCGACTCCCACCCGCTATACACGGTGTAGTGCTCTAGTGGTATATAAGATGAGGACAGCGTGCTACATAACCTCCAGAGTCTCATCCCTCTACACACTTACCGACATCAGCCATGAAGTTCTCTACCATTCTCCCCGTCCTCGTCGCCGCCGCTTCCCCCGCCGCCGCATTCACCCGCGTATTCCTTGACACCGCCAGTGGAAGCAGCGTATGTACCTTCCTTTGGGACGATTCGAAGACTCGCTGATCATTCCCACTTGTGGCAATAGCTGGTCGAGTTCCTGGAGTTCGTAGCTTCTCAGTACCGCGTCACGCGACAGTATTACTTACGGATGCCTTCTTTGTGTAGCTCATCCTCCTGCAACAACATCAGCGGCTACACAAGCGAGGTCGTGACCAGGATCGAACCCAACGACGGGCTCTTCTGCACGGTCTACGACACGCAGGGCTGCACGGGCAACTCGGCTACGGGTAAGTCGCGCGAGAGGCTGCTGGTCGAGGTTTACAATCAAACTCACGCGTCGTACTAGGCGTCTACTCTGTCGGCCAGGCACCGCAGAACTTGGCAACGCTCGCTTCGTTCTGGTGCTACCCTACCAACTGGTAAACACAGCCTGCGCGAAAGCTTGTTGTGTACAATCTGTTGCTGTAGCTTTCAATCGGGACGTTGTTATTAGAGAAAATAATATTACTGCCAGATCAAGCTGTTGAGCCGGGTGAATCAAGGGTGAATATCCCCTTATTATGGGAAGCATCTGTGGCCAGATTGAAAGCTCGCCTTATCTCGCAAGGTCCTCCGGTCGCACGCGGAGCCATAGCTACGATCGTACATGTTGCGAGTTGAAAGCGAGACTCAGTCGGGCAAGGCTCGGGTTCGGAAACGACCGACGAAGTGGCCCAGCCACGTGGCTCTCGGCCTTAGCCGCGGGCCGCCGTCCCAACGCGTGCTCCACCCTGTCTGCCTCTTCCCCTCATTACTCTACAGTCCAAATGCTCTCTACCACTCGTTCTAGTACGCGTATACTGGTCACGCGTCGATATGCGCGAGCTCTGGCTACGGAAGCGGTCTCATCGTCTTCTGACTCTGCACCTCCACCGCCGCACACTCCCCGCACGCAGCCTAAGCGCACGCGACTCAATCCTGCACCAAGACCGGCTCAATCGCACCGACATGATCAACAGCCGTTCTTGAACCTCCCTCCTGGCTTTGCAAGAAATCAACTATTGCCTGTCAGCGATAGCCGACGCGCGTTACTTGAGAGCATCGTCGCGGAGTTTGACGCCCCGATCCGATACGCGTTCGCATATGGGTCTGGAGTATTCGAGCAGGACGGTTATGCAAAGGAGGGGGAAATAGACAAGGGCAAAGAGCCGATGCTCGATTTTGTCTTCGCCGTTACACACCCGAGCCACTTCCACTCGATCAACATGAACCAGCACCCGGGCCATTACGCTATGCACGCGCGGTGGCTGGGTAGCGACTTTGTGTCGCGCGTACAAGACGTGTCGCCGGGACTCTGGTTCAACGCTTTCGTGCCGATGAAAGGCGTGGTGCGTTCCCCTTCCATTCAAACGCTTCGGCGTCTAGTGGAGGTCGCGTGCTAAGCCCTAGGCTCGCTTTAGACCATCAAGTACGGCGTGACGTCCGTCGACAATCTCTGCAAGGACCTGTTGAATTGGAATACGCTCTATCTTGCCGGGCGAATGCACAAGCCTATACGAATCATCAAGGACGACGCGCGTGTACGGCTGACGCAGCAAGTCAATCTCGCGTCGGCCGCACGCGCCGCGTTGCTCACGCTGCCCGAGCGCTTCGACGAGAAATCTTTGTTCGAGGCTATCGCGGGTATAAGCTACGCCGGCGACCCGCGTATGATGCTCCCTGCCGAGAATCGAAGCAAAGTCGCGAACATCGTCTCGAAGCAGTCCCCGCAATTCCACGAGCTGTACCATAGGCTTATCATGGGCATGCCGGGAGTACACTGGCAGGGTGGCTCGGGCGCGATTGAGCAGGATGTCAGTCCGAATGCGAGGGCGGCGCACTTGAAGAAGCTTCCCAGCGCGCTTTTGGGGAGGGTCAAGGCACAGTTCGCGAGGAGTCCGGAGAACGAGGAGAGCTCTAGCGTGTATTGGCAGAAGCTCGCCGGCGATGCACGGTTAACGGAGATCATCTCGAACGGTAAGCACTGTTTGCGCGTCTAAAGAAGTCGAAGCGGAGGCTGATTGCCACTGGCAGAGCTGCGCAACACGGTACGGGGGCCCGCGACGATGCAGTCGTTGAAGGGTCTGGTCAGCAGCGGACCGACACAGAGTGCCCGCTACGTTGCTGACAAGGTCGGCAAGTGGTGGAAGGGAAGGCAACAGCAGACCTAGCAGTAGCACTAGACGTTTCAGCAGGCCGTTTGGCGTGCAAAACCCCTATATCTAATCTACCCCCTATTTCATTTGCCACACCCGGCGCACCTACTATCCCCCACATCCATCGAAGCCACGCCTGTAGCACGCATCGCAACCTGGAACTGTACATCGTCATTACATAGCTGCCAACATATATCTACACTCGTTATTAGTCTTCTTTTACCATGAGCGTTACCATGGCTACGGAGGCAACGTGCTCGGACTCAAAGGGAAACGAGACCGCACGGTGCCAAGTTCTCGAACCGGACCGCCTCTTTCACCCTTGCCTCCCGCCACTGCACACCCAGCTATTCCCCTCCTTATATTCTTCCTGTTCAAGCTTGCTATCCGTGTCTCTGTGCGTTGACCCGCAACCTATAACTTCTCTCTGTATATTTCTTTGAATTGCCATGGACCCCGCACTGCTGTCTCCGCCTCCGTCGGGCGATGTCCCGTTGAGCCCGACACTGGTGTCCTCTGTGCCATCCTCGCCTCGCGTTGCGCCCACGCGTACTGTGGCCATCATCAAGCCCCACGCGCTCGACCACCGGTTCGACATTGAACACCGCATCACTGAGGCCAGCTTCGAGGTGCGCGTGCCCTTCCCCGACATTGCATCCGTCGCCCAGAATTCTCATGATGTCTCGTGCTACAGATTGTCAAGGAGCGCCAGATGGAGTTTGATGTAGAGTCGGACCCAGATACGCTGTTCGAGCTCTTCGGCGAAGATGCACGCGCTTTCGCAGAGTAAGTCCCATCAATAACCATGTTTGGCCTGGGGGACTGGTCTGACACTCTATTAGGGGCCCCCAGTCTGGGTATATGTACTCGAACGTCGTCGTGCAGTCGAGGTCTGGAACACGATCATGGGCGACGCTGACCCCGAGACTGCCAAACTCAACTCACCCAACTCCCTTCGCGCACTCTACGGCGCCACCCTCGAACAGAACGCCGTCATGGGCTCGCCAGACGTCGAGACTGCCGAAGTGCAGATCGCATCGCTCTTCGCGTCGTCGCCGCCTTTCCCTACAAGCGAGCTGCCGGACACTGGCAGTCAGCCGCCTAGCGCGTTCAACAGCATGCGATCGTTGTCGTCTTCGGTGATGTCCAAGCTCCGGAGAGGAAGCCAGTCGGACGCCACAGCCGCGAGCGTTACTTCGGGCGGTAAAGCGCCCAGCTCGGCTGGTGACTCGGGCAAGACGCCTGCATTCAAAGCTCGTGCTTTACCCGCGACACACGACAAACCCGATATCGCTCCACGCAGCTCTCGAGCGGCCGACCTGCGCGCTGGGAAGATCCCGGATAAACCAGCAGAGAAGGGTCCGCGCGCACCGCTCGCGAAGGACAGGCTCGGTCAGATCTTCGCGAACACGCCCGGTCATAAACGAGCGACTAGCATTGCTGTTGCAAGCACTGCTGCCCCAACTGTCGCACCACGCATGACGCGCGCAGCTTCCTTACGCCTTGGTCTCGAGCCTGCTCCGCCTATGAGCCGACGCACCAGCACCGGCAGCGCAGGGCAGAAGTCAGCAGCTGCATCGCCTGCTATCGAGCGCAAACAGACGTTTGAGAACGTACCGGGCCATAAACGCAGCGAGACGATTTCCGTGGCCAGCACGAAGGCACCAACGCTCGCGCCGAGGTTGAACAAGAGCGCTGCATTGCGAGCGGCGAAGGACGCACAACCGCCGTCGAGCTTCAAGTCGGGAACTACGCGCGCACCGGGGCTGAGTCGCTCGAACAGTCTGTCGAGCATCGGGCGCTCGCCATCAACGGGTCCAGCACGTCCGCCATCTGCTACACCTGCACGCCCACCGTCTGCTGCACCTGTGCGCCCACCATCTGCCACACCCTCACGCACGCTCTCGCAATCCACCTCTTCCGTCCCACGCGTCGGCCGCGCTCCACCCTCGTCCTTCAAGGACACCACCAATACGGCGAACGGCGGTCACAGTCGCGCGCCGAGTCGGAGTTCGAGCGTTGCGAGCGTCAGGACGGATGGCGAGCCACCGAAGCCAAAGCCGCGCCCGAGTAGCTTGCAAATGCCTACTGTTGCACCAAGGCAGAACAAGAGCGCTATGCTCAGAGCTGCGAAGATGGCTGCGCAGCAGAAGGCGGCTCCGGCGGCCGGCAAGTCGAAGCCCATGTTCGTTTAGATTCTGCGCGCGGTGGAGGATAAATGCAATGTCGTCCGGATACCAGTGTTTCTCTTGCTTTGCTCAATATCTTTTTCTTTTCTCATATACGTACCATATCACGACGAATATCTTGGATCAGCCTATCTCTGCTGCCTATGTGCCCCCCCTTCCCTCCTTCCTCTTATCCTCTATGCTTTCCCTCCTGCACATATATCGTATATCTAGTCTCTTGGGGTACACTGCGGTCCTCTGGAAGGCCTGTCTGGGTTGTGGTCGATGCTGCCGATGTGGCTAGCTTGTTTTGTGTATAGTCTTGTAGGCGTCATCTACGCGCGCTTTGGTTGTTTAGTTGAACAATGAACAGTTCAAACACCTTTTCCCTCTAGTTTCAGCCCATTTGGATGGTCTTGTCGCGCAACCTTCACGAGGATTTTTGTGTGAGATCAAGTATCGGGGAAGCCTCGGGCAACGTAGCACGACCGGACCACGTCGCACGCGCTTCGAACATTACCGAACGCGGTGAGCTGACCATCACGGTCGTGGACGCGCTGCGCGTAGACCTCGGTTCAACCACGACTACGACCATCTACTCGCTACTATGCCGGTCGGCATTGAGGTGTGGATCAACCAGATCCCCCCAATAACAAGAACATGGCTGTTACTTTCGGTGGTCACCAGCATTGCTGTCGTGCGTACTCAGTACCTGCGTCATAGCCTAGTAGTTCTCACAGTAGATTTAGCAATGCCAGATCGTAACGCCCCTGCAGCTGTACTTCAGCTTCAAGTCTGCCTTCACTAACGGGCAGGTGAGTGCTGGGTATTCTGGAATGCATCGAACGGGGCTAAGAGCGTGGCGTAGCTGTGGCGACCGTTTACGAACTTCTTCTACTTCGGGTCTATGTCACTAGACTTCATCTTTCATATGTTCTTCTTGTAAGTCTCTAGGTCTCCGCGTTGAGGGGGATTCTGACGGCATGCTGTCCAGCATGCGATATAGCCGTATGCTTGAAGAATCCTCCTTCGCGAACAAGAAAGCCGATTACTTTTGGCTTCTGTTCCTCTGCGCCGTCATGCTCCTCGTACGTTCATTTTTCCTATGGTGGCCTCTACATTATCGCATCACTGACATCATGTGCAGGGTCTCTCGCCGCTCTTCAACCTCCCCTTCCTCTCCTCCCCACTCGCCTACGTCCCTATATACTTCTGGTCGCGTCGACACCCAGGCACTCCAATATCCTTATTCGGCGTCGTGACGATCACAGCGCCGTACCTACCCTTCGCCCTCATTGGCTTCTCGTGGCTGCTGAGCGGAACGTGGTACGCCGCACTGAACGACCTCATTGGGTGTCTCGTCGGGCACATCGCATGGTTCGTCAGGGATGTTTGGGCAAGGGAGATGCTGGGTGGGCCGACCATATTGAGTGAGCCACCGGGTTTTGTGTGAGTGCCTTTCCTGCATGATGGATGCTTGGCCTGGTAGCTGACCCTCGTTGCAGAAGAAGAGTCTTCGGAGACGAGTAACTGCTTTCCCATATCATATACATATACTCGCACTGTATCTATAGTCCTTGCAATGTTGTCGCCTCTTTCCAATAACATTCCGCGCCAGGATTCATTCACGCTTCGCTGGTCACCTCCGCCTCCATCAGCACCTGCAATTGCTCTATCTCAGCAAGTGGCCCTCCTTCGTCACCTTCCCGTCCAAAGGTCTCGAACATGCGTCGTGCCGTGCGGAGGCACCATACAGCAGCACGCATGTAATGGACGTTGTCGCGCTTGATATATGCATTCCACGCCACCTTGGCTAGCTCGAGCGTGTGCATGGCTACAAGCATCCCATCAGCCTTGATGCCTGATCGTACTTGAGGAACCATTCAAACCTGTTTGCGGGTAGTTGGGCGGATAGATGAGCGTGTACATCGCGAGCACAGTCAGACCGACATCTAGCGCCTTGTCAGCCTGCTCAGTGTCGCCCGCGGCCTCACCGAAGGCTTCCGTATATGACGGCAGTACACTCTCGTGCAGGAAGGGGTACAACTCGGTCGGGATTTGATCGTAGTCGCGCTCTAAGTCCTGCACGAGCGGCGGGTCTTCGAAGCGGCAATGCGCGAATTCTAGCAGCGCAGAACGATGTGCGGCCAGCGTCTCTTGATCTGGACGAGCTACGGAGGGCATCACGCGTCGCTGCCATGTACACAGTTTGCATGCGCAAGTGAAGCCACCTTGTCCTTCCAGCCCGCGTGTGCGGCTCTCTATGTCCAACGCAGGGTCTGTGTACGGGATGCACACCTGCGATAACGATAATGAATCTCTCATTCAGTCTAAGATCGGGTATGAAAGCCAACCGCACCTCCTCTCCGGGTTTAATATCTCGCAAAGCTACGACCTCCATAATTGGCGGAGCCTCTGCGGCTAGTACATATCTCGGTACCGCATTCGGCACACAAGAGTGGTTGAACAATCGGCTCGTACGCGGGTACGCTCCATGGGCGTAAGAGTCCAGATGCGAATGCAGGATGAAGTTATTGTTCCCAAAGCGCTGATGGATCCCGGCTATATCGATGTCCACGGCGGGAGAAGAGGGCGTTAGAATAGGCAAGGTCGGTAGAGGGTGTTTGGACGGTAAGAGTGACGACATGGTATCGATGAGGTCTTTCGGAATGCGCGCGGAGCCGCAGGCTATCTGGGAGAGCATCTCCGCGTCGAGGCGCTCATGTTGTGGGAGACGGGCGTAGTCCCATGAAGCTACCCAGCGGGCATGGCGTTTACAGATGTGACGGTGATGCGTTGCCCATGCCTTGGTTTGGCCTGCTCGTTGAGAGATCAGGTCTACAAGCTTACCTGGAAGATCACGAAGGCTTACAGCCAGTGCCGCAGTACCAATAAGCCGCACAACCAGTGCATTTCCGCAAGTGTGATGAAGCAGACGCAGAGCGATGACAGTAATCGCACCGTTTGCCCTTGTAGTCCGGCAAGAGTACAACAGAGAGAGCTGTAGAAGTGCATACAAGGCCCCCTCTAGGTATACGGTCTGCTGCTATCGCAGCGTTTCGTGCCGTAGGATGTTCACGTAGTTTTACAGGAAGTCCATCATCAACGCTCGTCGCAGGGATTGCTTGCGCGGAGTCCGAGGTAGGCATACGGAATTGGAAGTGCTGAAAGCACTACGAGGCGCCAGCGGTAGGTATACTCCTCTGAAGTTGATGTTGGCTGCGAGATGCAGACGCACTTGCTCTGGTCCGGTCGAAAGCGCGGATTTATCAGTGCATTGACGCGGTCATGTGAGTTCCATCGGAAGCCTAAAGAAACGCGAATTGGAAGGCACGCGCGTACCTTGAGCGTCATGGGCACGCTTGGTGTCGTAGGATCACCGGCAGATTTCGCAAGAAGTCCTCCCATTTAATCTTGTGCCGAGACTTACGGTGACAGATCTTCAATTCTCATTATAAGCGAACTTGGCAGGCGGACATGAAGTAGGAGGAGAGGCGCGTGCGGACTTGTGTCTTCGTCCGCTCGCGGATCGAACGTGGTCAGTCACGCGCTCTTCCACACCCGAGCTACTCATGACAACCAGTCGCAGCCTGGAGAGAGCGTACTTGTCAGCAAGAGATAATATTCAGGACTAAGTATGATACAAATACATAGGGAGTTTATGACAGACATATGGTTGATCACAAGCCAGACTGTAAGCGTGATAACAAATTGTATACAATTAATGACGGATCATCGTAAGAGGTCGTAAGTAGGATTGCAAAGTCATTTTTCTATGAGTCCCAAATGGCGCCGAAAGCTGGAATACCGCGGCTCATCATTCCGTACACCACCTTGCGCGTGAGCTTTTGGTTGGAGATGATACACACAGCCTCCGCGTTGAACTCGCGGACGAGCTGGTAGGTCATCTTGACCATATCCGGCTTGCCTTGAGTACGAGTATCTGTACATTTGTGCGAATCAGTTGACGGTCTCATAGAGTCGAGCTGTGAGCACGTACCATGGATTACAGCACCTGGAGATTTAGCGAGGATCGAGTCCACGAGATCGTCCCCAAACGTCTGTCGCACGTTCGGAGATGTCCACAACAGGCGGATCGGCACGCGCTGCTCGAGTATGCACGGTGCACATGGCCCTATGCCGCTACCAGTGGCAACGAACACTACACGGCGGAAAAGAGGCACGATGCGAAGGACGCCACACGTGGGGATGCCGCGTACCCACAGATGCGTCGGCGGGTTCTCGATCTGCTTTGATGTCCAGTCACCTGCGCGAGAGACGACGAGGGAGTATCCTTTCTTGCCCGGCTCTGGCACCGTAGCGAACCCGTGCCATTCAGTGAGCGGGCTGTCGGAGACGCGCGTGAAGCTACCGGGGACAGGAGTGACTGGAAACATGGTCAATAGCTGTGTGGGAATCGGATTTGGATGACGTACCATAGTCGAAATAGAGCCGGACAGCATGCTTGGAGAGTACCACCGATTTGACGGGTACACGACGAAGCCGAAGCCACGGCAAAAGGATCGAAAGCGTAAGGACCACTGCCAGCCAGAACGGGGCGGCTTGCACTACGGCATGTCCGAGAGACTCGCCTGGGAGGCGATAATCGTTGATGAGGGAGACCACCTGAATCCATACGAGCGCTGTCGCTGTCCAGCCGAGGAACCGATGGCTTGCCTCGAATCGATTGTGGAAGATCTGGCGGAAACGCGGCCAAGCCAATGCGATGATTCCGACCAGAAGCAAGAGAATGCAGTAGGAGATTGCCACGGTGAGCGCCGAGGCTGGGCCACCAGTTGCGAGCTCTTGCGTCGCTTGCGCCGTGAACACGAGGAGCCAGAGCGTCCCAGAAACGGCGCATCCAGAATGCACTATGAGTACCCGTCAGGATCAGGCGCTTAATCTCGAAGATGAAAGTACTCACAACCGCCAATGTGGTACACTCGTGCGCATACTCGGCGGATTGCCAATGGCCACCTAACATCCATATCAGTTATACTATCGAAAGAGTGTACTGGAACATTCACTCACGAGGTAGGAACGGCGCAGAATATGGTGAAGAACGCATTGATAACGTAGTCCTGCCGCATGAGGATCGCGCAGAAGAGGTTGGAGATGACGACAAGGCCAAGGTGGTTTGACGCGTGGCGGCCCATGCCGAATAATGCAACGAACACGATAACGTTGACGACGAAGACGACACCGAAGAGCCTCCGGTAGAGTGTGAAGATTTGGTGACGAAGGTTGCGCGTGTAGTGTCCTTGGTTTTTCTCGGGCAGGTCGTACTCTGGAACGAGCTCGCCTTTCTCAAGGGCAGACGCCTTCTCCAGGCTCGAAGAGTCAGAGACCGACGACTGATCGGAGGAGGATTCTGTGGTAGAGCTCGCCGAAGACGATGCCGGAATCTGTGCAGCCGCAAAGGATGCGATGGTCTTGAGGCCGTCGCGGTCGGCCCGCTCGACAGGTGATAGGATCTCCTTGTCGGATATCGGCTCCGTGGCGATCTCACGCAAAGCCCGTTTGTCAATCTTCCCATTTCTGAAGATGGGAGTCAGCATTAGATAAGGACAGTGGGCCTACTGAGAGGCGTACGCAGTGTATGGAAGTTCCCTGAGTGCCATAAACTGGCTTGGCACGGCATAATACGGCTGTATCTTTGCCGCTGACGCAAGCACCGCATCTTTGTCGATGGTCTCCGGGGTCGCAAAACACCAAAGTTGTGAGTTAACCAGGAGCGCAACGGCATGTTTGACGGAGGGATGTGAGCGAACGGCGGCTGCAACGCCATCAAGCTCGACGCGGAAGCCCTGTTATACTGTCAGTTCAGGTAATCACAACAGAGACCAACTTTGCTCACCTTGACCTTGACTTGATCATCGACGCGCCCCAAGTGCTCGAGAGTGCCGTCCGGGTTCCAGCGGCCTAAATCCCCTGTGTTGAACATGAAGCTTCTACCAAAAGTTGATCAGGGACCATATCAGGGACCACCAAGAACTGGCGCACCCGTCATTCACGAAGACGTCTGGCTTGTACCGTTCCTCGGTCTTCTCTGGCAAGTTGACATAGCCCTTCGAGATGCCCGCTCCTCCGGCCCACATAAGTCCAGTTTCGCCAATGGGCAAAGGTCGCATGTCTTCGTCGAGTACGTAGACATTGTTGTTCGGAGTTGGAGGGCCGATGTTGATCTTGCTGCCCTTGACATGATCACGTCCGGTGTTTACGATGGTGATCTGTCGAGCACCGTATTAGTATGTCGCCAAGCTCATTTACAGGGCAACCGACCTCGGTTGGCCCGCAGCTCGTGAAAAAACGCGCATGTGCAGACCATGCATCCGCGAGACCTGTGGCAACGGGTTAGGTTTCGCATGCACCCGATGTCTGGATGAGAACTGACTCTGAGGCACTGGTTCGCCGGCAACGGCGACGGTCTTGATATTGGGATAGTCGGAAGGGTCATGGGGCACTGGTTTGAATGAGCACTGGCTGCATTCGACAGAGCGATGGGCTGGCTCACCCATCATGGAAGGTGTCGCAATGACAATGTCCACCGTCTTCAGAAGAGCGCGCCACTCCTTAGAGGTCTTGCCGCGGATACATAATGTCGCGCCATTGCAGAGCGAGCCGAGGGTCTCCTGCGCGATGTTAGGCACAAGCGGTATGGTGGGTTTCAAGAGTACTGACCCAAGCAGCCATATCAAATGAGATATTCAAAAGTTGAGATACGCGGGATCCGGACTGCATACCCAGATTACCCGGGGCAAGGCAAACGACTGCGATACGTGAAGTTAGTACATCGACGGGAAGAAGGAAAAGAAAGAAACGCACGGTTCGTGACGTTGCCGTGCGAGACCTCGACACCTTTCGGCTTTCCAGTAGTACCTGCATGTCGTTAGCGGGTGATCTGGTTTGGAGGAAGACTGGAAGGCGCACCTGAGGTGTAGATGATGTACACGCTATCGGACGACTCGGACGCGGCTACGAGGCGTGGCGTATCTTCTTGCTCTTCGCGGTTGATACATCCATCAAGGCATATAAGGGGTGTATCGGCGGGCAAACGATGGCGGAACTCCTCCAGCGTCAAGACGAGCAGAGCGCCCGAATCAGTGAGAACATGTTGCAATGTAGAGTCTGGCGTTAGATCAGCATCCTGGACCCGAAGGAAAGAGTCGGTAAGACGAACCGGTGACCAGCGAACCGTCTAGGGGAACGTAGGCGCCGCCGGCTTTCAGTACAGCCACGATGCCCACTACCATGGCAATGGAACGTTGAACCAACAGGCACACTCTGGTGCCTCGCACAACTCCTGCAGCGCGCAATCTGCAGGCGAGAGCATTCGCGCTACGATCGAGCTGGGCATATGTGATTGATTCGCCTAGATGCTCGACTGCAACGGCGTCGGGTTGTAGGGCTGCATGATGTTCGAATGCATGATGAACGCAGGAGAAGGGGACCTCGATGGATTCGCCGCGTCCGTATTCGACGAAGAGATCGCGATCTCGCGGACTTAGGTGGGAGAGAGCAGGCGAAGACGCGTCCATGTGGGTTGTGAGAGCGGGTTGAGTCGCCGGGGTGTATGTCGCACGGTTTGACCGTCCCCTCGGGCGCACCCCAGATTATATGGCCTCCACCATTGGAGCAAAGCCAAATAATCACGCCGAGTACGATCTGAGCTCCAGCGGTAGGGAAGTCAGTGCCATGGCCCCGCTGACGCAGTCGCTGAAAGCACATACCGACATAAACGCGAGGAGTAAGTGGACTCTGCGCGCTCGGCACGAATACGCGCAGTCAGGAGGATGTCAAGCCAGAGAAAATCCTGACGAGTATGGTTGGTTTCGGTCCAAACAGGCATTCGCGAACAGACAAATGCGGTCATGGGTGCCCTTCGCTGGCGTGTGTTCTGAGGGGTGCTCCTCCGGGCGATGCAACGTGGCTCGTGGCAGAGGCAAAAGCCGCGAGGGCTGCTTCGTCACATTGGGGTAGCGATTGGTTGCGCGCAGTCCGGAAGACGCTCTCGCTCTCAGCCCTGGAGGCCAAGCCTGCTCCGAAGATCCTGCAGAACGCCGACATCACAACCCTCAATGACCCGGCTTGCCCGACGAGTAGACGACGATTACTCGTCTTCACGGAGAACGCAAGCTCACGGTACGTGCGAGATCTTGAGGGGCGATGAGTAGAGGGAATGGGTTGATGGCGTCGGAGGGTGTGTGAGAGCCTTGATGGCTATGCGGTGGGATGAGAACGTGCGCTGTCATTGTCGTGGGCATTGTGATAATAATCGCGGGCGCTGGCCACGTACCTGTTCCTCCCTCCTCAACCATGACCCTGAGAGCTTCCTTCCAATCCAAGCAAAGGGAAGTCAGTGGAACTCGAGCCACACCGGATGGACCGTGGGGAAGCCATCGAGAGGCATGTAGTGATGGGTATATGCGACAGACATCGAGTTGAGGGGGGAAGAGAGAGCATCTGAGCTCCAGCTGCATTGACATATAAACATGGATGTCCGCATATACGTCGGCTGGAGATAATGGAGAAGTCATGGAGTACAACCCCAACGATACGCGTTCTCCAGCGCGATCATCGCTCTGGCGTGTCCAATGACCAACTTGTGAAGCTATACGGGACTGTGGTAAGTTCTGAATGTATATACATAGCTCCAATAGACGCTATGCTTGTATGGCCGAGGTTCTAGAATTGATTGACGGGATGCGAACAGTCACCGAATGAAGTCAGAGCGGACCTCCGTGAGTGGACCACTTGCATCTCCGTCGCCCAACTAGGCCGCAATCACCGACCAATGTCCTAGCCAATGCCGGTTGCCAACTAAGGAATAGAACTTTGCGTTGACGCTTGGCGGGAGGAGGACACAACTTCGGCGTAAAGACGGAAGTGGTAAGCATGCCGTCCTCCGAGGTAACATCTCTATTTCGCCTGTAAACCGACAAGTAGTCGAATATGCGTGCTATGCCAGTTGAGAGAGATTGGTAGTCAGGGAGCCGTTTTCGTGGCAGGGTCCAACACGACATCGTGGTCAAGAGCAAGTCGCATTTCTTCATCTATCGCCGCAGGATCGCTCCGGCTTGCGCCGCGCTGTGCCGCGGCGGCAGCGCGTTCATTGACTCTACGTGTGCCGCGTAGTGGCATAGACGACCCGCATCGCAAGTCGTACTTGCTAGTCTCGGCTTGAGAAACACGCTTGCATCTAGATTGACGGCGAGAACGAGCTGCAGCTAGTCCCATCGTTGGTCGTGGACCTCGTCGAGCCTTCCCCTCTAACCCTAACCCCGATGCAGAGTGCCTATTCTGCCGACACTCACTCAAGTACTGTCGCTCCATATGGGTACGAGCTATCGCAACACGCACACGTACAGTTCTAGCCCGCATCACTTAACACCTCGAAGTACATGAATATGAAGCATAAATCACATTATACAGTAGGATCCCTGCAGGACATAATTACGTACTAAGATGAGCCTCTACGAGCAAATATACGATGTGCTGGCTCTACAGATCGCATGTACGGATCTTGAGTCGACGATGACTGGGAACAATGTGTGGAGGCAGGGGGGACGAGAGACACGAGCCGTCCATGGAACGGGTATGAGATGAGAGGGAGAAATGCGAGTGTGGGACGTAGAATGTAACAACAAACAACATGAGAGTGCATCAGACATATTACCCGTATCAAAGAGCCCGTGAAAAAGAGAAAGTGTCTATGAGGAGCGTGCAGCAGCGCCGCGGTCGACGGGCTTACGCATCATGAATTCGCCATCGCGGATGATAGGGCTATCCCAGCGGTTGCGCTCAGCCGCCTCCTCGGCCTCAAGCGCAAGCTCATACGGAGCTTTGCCGCCCGGTACGCTGCGCAGCGCGGGGTCGATCGGGTCGGGCGAAGGCACCCAGCGGCCACCACCCGTGGCCTTGCACAGCAACGAGGGCTGCCAGAGGGGATACGCTGCCAGCGCACCGAGCTCGGCAGATGCAGGCGGCGTGGCGGGTGAATGCGAGCGCGAAGAGACCGTCGAAGCGGAGCGCGACCATGTGCCGTTACGTGGACGTGCCCTCAGCGAGCTCGTGCGCGACATAGGTGCAGCGAGTCCGCCTTCCGAACCGGAGGCGGAAGCAGAATCCAGCTCGAAGCCTGGTGAGGCGGGAGTTACGACCGCGTCGGGGACGGGGTATGGTCTGGCCGGTATGCCGTGAATCTGGTCATGGCACGCGTCACAGACCCTGTGCGGGAGCAAGGGCGCGCGCTCGGACGCGTACATCGCGAGGGGAGTGCCCTTCGGCGGATGTAGAAACGCGAGGTTCGACGTGTCGAGGAGAGGCGTCGTGCGCGCGGAGCACGAGGCACAGAATATACCGCCACACTTGCGGCAGTGGTGCCTGCGTTCGCGGAGCGTGAACGGGGCGCGACATGTGAAGGCGTCGCAGTATGCGGCCTGCGAGTCGGGCTTCCAGAGGTCGCGGGGAAGGAGCACAGCTAAGTGCTCATTCTTGCGCATGGGCATGTGGGCCAGAAGGGAGGCCACGGAGGAACGAGCTGCGCTCGAGTCCCCGTCTGAGTCCAGCGAAGGCAGCGAGCCGGACGAACCCGAGGTGGAAAGCCCTGGTAGGTGCGATTAGATGGGGGATTTCGGGGGACAACGGCCGAGTACTCAATACTCACTGGGTTCGTTCAGGGCTGCAGCTACTTGGGACATCGAGCTCGACGGGGCGGACATGGTGCGAGGGGCAGCGCACTAAAGTGAACTACGCAACCAATCCATGCAGTTATATATATCAGGCCGTTCCGGGGCGGAGTCGGTAGGAGCGATCAGAGTGTCCAGGGGTACGTTATTTGTCGATATGCTCTGTATCCGGGTGGCACGATAGATGGTATCTGCCGAAGCGGCGCAGCACGAGTCCCCCAATCCATACTGCTATCGATGAGCGCTTCAAAACACTTCATACCTCCCAACCGTTACGCCTCTTAGGATAGAGACAAGCTAGGATAGGACATGATATGACATATCGAACCAGTGAACATGTCGACAGAGAAACACGCGCGTAAGTGGCGGCCGGACATTGTTAACCGCGCAGGGGGGGACTTTTCCCGATGGAAAGTGGGTGCATGTGGCCCATCAAAGCAACTTCGCTCCGACCTCGACGCGCGCGGGTGCCAGCACACGAAGGAATTGCGGGAGCAACTGCCAGCTATATATGGCATCCATGGCGTCTCTCGCCGCCACGAACGCCGCCGCACCTCGTACGCTGGCGAGGCATGTCACCCGAAGCAGGAGACGAACGCTGCTCAGCGTGGGCGTCGGTGTGCTGGCCGTCGCAGGCGGAGCGCGTCTCGCAGGAGTGGGACTCAGGGACACCGGCCCGCTGAGCCGACATGCGCACACGATATCGCGTGCACCAACAGCTGCTTTAGCAGGCTTCTCCGCGACCCTTACAGGCATCCGCCGCTACATCTCTTTCGACTTTACTGGAAACAAACACCACGCCACCATGTCCAAACTGACGCCGCCCCAGCCGCCGCCCAAGTGGACGCACTCCGCCGCCGAGATCCGCGACATCACCGCCGCCGCCATCGCTGAGAACAGGGCGCTCCAGGACAAGATCGCGAAGCTCAAGCCGGAGGAGTGTTCGCTGGAAACCGTGCGCAGGCGCGTTGGCTCGATGTATTCAAGATACTAACATGCGATCGGGATCCTAGGTCTTCGTGAGTCCTTCGTGCGGCGCTGTATTAGGATCAGCGTGACCCATGTGCATACAATGTAGCTCGCTTTGGCCGAAGGTGAAGCTGTATTGGACAACACTACGGAACCGCTCGCCTTCTACCAGAACGTATCGCCTGACAAGGAAATTCGTGATGCCAGTAACGAGGCCGAGGTGAAGGTACGCTAGTCTCCGCCCGCCTGATGATCTGCATACAGAAATCTGAATAACACCTTACTTGACCATAGCTGCGCGACTACAGCGTCGAGACCTCGATGCGCCTCGACGTCTTCAATGCAAAGACTGCCGCGAAGAAGAACATCGACGCTTCAAACGCACAACTGACGACGGAACAGAAACGACTGGTAGACAAGATGTTACTCGACGGCAAACGCGCGGGTCTGGCTCTGCCTGAGGAGAAGCGCAACGAGCTGACGGAGCTCAAGAAGCTACTATCGCAAACGACTCTGGAGTTTAGCGTACGCCACCATCCCCCTTTCCCCGCATTCCAACCTTCTTCCTCTTTTGGCTAACGTCCGCCACGATTATTATAGAAAAACGCTAATGAGGAAAACGTGGGTAACTTCTTTCGGCGACCCTGCGGTACTGCACGTATGGTCGTACTTGTGCTCACGCATCCATTTCTTATCAGGGCTTCATCAGCTTCACACTCGAAGAACTCAAGGGTGTACCCAAGGACGTCGTGTCTGGCTACAACAAACGCACTGAGAAGGGCGTCGAGTTGTACGATGTGACGCACAAGACGCCTGACATCTTCCCCATCGTCAGTCCCTTCACACGGTTTACCTTCGATCTCCGCTGATGTCCGTCTGATCGTCCTCCCTCTTAGTTCAAGTACGCCGACGACGCAAAGACGCGTCAAAGGGCACATGAGAGCTACGAAGCTCGACTTGCGATCAACGTCCCGCTGTTGGAGAAGGCCCTCGAGATCCGCCGCAAGCTCGCTTCGCTCTTGGATTACCCGACATGGGCAGACTACATCACCGAGGAGAAGATGGTCAAGTCTGCACAGAACGTCAAGGAGTTCTTGGACGACCTGGAGCAACGTCTGCGTCCGCTCGGTGTCAAGGAGCGAGAAGTACTCTTGGGCCTGAAAGCGGAGGACTGTCAGGCTCGCGGGCTTCCGTTTGATGGCGAGTTCATGATCTGGGATTACAGATACTACGACAACAAGTTCGTTGAGCGCAGCCTCTCGCTTGACGACGCGCTCGTCAAGGAGTACTTCCCCGTCTCCCATATCATCCCGGCCATCTTGAAAATCTATCAGAACCTGCTCAGCGTGCGATTCGAAGAGGTCGAGGCTGAGACCTGGCATCCAGATGTGCAGGCGTTCGCTGTCTGGGATAAGGATGCGAAGGACGAGAGCGGATTCATTGGTTACTGCTACTTTGACCTCTTTCCTCGTGGTAAGACTCCTAGCGCCAGTATTGTGAACCGGATGCTGATAAATCGCTAGCATCCAAGTACGGCCATGCAGCTGTCTGGCCACTTCTCGCCGGTTACACCAAGTCCGATGGAAAGCGCGCTTACCCCATCGCAGCGATGGTAGCCAACCTGGCGAAGTCGACTGCCGACCGTCCAGCGCTGATGCGCCACGACGACGTCGTGACGTACTTCCACGAGATGGGTCACGTTTTCCATGGTCTTCTCAGCAAGACATCATATGCACGGTTCCATGGTACAAGCGTCGCGCGCGATTTCGTTGAGGCGCCCAGTCAGATGCTCGAGAACTGGTGTTGGGAGCCGAAGGTACTGAAGATGATGAGCAACCACTATGAGAAGAATGTACCTCTTGATGAAGAGCTGAGCGAGAAGATCGTGAAGAGGTATGTTGGACATGAATATGGTTGGTGTGTCGGCTTGCTGACGCGTATGCGGACTTGCAGCCGGTATGTCAACGTTGGGCTGTTCTACCTTCGTCAGCTGTTCTTCGCCAAGTTCGACCTCAAGGTGCACACTGATCAACACGCGGAGGACTACACTGAGCTCTGGAGTGCGTTACGAGAGAGCGTGTCGTTGGTCAAGGGTGGAAAGCCGTACCCTGGCCAGGGATCTTTCGGGCACATTGTCGGCGGGTACGATGCCGGGTACTACGGTTACACGTACTCGCTCGTCTTCGCTTCGGATATGTACCAGAGCGTGTTTAAGGCAGATCCGCTCAGCCCCGAGCTTGGGACGAGGTACAGGAATGCGATCTTGCAGCCCGGTGGTAGCCGTGACGAGCACGACTCCCTGAAGGTTCGTGTTGTAGCCCATCTTCCGCCTTCGAGATGCTCATCATATGATAGGAGTTCCTCGGGCGGCCGGCGAACTCGGAGGCCTTCATGAAGGAGCTTTTCGGGGCTGAAGATGCGAAGTTGTAGGCGGCTTCGAGCCCGCAGCCTCCCTGCGAAGGCGTCGTTGTACTTTACTCTTCCACTGCTTCGGTATTGTGCTAGGATAGCGTCTACAGACACGGCATACGTACATATGTCCTTCAATGCAATATCCCATGTAATATAGTCCACGCAGTCGCTCTCGGCACGCCCCGGGGGCCACCCCGCTTCCCCTCCGTTCTCCGCCGCAAGTGAGGGGATCTCCGCGCGTCCCCGCCGCCCTGTGTGGCCGGACCTGGCAGAAAGATGATCCAGCTTGCAATGTCGTCCACAGATGGCAGAGCCACCCGCGTTATGTTTGTCGATAACGGCTTGTAGAACTAGGAACGGTCGCGTGCTAGCGCCGCCGCTGTCTCTGAGATCCGTACATAGGCGATCGAGAGTTGATAGCAGCATGGAACGGATGCATCTGGGTCGTCGACTGTCTCTTTCTCCTCTTACCCCCACTGCCCCGCGCCTTTGATCTGTACTTTGCCTGCCTGATCGAGAAGGCCGAACGGGATGGAGGTGCGTCGCACGCGTGTGGCTCGGCGGGCGCCAGGGACGAGCACTGATTGGCCTGTGAAATGTTGAAAGAGTTTGAACGGCGAGACGCATCTAGTTCGTATTGCGCCTGTATAGCTTGCGAGCGCTTAGAGCCTGACTCTCTTTTCTTTCTTTCTTTCTTCCTCCCTACCAGCAGGTGAGCACTTCGCGACCATGACCTCGCGCAGGCTCAGCGGATTTCGTCGGCCGAGCTTCAGAGACAGGGACGAGTCGCTTCCGACGCCCAGTGCGACTCCGTCCGGGCTGCCGACGCCGGTCGAGGGCGTGGAGATGACGACGCCGCCGATGTCCCGCTCGTCGTCTGCAGCCTCTTTGCCATCATTCTTCTCGCCCTTCACCAAACTGTCACACTCGGAGCCGCTGACACCCAAACCTCACCAGGCCAGCAATAGCGATGGCCATCAGCTCGAGCGCGCTGTCTCGCGTGCCGAGTCCACCAGGTCGACGAACACCACGAACAATAATAATCGGTCCACCACCGATCTCAAGTCACCCTCCACCGGTGGCGCATTCTCGCGCATGACGAGCATGATGTCCTCGCTCGTGCTGAACCGTGACTCGACGGACGACAAGGAGCGGGGCCGGAGCGCGAGCAGCGGGCGGTACGAGAGGGGCAAGCGGTCGTCGTCCACCGCGACGGACCGGGCGCGCTCGCGTGGGCGCTCAGAGGCTGATGCCCGCGACATGCGCAGCCGCTCACAGTCGCCCTTCACCCTCCGTCGCTTCCGCACACGTGAGCGCTCGCCCTCCGTCGGCGCGCTCGCACAGTCCGACTATGCCGAGAGCGACACCGACAGCATCCGCCCGCGCGGTTCGGCCTACTTCTCCGACGATGAGGACGGCGATGATGACTATGACGAGGATGAGGATGCCGAGGAAGATACGGACACGTTCGACAGCGACACCGAGCGCAATACGGAGAGCAATGCGCTCGCTGTGCCCGAGGAGCTGCACGATGTCGACATTGAACAGTACGCGGATCCGCTTGGCGAGGGCCAGAACGTCGTTGTCCCACCCGAACCGTACTTCCCAACCACTCTCAATCACACCACCGGCCGCAACCCTCGTCGGCGAAAGAGCACGCGCCACACCGCCGACCCGCTTCCCTTCCACACCGGTCGTCCCGTCTTCCAGCGCGATCGATGCACGATCACCATCAAGCAAGGCGACCCTGAAGCCGCACTCGTCACCCGTAATAGGAAACGAAGACGTTACATTGTTGCAAGCGACATTTCGGATGAAAGCCGATACGCCGTTGAATGGGCCATCGGCACCGTACTGCGGGATGGCGACGAGCTGTGCGTAACTCCCAGCACCGCTTTCTATTTATCATGCTCGTGTGCTCATTCGCGTCCCTTCCAAGGCTGATCGTCACCATCATCGAGAGCGATAGCAAGACGGACCCCGCCCAGCCCAATACAGGCGACCGAGCCGCCAAGCTGCGCTCCCAGCAGGAGCGCCAGGGCATGGCCTACATCCTCTGCCGCCAAGCGACGAGCCTGCTCCAGCGTACCCGGCTCAACGTTACTATCGCCTGCGAGGCTTGGCACGCCAAACACGCGCGCCACATGCTGTTGGGTGCGCCCTCCTTTCTATACAGTCCGTTCGGTCTGGGCGCGCGCTAACCTGTCTTCGGATCGTAGATGTCGTAGATCACATCGATCCGGTCATGCTCATCGTCGGCTCGCGCGGTCTCGGCCATATCAAGGGGTGAGATACCCTCTTTCAGGTTAAGGTTGTGCGGAATGGAAGGCGCTGACGGCTTCTCGGTTCACAGCATCCTCCTTGGCTCGACATCGCACTACCTCATCCAGAAAGCGTCCGTGCCCGTCATGGTCGCTCGCCGCCGGCTCAAGCGTCCTCCGCGGAAGAACGCTCATCTGGCGAAACACCGTGCGAGGGTATCCCTTGCGGAGGCCGCCGGCGTCGAGCGTGTCACGCAGCGTGTCGATGAGGAAGTCGCACATATGCGCGATGAGATCAAGGCAGAGGAGGATAGAGAGACGGCCAGGATGAAAGATCAGGAGCGACTTCGGGAGGGCGCGGAGGAGGAAGAGGAAAACGAGGAAGAGACAGCCGCTGCTGTCTCTATCGCGACCAAGGCCAAGGCTAGCGCGCTTAACCCATACGAGGCGCCTCAGGCATAGAACTGGATGGAGGTCGGAGCGGATTTAATTGCTTTCTTGGACTGATAACGTGTTCTCGTAGTTTATTCGTGCGTCAGGAAGAGCTGCTCTATGTAACACTGATGCAGCAGGTCTATACCTGAAGAGAGCGCAACATACAGGCATCATTCATGCGAGACACAGGCTATGCGCTGGCTGCATTAACAGTACGTGCACCTCAGCAATAAGCATTGCAGGTAAATGCTGGCGTATCAAATGTATCCCTCATCTTCAACCACTCCAGTTCGCACTTTCCCTCTAACCCTTCACTGCACTCGACGACGTTGGCGTCGTTGTAATCGACAAGCTTCGGATCGGTTGTATGCTTGAGCGTGATGCATGGCCGCCGCGCGTTGCCCTTCAGTTGGTAATCGCCATTCCCTGCGCCATCTTCAAGAACGTATCCTCCGTCATCGCAGCATTTCGGCTCAAAACGATAGATGTCTGGGCCCCACGGCTGACCATCCTCCCTGAAGACATGTGGGATCTGACAACGGGATTCGCGGCCTCGAGCATTGGTATCGTAGTCCCGGTGGCATCGCACGCAATGCTCGGTTCTTGTTTGCGCGGTCTGGGTTGACGGAAGTACTGACTGTGCGCCGCTTTGCGCATGTACGCTGGTGGTAGTACCGCCGAGCAGATCCCGGGCGCCCAACGAATGGGCTTCCCGACCTTGGTCGCCCTTGCCCTCAGGCGGGTCGAGTGCGTACCTCGATGGGACGACAGGTAGGTGGTTGGTTCGCGGATTGGGTGTGTCCGACATGATAGCGGATGTGTATGAGATACGAACATCCCTTCCTGCACTCCAAGTTATACATCCCAGTCGCGGTCGAATGGAAAGGACCGCGATCATGACCACGATCCACAAAGAGCCTCAGGTGGGCTTGGTTCTTGCTTTGTTCTTCGACATATCAGACTGTCTTTGATCATTCACGCAAGGCACTGGAGCTTCATATATCGCTCGTTCAAACAGCACTCGTACCGAGATCCCGAATCCCGAATGCTACGGCACAAAGAACTCGTCGCTATAACCCCAAAGCGCACTGTCTGGACTCTGTAACCGGAGACGCCATCATCTACACACAACCACATTTCCCTCAAGCGGAGTGTCACATATGCGTGTACATTCAAGTGGCTTGACTTGGACTCGGTCCCATGCTGTTGACCCTTGCCGTCCATTGTGCGTATCACTAAAAGGCACGTAGTCAACACAGTGAGCCCAGCTCGATAGACGAAGTACTGACCTTATCCTTGGCTGAGATCAGGTCGTATCCATTGCATAAAAAGAAGGGTCTGGTATCTGGCCCCACCTCATCCTGATCAAGAGGATCAAGATCACACTTCCCCTCCGCATCCATCACGCACTCTATGACGTTGCTTCTGTTGTACTGAACCTCGGCAGGATTGGTCGTGTGCTTCAACGTAACGCACGGCTTGAGTGCTTTGCCTTTGAGCGTGTAGTCCTCGTTGCCTGAGCCTTCCTCCTCCATACGGACCTTCTTACCGCAACAGGCAGAGTCGTATCGATACGTCTTGGAGTATCCGGGGCCTGGCCAATCGATGATGACGCTTCTCTCCTCATCGAACATGTGCGGGATCTCGCAACGCGATCCCGCGCGCTCGTCGTCTGGTCCGCCAAAGTCTCGGTGGCATCGTACGCAGTGTTTTGAGACAGCATTCTTCGCTCCACCAGTGGTTGCGTCCTGCAAAGCACATCAGTAAGAGACCATGTATCATGAAGAGAATGGTAGCAGGGAGTGCTTTAAACTGGGAAATGGGGCGAACTTCACAGGGACTGTGAGGGACATCGTTCGATACAAATCACGTACCGATGCCGTGGCCGTAGCTCTGTCAGTAGCAGCACCACCCGTAGGCTCTTCTTGAGCTTCTCCAGCAGAGAGTGGTCCACCGAGCTCAATCAAAGCCCCTTCGATATGAACCCAGTCTGCTACCAGGAACCTGCGGCTCTTACTACCACTCGGGCCAGGCGCATAGGCCGGAAGCACGGTGCGTAGGTACGTGAGCGCGGTCGATTTCGATCGCGGCTTCGCTTTGGGAGATTTAGGCATATAGGAAGATGGTATGGATGGTGAAAGTGCCAATGGAAGCTAGGGAAGAACCATCTCATCGGGCGATAGACTAGGGGAGGTTCAGGCGTGGTCCGTGGGAACGTGTGGCACGGTTGGTTCCTCATCTCGATCCGGTTGGGCACAGTGAGGGCTTGTTGTGAGCAAGATATCAACAGCAGCGTTACATTACATGCATTGAAGCCAAGACAAGTAAAGAGGATGAAACCAAAGAGTGTCGATCTAGTGAGCGTACCTTGCACGATGGACGTTGCAGGCGAACAATGGCTCTTCAGCGGCTTCTTCCATGTCTAAACATTCCATCATGCACTTTCCATCCGACCCCAACATACACTCCACGACGTTCATCCCGTTGTAGTCCACTTCCGCCGGATCGATAGTATGCTCCAGTTCAATGCACGGTTCCGCCGCATCGTCCTCTAGATCAAGGAATTCGCCGTTGCCCGAACCCCTCTCTTGTACGATCAACCCCCTACAACAGCGCGACTCGTAGTCGTATATCTTGGAATAACCATCGTACTCCCCAGAGAAGGAAGGTTCGTCATCGAACACGTGAGGGATCTCGCAGTACCCTCCGTCATTGAGGTCGAACTCGTCGTGGCATCGTACACAATGCTCCATCCTGGGCTTCGGCTTCTCAGAGGCGACCTGCGACAAGACGAAGATATGGTAAGCGCAGTGAAAATCAACGAGGGGCGTCCGGTACGTGATGTGGCGCACTCACTGTTGCAGATTCGGAAGTGATGGCGCCCAGACCTTCATCGCCGCCTTCCGCCATTTGCGAGCCAGAATCAAGCGCGTCTAGAGCACTGTTGATTTCTGCCCAGTGCTCTTTCTGAAATCCGCCATCCTTCTTTCCAGCAGCGCCAGGAGCATAAGTCGGGAGGATGGTGCGCAGATACCGAACCGCGGCTTTGTGGGAGAGGGTTTCTGCCTTTGGCGCCTTAGGCATGGTGAGCAATAGGCGAGAAGCGTATCTGAAGGGGTAGTGTGCGCTAGCGGGTAGGGTGGGTTTGCTCGAATGTGCAGGAGAAATGGCGGTTATATAGCGGATTCCTTTGTGGTTGAAAGGACTGTTCATTGATCACAGAAACATCATCGATTCAGGGACAAGTACAAAGGCGACCGCCACGCGAATCCAAATATGCGGCCAGGTTGTGATTATATCTACATTTTACTATTCGATCAACCTCGGGCACAATGAGAAAAGCGGGAGATAGTGACAGATACCCCGCCGAACGACCCGTACGTGCGTTCCCAATCCCAGCGCCTAAGGTCAACTGATAGCCATGCTTTGGGCTTGCCCACACGAACGAGATAAGCAGTTGAGTGTATCACTCCAGAGTTCTATGCGTAGGATATGCAAGATACAGACGGTGGTTCAAGTTCAAGAGAGGTTGAGGCAAGACGAAGAGGCGATTTCCGACGCCGACGCGCTCTCGGGCATTGCCGGAGCGCAGGCGACTCAGAGCTGCTTCCCGCGCGGCGCTTCTCGACGAACTGTCATGTGCATGTATATCCTACTCGGGAAGACACGATGCTCCAGCAGCGCTCACAGGAATGACGGTCTGGCTTATCCTTATCGTGCGCTGGTAGATAAGTATGAGAAGTAGCCAGTGCTAGCGACCACTCGTCCCGCTTGTCTCTTCTTGCCCCCTTCAAGTCTAGGCCGAGATGTCCCCTTCACAGTCTCTCAAAACCAGCTCAGAGAAAGAGGGCGCGGAGGTGACCGTATACGAGGTCTCTTTGGATGCGGACGAGGCGCTTCTCAGGCAACTAGGCTACAAGCAAGAGTTACGTCGGACTTTCACACCTCTCGAGCTTTTCGGCGTTGGTACGTTCATGGTCCAAGTGACGGCCACAAAACACTCAATATTCCGATAGGGTTTGGAATTATCGGCGTAGTCCCCTCCGTAGCGTGCGCTGCTTCTTATCGTCTCTACGCCCGACATACTCTGACGTTCATGACCAGCTCCATCCTCGTCTATGCTATCCCTAACGGAGGCCCCTCGGCGATGATATGGGGTGTACGTTCTATTTCATCGTATGTCTATGTCAATTCTGACCCGAGTAGTGGGCTGTATGCACGATCGGACTAGTGGCAATCTCTGCCGCGATCGCCGAGTTAGGGTCAGCCATGCCGACTTCCGGTGGTCTGTATTACTGGACGTATTCATTTTCGTCGCCGAGATACAAAACAATAGCGGCGTGGATGGTGGGATGTCAGTGTTCTATTCACTTGAAGTCGATAACTTGCTCACTCAAAGCTCTAGATTCAAATACCATAGGCAACCTGGCCGCCGTCGCATCTGTTGAATGGGGCTTCTCGTTGCAACTGGTACATAGTCTTGTTCAAAAGGATTGCATCATAGCTAATGATAGCAATAGATGGCCGCTATTACAATCGCTACAGATGGAGCTTTCGTGCCTACAGATGGCCAGGTTTACGGGGTGTATATTGCTGCCCTACTCGTGCATGGGATGATCTGCAGTGTGGGTGCAGTTAAGTACATCGCGCGGGTTCAGCCTGTGATAACGGCTCTCAACATCCTGTAAGGACATACAGGGTTCGTCACAATGAATGCGATTGCTGAGCACTCGCATAGGCTTGCTCTGGTCGTCATTATCGCTCTTCCCGTGGCAACACCAAAAGAACTCAGGAACACCGCGGGATACTCTTTCGGCGGGTTCGACAATTGTACGTACACCTGTCGCGACCTTGTAGTGATTGGCTCACACAGACTCTGACAGTGTCCGGTTGGCCGGATGGCTTCGCGTTCTTACTCAGCTTCCTCGCACCACTATGGGCGGTAGGCGCATTCGACTCCTCGACACATCTGAGTGAAGAAGCCAAGAACGCCAACGTCGCTGTACCATGGGCTCTTATGAACATGACCATTGTTGCATGCGTCTTAGGATGGGGTATGGACTCGCTTGCATTATGCAGCGGCACGATCTTTGACTCTCTTTCATAGGTGTAGTTGTAGCCATAGTCTTCAATATGGGGACGGATCTTGAGGCAATCCTTGCGAGTGATATCGGACAGCCAATGGCCACGGTACGTCACATCAGAACATTCACATCGCTCGCCGGTCGTGCTGATTATCTCGTGTAGATACTGTTCAACAGCTTCGGAAAGAACGGGACGCTAGCTGTATGGATCGTCGTGGTTCTATTACAGTGAGCTGGCACCTGATTCCATCAACCGCACCCAAATTCACGCTTGAAAGGTTCGCGATGGGTGTAGATATGGTCAGTCACTGGCAAACACCTCCATCATTCGTTGGCTCATATCTTTGAGCAGATTGTCGTTTGTTCTAGGCAGAACTATGCCTTCTCTCGAGACGGAGCTCTCCCCCTGTCGAGCGTCATTCGTCGCGTCAATGCCACGACGGGAACACCGATATGCGCTGTCTGGTTTGCGGTATTCATCAGCGCCCTACTTGGTCTCCTTTCTTTCGCAGGTCCAGCTGCCATCGGGGCCATATTCTCGTTGGTCGTTGTGGGACAGTTCACCGCATACTCGATTCCCATCTGTGCACGTTTCTTGGGGAAGAACTCGTTCAAACCAGGCCCATTTACGCTCGGCCGTGCAGTACGTTATTGAGCTCCGACTGAAGTTCATTTCTAATGGAACTACTTCACAGGGCGCACCCATTGGACTAGGTGCTGTCGTATTCATGGCATTCACAAGTGCGGTGTTCCTGTTCCCCGCCTCTCCGGATCCTTCACCTACGACAATGAACTACACCGTCGCCGTCTGGGGAGGGACGCTCACACTCGCCGCTGCTTACTTCTACATGCCGAAGTATGGCGGCCGGAAGTGGTTCACGGGCCCGATATCCACCATTGCAGGATTCGAAAGAGGCGGAATTTGTTCAGCGGCTGATACTGAGAAGATCAATGACGAATGACGTTGACGCGTGACGGCTATTATGTCGCCGCATATTCTTTCCGGAATGTTCGTCAATGTACTGTAATCGTGTTTTCAATCACTTTCCATCCCCGATGACAGACATTGGCAGTGCGTAGTGGCTTGTCTGTCATGTGTGAGGCGTTCCTCGTCCTGCTATCCTCGACGACGTCATATCTTATCATGCTATACAGAAGGCAAGTATGATCGTATCAAGTCAATCCCCAGGGCGCCTCCATGCCGCTATAGTACAGATGTATACAATGTAATACAGTAAACCTCCAGCGAATAAGGGATCAATGGATATCCAATCAGAATCCGACTCGTTCATTGAAACTCTGCAGTTCAATATCCTCCGCAAACTTGCTGATGACGCCTTCCTCTATACCTTCTGGGCCGATCTCTTCTTCGATCTGTCCTGACGTGCTGAGGTCCTCATCAGTCGTGGGAAAGCTGGTAGACGTTGCTCTCGGCAGTGCGGGGCGGAAACGCAGGTTACTTCCGGGCCTGAAGGCTGAGGTCCGCGATGCCTCTTGATGTTTGTAATACGTCTCTCGAAGCGAAATCATGAGGCGGTTGGCGAATACTGCCGATATAGAGAATGCGAAGCCGGTTGCGAGCTCGTTGAGAGAGGCCTACGCGGTGTGAATCATGTTAGGTCGATAGATGAGGCAAGTCTGCTTACAACGTCGATGACCCAAATCACCTCATTCAGCAGGTAAACCCAGAATAGACTGATTGATGTGAGTGAGCGAGGTGAGTGGGAGATAATATGGGCTTACTAGAGGAAGTAGTAGACGGAGTCCTTCGTCAAGACAACCAAAAGCCCGGACTTCATCACTGCCTTGCGATGCATCCAAGCCTTGATTACACTCAAGGTCAACAGCGTAACTTCGGTAATCAAAATGACAGTATAGTAGAACACGATCCACGGTTTTCCGGGCGTGTCTCCATCGGCACAGATGAAGACTCCGGTACCAGCCTGGTTAAGCCCTGATTTCGGCGATGATCAGCACATCGGCACAATGGTAGGGTAAATGATCTACCATAGCCATTCGGTGTACCGAATAACACGCCTATGGTGGTGCACTCCATAAGAACGAGACAAATGAGAATGCCGATGACTATACGGTTACTCCTCCACATGGCGTACAGACGCATCTCTAGGACGACTGTGTTTCTCCATATCAGGATCATGGCAGCTGCGCAAGATGACGGTGACACGTACGGTGAGTTGTGATGACTTGGAGTGCAGCGCCAGTATTCTGCCAATGAAAGAAACGTGCGCCTGAAGCACGTATGAGTGCGATGGCGACATGGCTCACACCTGGGCGACCTACAGCTGCATAGTGTTCAGGGTCGGTAGGCAAATCACAGAATTCGTTGACCACTCACTACTGTCAAGGGCATCACCAGAAGAACAAGATAGGGACGCGCATCAGCCTGGAGCGTTTTGAATGAGAAACTATGACCGTCACCTCTGCGCTCGGATGGGGGTTCAAGAATACTTAAGGAGCTCGTCAGATTCTGGATCAGGGCGTCCCGTAGAGGTATGCGCACCTGCAGCATTTCCGCTAAACGACCAAATTCAGTTTGAATGTATTAGTCAGGATTGCCGAGACATACATGACGAAGGCCATTGTGAAGTACCGACTCTGTGGAGGCTTGTCAACGAGATCGTATGTGCGGAGGCGATGGATGCGTACCCAAAGAAATAAGACCTTCCCGACGGACCACCTCTTGCGCTATGGATGATGAGAACAATCCGCTTTGGCTTGTAGAGCTCCGCTCACCCAGAAATACGCGACCTATGGACCTCGTAAGTTCAAGTAGACAGAACGAGTAGAGCTTACACGCCTCCTTATCGAATTGTAGGACTAGTGCCACGTCAATATTACATGATGCTGCTCTTCAACGGTATCACACATACTGTGTTCATACACCACGAGGCACGCAGCAGCGACTGAAACTCGTTATGAGCCGCGCATTCAGTGGCAATTCCATGTGTAAGAGGCCGCGTACGTTGGCAACAGCGTTCGGCGTGCGCCCGTTGCCAGGCAAGGACATCGACGGGACCAGTGGGCACTGAGTCCATCCTCAGAAATGTGAAGAAAGCGAAACCCACGCTTCGCCCGCGCGACGGGGAGGCAAGGACGCAATTCCGGATGCACACTCTTATGTATGACCGAGTCCGGTGTCCCAGCGTCTATAGTTGAAAGCGCCTGAGATTTCGGTCTCTAGGAAGGCGCGGAAATGAGCGGTCCTGTATACAGTAGCGGGGCGGTGCTTGCGTAGGTGTATCTGAAGAAGTGTTCGCAAAGCAAGACCTTGATCTACAGATTCGCCCACTCTTCTCGCTGCAGCCAGTTTGGCGTCCGTGTATCCGTGTTTCAGGTGTTCTGAGCTTATGCGCTTCTACCTGATCATCTCAAAACGCTTATGCCCGTGCGAGGGTTATCATCGCTCCCGACGGAGAAACCGAATGTCGAACTGAGGTAGCGCCCAGGTTCGATGGGGTATTTGGAGTGAGCGAAAGTGGCTTAGAATGGTCAAGTGGCCGCAACAACCCTTGAAGCATGAAGGCCGTAGACGCTGGCAGGTTCGCGAAACCTTACACAACGATTATCAGTACAGGTCACGCGCAAAGACAGACGGCAAGAAGCCCGATGAGAGCGTTCTGGCATCCGGAAGGGGATACATGAACAACGTGCATCTGGCAAACCTGAGTGGATTGTGGTCGAGAAGAGATGGAGAAGAGAAGCGGTCCATCAACGGCCCACACGCGTCGGGCGCCGGGGGATGCCGAGAGCGCGAGGGGTTCGGTTTCATGACGGGTCATCATCAAGTCATCATGTGCATCCCAACACCTTCTTCGGTAAGGATGGGATGCAATGTGGACATGGACAGGCATTCTGTCCCAGCTGTGTGTAGCATAGGCGCCTGCAGATGGGTGTGGGAGATGGGGCGAGGTCACCGTTCCCCTAGCTTCGCTACGTTTCCCTCTTGCGACGCACGGCCCCTCCATACACGATCATGACCTCCCCTCCCCGTTCGCTCGATCTGAGTGTAGAGAAGGGTGCTATCGATGACGAGGTTCCCCAAGCCGTCTTGAGTGCGGATGAAGCTACCCTCCGACAGCTAGGCTATAAGCAAGAGTTGCGTCGGACCTTCACACCTCTCGAGCTTTTCGGTGTTGGTATGTTGCCAGCCCAGTTCAGGCGGTTCTGAGTCAGTCAATAAACTTGCAACAGGTTTCAGCATCGTCGGCCTATTCCCTTCTGTCGCGTACGTGCTTTGATGCCTTTCCCGCTATCTCTGCGACCCTAACAGCACGATTCTAGGTCCGTTCTCGTATACGCCATCCCGAATGGTGGGCCTTCAGCCATGATATGGGGTGTATGTATCAGGCCAGCGCAAGACTGCAGAGTATGCGCTCATACGGATACTAGTGGGCCGTATGCACGATTGGTCTCGTCGCCATCTCCGCTGCGGTCGCTGAACTAGGTTCTGCCATGCCGACGTCTGGTGGCCTCTACTACTGGACGTATTCCTTCTCGTCGCCGCAGTATAAGACCATACTAGCGTGGATGGTAGGCTGTAAGTGCTTGCCCTCGTCGATGAATGCCAATCCATCGCTAAGGCCAAGTAGACGCAAACACCATCGGCAACCTGGCTAGCGTCGCATCGGTGGACTGGGGCTTTTCATTACAGTTGGTATGTGGCACTCACTACGACCGTCCATCTCATCTCCGCTGAAAAGCCTCTTGACTAGATGGCCGCTATCACAATTGGCACAAATGGGGCCTTCGTACCGACCATAGGACAAACATATGGGGTGTATATAGCCACCTTACTCTTGCACGCCATGATCTGCGGTGCCGCAGTTAAATACATCGCGAGACTTCAACCTCTAGTGATTACCCTGAATATACTGTGTGTACGCAAACATAGTTCGGAGCGGTAGTCTCATCATCAATTTAGGCTTGCATTGGCTGTCATCGTCGCTCTTCCTGCCGCAACACCCAAAGAGTTCAGGAATAGTGCAGGATACGCTTTTGGAACCTTTGATAACCGTACGTATCTCGTAGTGTATCTAGGTATATCCTTTCCAGCTCATAGTTGTCTTCTAGTATCCGGCTGGCCGAACGGCTTTGCATTCTTCCTGAGTTTTCTAGCTCCGCTCTGGGCTGTCGGCGCATTTGATTCATCAACCCATCTGAGCGAAGAGGCCAAGAACGCGAACGTCGCAGTCCCATGGGCTCTCATGTGCTCGACGACCATAGCGAGTATCTTAGGCTGGGGTAAGTCTGTGCCGATGGCGAGACAATCTTGCGTACTGACGTGTACTTACAGGCATCATCATATCCATTGTTTTCAACATGGGCACCGATCTTCAGGCTATCCTCGCCAGCGACATCGGACAACCTATGGCTGCCGTGAGTCTTGACAGAGATCTTCGCCATTGACAGCTGTCGGATTGCTTGGGTAGATCCTCTTCAATAGTTTCGGTCGCAAAGGGACGCTCGCTGTATGGATCGTGGTGGTTATCGTACAGTACGTCTTGATACTTCTTGCATTGAATATATCTCACTCGCAGGGACCAGATTTACCATGGGTGTGGACATGGTCAGCAAAACACTACCAGATTATATTGAGAAGTGTCTGATGGACCGTGTAGCTTGTTGTTTGTTCTCGACAGATGTACGCTTTCTCTCGCGATGGAGCCCTCCCTCTGTCTGGTATCATCCGGCGCGTTAACCCAACGACACGCACTCCGATTTACGCAGTCTGGTTCGCTGCCTTCATCAGCGCTCTACTAGGACTCTTGGCCTTCGCTGGCGCCAATGCCATTGGTGCCATCTTTTCTCTGGTCATAGCCGGCCAGTACACGGCCTACTCAATCCCCATCTGCGCACGATTCTTGGGCCAGAACTCATTCAGACCAGGACCTTTCACGCTTGGGCGTGCGGTACGTGCATCCCATCTGCACAATAAAAGGGTTCCTGACGTGAAGATATTCGTAGGGCGCACCTGTGGCCACAGGTGCTGTGCTTTTCATGACTTTCATCCTCATCGTCTTCCTATTTCCGGCCACTCCGGGCCCTTCACCTGCGACGATGAACTACACAGTTGTCGTATGGGGCGGCACCCTTGCCCTCGCTGCTGCTTACTTCTATCTCCCGGTATATGGCGGCAAGCATTGGTTCAAGGGTCCAGTCGTTACTGTGGAGGGACCTCGTGATGGCAAAGATGCAAGGGAGGAAATGAGGAACGAGAAGAACTGACGAAAGACTGTGACGCTCCCGTCATGAATAGAGCATTTTTCGTGATAGCATACATAATGATGTCGTTCTCATTGAATCTCCCGTGCGATGACATGATGTAACACCACATATCCTTGACCGGATGTGCCAATATAGGCGAAGGGCCGACCGGAAGCGCTTAGAACGTCGAGACAATCTTCTTCGCATCGCCCTCAGGAGTTCCAGTCGACAGGAAGTTCTCCATAGTCTGAAAGTACAATCCATGCATGGTCAGTCACATGCAAGACGGTAACCATCAAAACCTGCCTACCTCGTTCACGGACAAGTACTTCTCCACAAATGTCTTGCCGAATACTTCTTCGATAGTCGCGCTGCCGCTCATCTTCTCTCTGGCCTCTTTCAGAGACTTTGGCATCCGTCCAGTGATGTTCCGGGCCAATCGTTCTTCCTCGCTGAGCGCGACGGCTTGATCTAAGCATTCGCCGATACGTAGCTCGACCCCCTCCTTGATACCTTTGAGGCCGGTGCCGAGAAACGCCGCGAGAGCGAGATACGGGTTCGCTGTACCGTCGTGACTGCGAACTTCGAAATGATGCGCGCCCGGCGGACCCGTCAGACGCACGAGGGTCTCGCGGTTCTCTGTTCCCCACGCTGCGAACGTTCCGCCAGACCAGATGCCGTCGAGAACACGCGCGTAGGACGCCTGCGTCGGAAGAGTGATCGCTGCGATATCGGTGATGTTGTCAAGAAGGGACTGCAGGAAGGAGCGCTCGTGAGAAGCCATGGTCGTCGATTTGTTCGTATCAGGGCTCTGCTTAGGCGGCTTCGTCGCGACCGAGGTGCGGTGTACAGAAATGTGTGCATGGGCAGAGCTACCGCCTACGGAGAGAGTCAATGGCGGTCAGTTCCCACGCGGCTAATCAAGGATCAGCGCACGTACAGTTATCCGCGTATAGTCTCGGTGCTAGCGTCGCGCGGAGACCATACTTGGCGGCGGTGTTGTAGATGGTCTCGCGGGTAAGGATGACAGCATCTGCGGCCTCGAGCGGGGGAAGCGGTCCAGCAACACACTCGTACTGTCCCGGCGCCGCCTCAGCATGGATCATGAGTAACTCGATGCCCGATGCTATCAATGCGTCTGCGATCTCCTCCATGCATTGCGCTTCCTTCGTACCCGATGGGAAAGCCGCAGTAGTGGACCAAGGATAGTCGTTGACCGCTTCAATGGGATCTGTTGAGCGCAGAAGTATGAACTCGGTTTCAATGCCGACCAGGAACTCTATTCCGGCTGCACGAGCATCCCTGGGGGGTGGGACTCTCAGCACAAGTCACGAATGAGTGCGATGAAATGCTCACTCTACGACGCGGCGAAGTTGGGTACGGGGACAAAGATCGACCTCGCGGCTCTCCCCTGCCTTCGGCAGCTTCGGCTCGAACCATCCGAGAAGGCTCGCATGACCAGGAGCGTAACCACACTTGCGCAGAGAGCTCACGTCGGGCACGTAAAGGTATTCTCCAGTGCCATTGAAACCCGGTGCGCAACCGGCCCCGATGAGACCCATTGATGCCATTGTGATGCCAACACCTGGACGGCGGGAAGCGAGTAACGCCTGGAATGCACCTGACTGCGCATAAGCTTCGCGTTTCCCCAAGGCAATGAGAACGAAAGACCGTACCGATGGGTATCATGCGGCAGCGTACCATATTGGTGAGATCGACCCATGTCAAGCGCACGAACCGCACGCCGGATGCAGCGAGTGCGGAGACGTCTTTGGCGGAAAAGGAGGGCAAGGATACAGTTGATGGGGTGAAGATCTGTCCATAAGGTTCGTCGCTTGGAGTGGCCATGATCGAATAGTAAAGGTCAGACGCTGTTGAGCAGAGGGGCGATATGACGTGGCGGGACGATGACGGGTCTGGCGACTGGATGAGACTTCTTAAAGCCGAAGCTCAAACGCCCGCGGAATGCTTCTGGCGCGATGTTACCCATGATGGGCACGCGCACTGAACACGGAAGCGCGTTCTCGGGGACACCAGCGGCGACCTAGATGATGTAGCGACGAGGGCGCGAAGCGGTGGGCTGCGTTCAGTGTGTGATCACGTACGCTATCATGGCGGCGTCCGATGCAAGAGTCTACCCGCATTGAATTCCTCTTTGCGCCCGTTCTGGGAGACATATTTGCGGATATCCGGGCTGTTCTGATGCGAAACCAGGATATCCGCGAGGACAAGCGCTGGGAAAGCTGGGCTTCCGTCGATGACGTCGCTCTTTGGTGTAAGTATGAGAAACGGGTGCAGTGGTCTGACGGGCATCAACACACGAGATTACTGTACGACCGTTGTCGTTCTTCTCGAGACACTGCCTTATCTTCAGAAGTGTGGGCAGCTTCTGGTTCAGTGGTTTCGCCCGTAACTCAAACGATCGACGCCAGGTGAGAGTCCGGGCTGCAGCTGAAACGGGTGAAATATCTTCATAGTTCGCTCGCGCCTACTCATCTTGAGCCAATCTGCGTTAGGGAAGGACGTGATAGCGCGAGAACTAGCTCGCTGCGACCCTTCCTGGTCATGACCCGCTGTCGCCGGCTTGAGGAGTTAAGACTACCTAGGTTCCGACGATGACGCAGGTATAGTAGGTCGCTTCGCGTTCTCTGAATGGGAACGTGGCACCGGCAAGTTTTCTCAGCTAAAACTCCGGGATCGATACAAGAAGATTCTTCCTACAGGTGTCATGCTTCGAACAGATGATATCGATAGTAGCTTACTGGCCTGGAAGGTTTATCGAATGCCGCTGGTTGGCCGCAAGTGTGCTCATGGGTGCGGTTCTCACTGTGATTTCTCCGACGCAAAAGAGGCGGAAGCAGAATGCGCCGCAGACGATGATGAACAGGAAGAGATGTCGATGTAGGTTGAAGAAGGCGATGGCAGCGGGAGAAGGCGATAGACAGAGCGAAAGATGTAGGCGGACGTCGAAGACACACGGGAGATGAAGAACTCGAGTGAGGGGAGAAGGCAGTTCGTAGAAGGGGGGCCCATACGCGTGTCGGAGGCTACAGTAGCCCTCCTGGGCCGGGGACAGCACCTCAAAACCTCCTGAAATTTTGCGACCTTGGGTGTATTGACGGTTCACCGGTGCTAGTGCGAGAACATAGAGGCTAGAGCCTCAGACAGTTCCACGATAACGCATTCTGAGGTTGAGAAAAAGCGTACATCGCCATAGCGGCTACCTGTGTGAATGACATGGCCGTAGCGGATGGTCGGAAGAGATGGCCGGGTCGTGCAAGGCCAACAAGGCCAGTCAACGTGAGAAGAAGCACGTGAGCGCGTTTAGACGCGTCGCGCGTGTTGTGTGGCGGCTCTCCTTCGCACCTCGACGACGCGCTTCGAGCCGAGATGTCGAGCCTGAATAAGCTCGCCATCCGGGGCATCCGCTCCTTTGACGACAAAAGTATTGCCGTCATTGAATTCTTCTCGCCTGTCACTGTCATCGTCGGGCATAATGGATCGGGGAAGACGACAGTCATCGAGTGCTTAAAGTACGCCAGCACGGGCGACCAGCCACCCGGAACACGTGGAGGCGCGTTTGTTCACGACCCAAAGATTGCGAACGAGAAGGAGGTTAAGGCGCAGGTCAAGCTGCGATTCGTCGCGGCGAACGGCAACAAAATGCTGGCCGTACGCAACCTGAGTGTGACGGTGAAGAAGAACGGGGCCATGACGATGAAGACCCTCGAGAGCATTCTTGGGCTGGCAGACGCGAATATGGAGAAGGGCGGGAAGGTGCGCAGAATTCAATCTAGCCTCTTCTGATCTGACGCGAGCTGTGGCGCAGCGAGGAGTCATTTCAACAAAGTGCGCGGAAATGGACAGCGAAATCCCGCATCTGCTCGGTGTCTCCCGCGCCGTTCTCGACAACGTCATCTTCTGCCATCAAGAAGACTCGTATTGGCCTCTGTCTGAGCCCGCAACGCTGAAGAAGAAGTTCGACGACATCTTCGAGGCAACAAAGTATGCAGACCACCAATGCCTTCGTGACGGTATCGCTCAAGTATATTTCCAGGTACACCAAAGCCCTTGATAACATCAAGAGTCTTCGCAAAGACCGTGTCGCGGATCTCAAAGTCGAGAAGGAGCGTCTTGAAGGTCTCGCCCGTGAGAAGCGCCATGCAGACAAGTTACGGTCCAATGCGGCCGACTTGACGGCGAACATCGCGAGCAAGCAGGTTGAACTCGACGAGACGCAGCGGAAGCATGCCGAGATTACGCTCAGCAATAAGCGCTTCCTCGACCAGGCAACGCACTTCCGTGAGATATACATTCGTGCGGAGACAGCGGCCAAGACCAAGGACAAGTTGGAGGATGACTTGAAGGAGGCGTTGAGCACGATCAAGGAGGTCGACGGTACGTATTCGTGCCCCCTACTCCTATGTCTTACATCTCAATGAGGCTTCAGAAACGGACGAGCAACTGCAAAGCCACATCACGAACTTCAACGCACACATCGCCAGTCAGAAACGTGGCAAGCGTGAACAGGAGGCTCAGGAGCAAGATATGCAGGCAGAGCTTAGGGCCGCGCGACGAAAACATGTCGAGCTCACCGGAGAGCAGGGTCAGCTTGTCGCCGAGGCAAATGCGCAGCAAGCGCGAATTACCGAGCGTGAAGGCCTCGTACGCGCTCTGGCACAGCAGAATGGTGTGCGCGGCTACGGCGAGAGTCAATTATTGGATGAGCGTCGGGTGGCGGACTTCACGAGCGAGCTAAGCGCGATGCAGCGAAGACATGCCGAAGAGGTGCAACGTATACAGGTTTGTGGGTCTCACTGAAGACGACAGTCGAGTCACTGAAGTGTGCCTAATAGTCGGAGAACCGAGCTCGAGACGTCGAATACGGTCAAAAGATCCGCAAAGCCCAATCCGAGCTCGATCAACTCAAGCACAAACGCACCGCCGCGCGCGAAAGCATCACCAAATGCCAACGCGAAATCACGTCCGCCGAAGCACGAGTCGAAGCTGCGGAGATGCTCGAGGGCGAGCTCGAGACGCATCTTGCGGATATGGAGGAGAAGCGCGCGCGTATCGAGAAGATCAAGGCTGAGATTGCTGCTGCGAAATACGATGAAAGGATTACGGAGTTGAATGGGAAGATGAGGGATCTAGAGGGGAAGAGGGACGCGTTTACGCAGGAGATCAGGACATTGAGTCTGCAGGCGGATCAGAGGGCGAAGTTGGGCCTCCATCAGAGCTCGGTCGCCGCGAAGACTCGGGAGGCGAAGAATCTGTACGCTCTTCACCATTCTCACTGCAGCTTGGGTGAACTGACGGTGTTATATCTAGGGTGTCGCTCAATAACGGTCGCTTCCGTAAACTCGTCGGAAAGGACGCGGAAGAGAAAACAATGGAGCGCGATGTAGACAGTATTCTCGCGTATGTGCTGCTTTCTATCAATTCAAGACCAGTATCGCTCATCCGCATCAGCGAGAAAGAGAAGGCAGCTGCAGACGCCGAAGCTGAATCTGCCCGGGCAGACCGCGACCTGCATGCCGCAGAGAACAAGAAGAACGCGCTTCAACAGAAGCTTGATACAGACAAAGCTCGTTTGAAGGGTTTGTTCGACACCATTCTTGATGTCGCGCGCGGTCATGCTCATGTTTGTGTTCTTATCCTCTTAGTCGTCCAGGCGAGCGTCGCGGAAGCACTCAGCTACGACACCGGGAAGGACCAGCCTCCGGAGACGATTGCCGAATGCATTGACGACGCGCAGGCTGGACTCAGCGCTGTTAAAGCGTGTGTCGGAGACATCCTCATAATATGTCGCAAGAACTGACTTACATCAGGGAGGCGGAGGGTAAAGACACTGCTCTACGGCTATGGAGAAATGTCCTGAAGGCATCGAAGAAGCACAACAGATGCTCAATTTGCGAGCGGCACACCACTGCGCAAGAGTTTCTCATCATTGAAAAAACTGTGAGTATGCCTGCGGCAGTAGTCGTCGGCTCCATACGCTGACATGTTGGCATAGATTGCTGCGCAACTCCAGAAGGCCGAAATGATGGGCGAGGACGCCCCAGAAACGACTGCTTTCTATGAAAATGCGCTCAATACACTACGGGACGCTTTGCCTCTCGAGGCGGAACGAAACCGGTTGAGGGACACCGACATACCGGCTCTTGAGCGCGAGATCGTGGAGTTCAGTGCCAGCCTGGCGACGCTTGAGGACAAGGCGAGCATGGTAAGTGACCGTCGTAGTTGCGGAGTGCTGTGATATACTGAGTCATTGGAAGGCATCGGAGAAGGTCGCGACGCTCAAGAAGGAGCTCAAGGACCTTGCGCAACTGAAGAAGGTTGCCGCGGACGTGACAAGACTGCAAGCTGATGTCGCACATCTCACCGACGAGATCCAGACCATTGAGGCAGACTTAGCGTCGACTGGTACGACAAAGACTCCGGATGATGTCCAACGCGAGCTGGACAACGTCTCTACCGAACTGTACGTGCCTTCATCGTGCCTAGCATGCCTTTCGTTGTCTCAAACCTACCAGTCGCTCCATCGACCGCGAGAAACAGACCATCATGAACGAGCGTGAACGCCGAAATAAGACCATCGTTCAGCACACCGACGAACTCCACTCTCTCGAGCTGAAGGAAAGCAAGTTGCGTAGCGGTCTCGCCGAGAAGCAGCGGCTGGTTCAGGACATTGCTTCGAAGCGCTCCGAGATCGAGATGCATACCGAGCGGATCAAGGAGCTCGACGTGAAAGTCGAAGAAGCGCAGAGTCCCATAGAACTGCTCGAGCGCGAGCATGATGAAGTCATGCGTGAGGCGAACGAGAAGCTATCGAACGCGCGCGATGAGATGCAAGCCGTCAACCTCAGCGTCCAGAAGCTCGAGGACGTGAACAAGGTCATTGATAAGTACGTGCACGTTCGCCCCGACTGCTGCGATACTCAGTTCATTTCAGATACGTCCGGGAGAAACGCGCTCGCAAGCTACAAGACTGCGAGAACAAGATCAAAGCGACCGAAGAGCAAGTTTCGAAGCAAAACGAGGAGCTCGAGGCCCTCCGTAAGACCATTGCCGACGTCGAGAAGGAGATCAACGAGGGCGGCGCGGTGCTTGCTAACTTGCGTGATAATATGCGCGTGCGCAAGTTGCGCACGGAGATCGCGAGTATCGAGGCGGAACTCAATTCAATGGATCTGGATGAGGCGGCAAAGGCAAAGAGGAACTTTGAGCAGAAGTTCCCAGCGGAGCAGAAGAAGGAGCAGGATCTGGCTGCTCAGGTATGCACCCTCCATAGACTATCTGTGCAGAGTTCGAGACTGACGCTTCGTGTAGAACTCCTACATCGGTGGTGAACTGAACTCGCTCAAGGCCCAGCTGAAGACGCTTGAGAAAGAGGCCAAGGAGTACAAGGATATCAACCAGAAGTATACCGACCAGCTTGTCAAAGTCAAGGTAAGGAGTGCCCTCGTCTGGCACATGTGCGGTCTGAATCGTGTCAGATGTCCGATATGGCCAACAATGATCTAGAGAAGTACGCGAAGGCGCTGGACAAGTGGGTTATTAGACTGCGTGATCTTCATCAATGTACTGATCTCATCCCAGCGCTATCATGCATTACCACAGCATGAAGATGGGCGAAGTCAACGACACGATGCGCCATCTGTGGAATAAGACATACCAGGGCACAGGTAGGTACCTTCATCGAACGTCCCCTACCTCCCGCTCAAAGGTAGGTCTTCAGATATCGACGGTATCAAGATCGTGTCCGATAGTGAGGGCAATACGTCTGGCACCCGGAGGTCTTACAACTACAGGGTACGTCACCGTCCTCGTCGATATAGGCCAGGGGAAAGACTTACGCGGCCCGCAGGTTGTCATGACCAAGGACCAGGTTGAAATGGACATGCGCGGTCGTTGCTCCGCGGGTCAGAAGATGCTGGCGTCTATCATCATCCGTCTGGCACTATCCGACTCTTTTGGTCAAAATTGTGGTATTCTTGCCTTAGACGAGCCTACCAACGCCCTTGATACAGAGAATATCGATGCCCTGGCGGCTAGTCTCGTCGAGTACGTCCCTCATACCTCGTGCTGAGGCCTGTGCTTACTTGGTGGTAAAGTATTATCAACGAGCGCAAGGGTCACTCCAACTTCCAGCTCATCATTATTACGCACGACGAGAACTTCCTTCGAAAGCTCGGACAGGCCGATGTCATGGAATATTACTGGTACGTTGGCGGTCTTGATCTCGAGCCGACTGCGATGCTGACCATCTTGATAGGCGCGTGTCGAGAGATGCGCGGCAAAAATCCATTATTGAGCGACAACGCTTTGGTTGAGCCCCTCCGTGTCCCCTTTTGCTTGTCAGTGTTTGCTGTCCCTATGTATGCCGCCATGCTATCATCCTGCTCTGTCCGGATCTCTTTCCTCTATCTCTCACTTGAGTCATGCTATCTAGTCCATATGTACGATCATCCACCTAGTAGATCGCGTCCATCCTTCTGATATTACGAATGACGAGTGGCGCAGACATGTCCGATGACCTGCAGTCTCAGGTACATAAAGACTAACGATGGACACATTCGGCACTTCGCACCTCAGTCTTACCCACCACCATGGCAACATCAGAGGCTCCTGGCGACTTGTAAGTGTGCGAACGCCTACGTACGAAGCCCAACATAGCCTGACAAAGCGCATCGCGTTTCTTCAGTCCGGTCGGCCTTTCGGGCGATCTGAGCCCGACACCAGACCAACGCGCCCGTGAAGCACACTACCGCAACTACATCAACCATCTCAATGAACGCAAACTCGACCTCTCCGAGTTTGTTGCAGACGAGATGGTTCACAATAACAGGCGTTTCACTCGCAAAGAGTTCGAGGCCATGCTCGCTGATGACATGGAGTCCTTCCCCGATCTCTACTTCAATCTGCATATGGTACTCGTTACCGGGGATCGCGTCGCGAGCAGAATCTTGTTCAAAGCGACACAGGTGAAGGAATGGAGGGGGAAGAAGCCGGACGGGAAGACGGTCGAGTTCGAAGAACTCGTCTTCTACCGCTTCGAGGGCAACAAGATCAAAGAGGTGTGGTCGATTGTCGGCGAGCCGAAGCCTGTATCCGCTTCGTGAAGCTGTATCATATGCGCAGCAAAGCGCGAGCAAGCCAGTCCCGGATGGATGTTGTCTCTATCATCTCACCAACGGTGCTTCGACTGAGCCCGAGCTTGTACCATACCCAATGTCGAAAATCGGGCCGTCGCATCATGAACGGGTGGTAGAGTCAAGAGATGCCAATTGGAAAGAGTGCAAAAGGTTACAGGTGGTTCTCCAGACACGAATGTTACAAACAAAGGCCGGAACTCCTACGAGTCCTCACACAACAAGAAATCCGTCATAAATACTAGATGCTTCCCCCAAGCTCAACGACGCGCGCTCGCGGCAGTGCTCTGCGCCTGAGCATTGCACTGGGTCTGCTGGTCACCGCAAGCGGAGACCGTGAGGTCGCCCGAGTTGCCGCTCGAGTTCGCCGCGTTGGCGCACTTGTTGTGCTGAACGTCGCACGAACGAACGAGAGCGTTCTGAAGGCTGCTGAACGACGAGTTGCCGTCAACCTGGAAGGGCTGAGCGCCAGAGCCAAGATCAGTGACGGCCGGGGCAGTGACGCCACCGAGACTGCCGGTGAAGGTTTGGAGGTTGGTGCCAGATGCAGCACTGCTCGAGGCGGCGGTAGTGGCAGCGGCCTGAAAGGAAACAATCAGAAAGCTGTTGGCCATCATTCAGAGTTTGCACTTACAGCAGCAGCGCTCGTGGTCGCGGCAGCGGCAGTGGTGTCAACGGCCGCGGCGGTAGTGGTAGCAGCTGCAGCTGCAGCAGTGGCCGTCGTGGCAGCAGCGGTGGCAGCCTGTTAAGAAAGTCGTGAATACTAGTCAATGGACACGTTCGATAGATTAACGCACGGGGTTAGCACCAGGGGAGATCGTGGTACCGGTGTTGCTGATGACGGCGAGCGCGGCGAAATCAGTCGTGATACCGAACGCAGCGTTGAAAGCTGGCCAACGAGATCAGAATTTGAGACGAGCCCGAAAGGTTCACTACGACGCACCATCAGCCTGAGCACCGGTGCCCTTCGATGCGGCATCGGCAGCAGCAGTCGCGGTCTTGCACGTCGCCTTGGCCGTGGCATCAGCGCCACAGCTGTTGGTCAGGGTGTCGCACATGAACTGCATGATGATGTCGACGTTCTGGGCCGAAGTGTGCGCGTAGGAAGCCTGGTCAACGGGCTGGAACGAGGTCTCCTTGCGGTTGTCGAAGCCGGCACCGAACTCGATTTGGGGAACAGAACACGAGCCGAAGTCACCGATGTCGCCGGCGGCCGCCGTCGAGGTAGAGGCGGCCGCAGTGGTCGTCGCTGCCGCCGCCGCTGCCGTGGTAGCAGCTGCAGCGGTCGTCTCAGAGCCGGCTGCAGCACTGCAGAAAGGATATCAGCGAAAGAACGAAAGTCAGGAATGACCAAAAACGTACGTGACAGTCACGGTAGCGGTGCCAGAACACTCGCCGGTGGTGCCTGCATCGGTAGACGTCGAATCGCTGCCGGCGGAAGAGGTCGAGTTGCTTGCGCCAGTCGCGTCGACACCAGCGACGGCCGCATTGATCTCGTCCTCAGTAGCATCCTCGACAAGGAGGTTCTGAGAGACGATGCAGCCAGCGGTGTCGTTCGCATCGTCACAGGTGTTGCCCTTTGCAGTGGGGTCACCGATCGTGCCAGGCGCAAACGTGCCGGACTTGAGCGCGTCCGTAGGCGTACCGCCGATGGAGGCGATCTGCTTCGCAAGCTCCAAGACAAGGTTCTTGTTGAATGCCTGAGCGCCATCACCAGCGGGATCCTGGTGCTGAGCGAGAGCCGCAATCTCCGGGTTAACCGCCGTAACAGACGTGCAATTGGGGGACGCTGCGCCAACGGAACCGGAGTTACGCTCGAGCGTGCGGAAGATGAGCGCGCTGGTCATGCCGGCAACGTCGTTCGCGGCCTTGGCGTTCGTGAAAGCCTGATCGGCTGTTGCCTGCTGGAGGCAGTCGGCATCCTATGCGCTCCTTGTCAGCTGGGATACATGTAGATAGACTGAGTAGAGCGCACAGTGGTGTCACCGAGACCCTGAGCTGCCGCGGCGGCACCCAGGAGGCCGAACACCGGGTCACCGAGGTTGTCGGGGTTGCTGATAGCGAGCTGCTTGCGGATGTCGATCAAGATGGCCTCGTGAGAGTGCTCTGTATGCATGTAAGGACGACAGGGGTTTTCAAGCATGTCGAGCCATGCTCACCTTGGGGGACTTCACGACGGAAGCGGTAGCTGGCGGGAACAGCAATCGTAGAGGAGGCCAAAGACAGGCTGAGGAGAAGGAACTTGTAGGAAAACATCTTCGCAAGTAGACGGGTCAAAGATAAAATGACGAGAGTTGTTGCGGTCGCCTGGACTGTCGAGGCGTCAATGAGTATGATCAGACCCGATGAGTACATAGAACGTACCGAAGGACTGTAGTGAAAGGAGTGGAGAAGCAAGAACCTGTCTTGACCAGAGAAAATGAGCGAAGAAACCAAACCACCGGGGAGGGGAGAAGGGTGAGGAACGTCGTCGCGGGGGTCGGTCATGTTTTATACGGCACGTCCTATTTCTCCGACTACAGATACCGAGCGATGACCTTCAAGGCCCTGCGGACGCGGTCCGCAGAAATTCCAAGCAACGAGACCATTGTGTTGCCAGGGGAGCCAAGTCAATGGGGACCCCTTTTCCGGTGGAAGCACACAAGAGTAATCGAGACCCATCAAAGACACTTGAAGCCGAGTACAGTCCTGTACAGTCGCCCTGTAAGTCTCAATATGCGGGTCCTACCAGTCCATAGATGCATAGTATGCGGACCCCAAGCGTACTTAGCGCAGTCAACCAAAGCATTCAGCTCTCCAGTCCCCATTCATCCGACGACGCCGAAGTCTGTCTTGTGTGCAACACGCAACACGCACAATCATCGTGCCTTCCGCAGACCGATGATGAACTTGAAGTGGAGTGAGAAGTTGATCGCCATAGCGAAGGCGGCCGCGACCGTCACCAAGGGTCGGTCGCCCGTACGGGCCGTACCCGACGGTGAGAACCGTCGCATCGGTGCGCGGGATACGTGCTTTCTCACAACACTTCCGGCCTCCGTCAATTATCACGAACAATGCGGGTCCTGCAGGCACGAACTTCTGTCTTCCGAAGTACGATGCAGCCGTTGATGATCACACGAATATGGAGAAGCGTGGCCGGAGCACGTACTCGCGCATCACCTTCCGCACGCGCAAGACTAGTGGCCAGCAGAGCACGGGGACAAGCAGCAAGACCAGCGCAGACTATAAGCACGCTGTCACGACTGCGGGAGATACACAGTCAAGGCAGTCTGAGAGACTGGTGCATCAGTGTGTGACTAGAGAATATTATAGGTGTACCAAGTGACCACGAACGGGCTGGTCTAACCCGATACCCGGGAGAGCCTTGTGCGGGTACCGCTGGCCGGTGTCACTGTATGTGTTTTATATGCTCTCCGACGCGGTATTTCGTCGTTGAGAGCAGAGCGCATTCAAGGACAATGTGTCTTCTTTATATGCAATGTATATGCAGCCAGACAAGGCAGCGCAAGGTGACTCGCCAGACTAAAGCAGAGTCTCTGCCGATGATATAATAACGAGCACCCCTAGTAGACCACGAGACGAGAAGACGGGTATCAGGCTCAACGTACAAGATGGCTTACACCAGCTTCTTGTCAGACACGGGCGGTGGGGGTGGAGGTTTAGCTTTCGTCAGGGAGTGGACATCTTGTTCTAAGTGGAATAGGCCATGAGTACAGTGGACACCGAAAGGTGAATGTCTGGACGTACGTAAACCCCACACAAAGGTTCGCAAGTCGAGGAACTCTGCATATGTAGATGTTCAGAAAGAACCCTCAGAAGCTGATGCCATGCTGGCGCACCGATATGTAGCCCATCGTATATCTTCTTCACTTCGGCTCTCAGGCGAGAAAGATCGGCTTTGCTACTTGAAGCGTCCGAGAGCGCCTTGAGATCCTTCTCCACTGTCTCGATACGACGAACATGCGCAGAAATCTAGATGAATCGTTTAGAGCTTGGTGAGATGGCGCCGAAAGAGAATGTACCTTTTCTGAGCTCTTCTGCAACTCGTCCACGCTGGCCTGCAGCGCGATTGATGCTTCTTTGTATTCATCAAGTAGACGAAATACAGCATAAGACGAAGCGAGAGAGAATCCGGCCAGAAAGCCGATGATACTAGCCAGTATCGAATCAGGCATTGACATGATGCGACTGAAGACGCGCGCACCCGCCGCGAATGCCGCCAACTGGCCTCTTGGGCGCCGGCGGTGTTCCAAGATTCGGAGTCGTCTCGCTCCTCAAAGTGCGAGCAGACGAGAAGACACGTCGAGCAGAAGGTACGCCTATGCGTCTGGCCACAGCCAGTGACGAAGCCATGATGAGCGTTCAAGCCGAGAAGCACCGTGACCGTGCCGCGCATCATGACGACGGGTTCCCACCGTGCCCCATCTCCGTTGACGTGGTTCCAGGCTCACATTGAGACCAGGCAGTTTATCGAGTACTGGTACTGCGATTGGGTATCATGGGCATTCCGCCACGAGCTGTCCTGCTTGGTACCGTGGTGAGGGCGTGTGTGTCAAGGTTCGTCGGAACAGCTTCGGAGCTGTCGGCCTCGAGGCGAACACGATCTGAAACGGTGCCTTCGCGATCACATGAGATGCTTGTTTGACATTGTTTCCTCTCCGCGAGTGAATGCGGCTCTCCAGCTCACTCTTTTGGCGCTCCCCCCAGCTCATTCCAGTACTGAGCTCGAGAGCATTCGAGAGCATTCTAGAACATTCTGAATGCTGCGCATGCTGGCGTCACGTGGTGGCTGTGCGCAAAGGTATATAAGGCCGAGTTCAAGCGACCAAAATCGCCATACCATGGCCCCCTACAGCCCCCCAACCCCCAACCTGACCCCAACCCTCTCGTACAAGAGCGTGACGAAGCCCGATCGTCCGTCCGGAGTGACACCGGAAAACTATATCGAGCAATATACCCAGCGAGAGTACAATGGGACACGTTGTACTCTGTGTGTCGAAGAGGAGGCGCTGGCCGTCCCTCTGTTGGTCCCTCCGCGGATGCGAGCGAACAAGCAAGGAAGCACGTTCTGTAGTCACATCTACACGCCTAAGCGCAGCGCCGTGTTCTACTGGAATCCGAACGGAAGCACATTCGTGAGACGAGTAGATGGAAGTGCTGAGTACAAGGCCCCGAGTGGCTTCGTCAAGAAGTACGGTGTCGGCGCGTACGTCCAACCTGAGGGTATGCCGTATGTTCCCTACGGCGTACTTGGGTTCGGAGTAGTGCAATCGCTGTCAGAGCGATACTACGAAGAACTCTTTCAGCTATGCCATCCACTCGCCGGCACCGCCGACGAAGGGCTCCCGAAGTGATCGCCGGTACGTTCGGATCGTGCGCCGTGCGTGCTTGGACGCTTGTCAACTCGCTTTATTTATTCGAAGAACGCACATAGCTGGTCTAGTGCGTTCTTCTTGCCGATCGGCGAACGGTGTAGCACTCGAACTCGCCCAACAGGACGTTCGCATCGGTACACCAGTGCGCGTGCGGTGCCGGCGTGCTGTTATATACCCATTGCCCCGATTCGAGTCGTCTCAGACTTGTGGAGTGCCTCTGCCGGCTCCGTGCCGGGGGAGGTGCACCCAAGTACGGACACTCGCTTCGAGGAAGATACCCCACGTACGTATAGGACCTGGTTCTGCAGCTGTGCGTGCGACGAGTGCTACATCGTCAATTTTTGGACCCTGTTGATCCTTCGGGATTGTGTTCGTGTATTTATTGCCTCGTGAGTGTATGTAACATAATGCAGCTGGAATGAACAGTTCGTGCTTCTGAAATAATTCATTGAGTCGCCGTCGGTGTGAGATCTGAGTGAACGAAGTAAGTATGTTGAAGTCTGGTAAAGTCGTTGTATGCCAGGGCCAAGACGAGCTGTCTGTCGGCGCTTCAGAAGTCTTGAGCAGATATCGAGCGTGATCCTCGAAGATATCGCGAGTATCGGCGCGTCCTGGCGGTGGCAAATGCGCCGAACAAGAGTGAGAAATGGGGAAAGTGAGTCCAGCAGCTCTGCAGAGAGAACCTGTTTTGGGAAAGCTTCGGGCGTAGGCGCGCCACATCGTCCGAGACCCCAAATGCTACACACCTGCTGCGGTCCAAGTACGCGCGTGGCGCAAAGCTATGCTACCTAAGGTTAGGGTTGGCTTCGGGTATAAGAGAGGGGCTGCGCGCGGCGAGCGCATCAGAACTCGCTCCACCCCGCCATCCACCCAAGCTTTCGCTCGCCGAGTCCCATCCGAGTGTCCGCCTGAGCTTCTTCGATCCACCTTCATCCACATCCACACCTACTCCTCTCGGCGAGTTATCTAAAGAACTCGTTGAGCTAGTTCCGGACGAGCTGTCTATTGAGCTCGCTCCCCTCATCCTCGGAAGAAGCTGCTAAACAGCTCTTCTACTTCATCCCCGACGAGTCTTGCTCGTTCGGCGTCTTCGGACACCCGGCCTTGTGCCAAACCAGACCAAAACCAAAACACATTACACACACATTACATTGCACAAAGAGACACATACACATAAACTTGAAACTATCGCATATAATATCAGAGTTGAAATAGTACAATGAATACATCAGTTGAGCCTCATCGTCCGAATGGCGTGAACGCCCCAGTCTACATCACGGTGCTCTCGGAGCACCGCGGTGTGGTTTGTGAGTTATGCGCCGAGGAGCAGCGCACGGTGCCCCAGTTGGCGCTCCCCGTGAAGCGTCGCAACAATCGCGGCAACCTGTACTGCCGGCACACCTACACCCCTCACCGCGGCGCGTACTTCTACTGGAACAGTAGTGGTACGACGTTCGTGAGGCGCGTGAACGGAAGTGCGGTGTGCACGTTCGCGCATGGGTGGGAGAAGCGGTATCGCAGGGGCTCGTACGCGCCGCCGGACGGTGTGCCGTTCGTGAGCGCGCGTATGGCCGGGAGGGGACAGCTGCGCGCGTTGTACGAGTCGTACTACGAGGCGCTGTACCAGAGGTACCACCCGCGCGCGCGTTAAGCGTGAGCTATGAAGGTACGCCGATCGTATCCGTCTGTCGGCATCGTCTTCTTCCCCATCTCCGTCTTGGTTTATTTAGAAAGCAACTGATTCCATCTCCAGCTCTACAGACGGCCCAACGCCGAACTTCACCGTCTGCCTGTCTATCGTGTCCCGTGTGTTTCGGATCTAGACTTGTGTCTCCCGTGTTCTTGTCTTGCCATATGCCCTGTATGCTTGTTTGAATGAACCTATGCCTTATGCCCCATGCACCACCACAGGCATCGAGTATTCATGTAACAATATCTCAGAGTCCACGCACGGTGAGTTACTGAGGGATGATTTGCGGATGAGCTCCGCATCGTTGAAACTGTGGGGAAACGAGGGGAAGCTGCGAAAGGTCTTGCCGGTTATGCTCGACGGTGATGCAAGCCGCGCGTGTCAGACGAGGAGGACGTTCCAGGTAGAGCAAAAGTAAACACGATTATCCCAGAAATGTGAATAGTAGTGTAGACGTGACTGTACACGGTCCAATCCACAGATACAAGCAGCGCATCGCCAAAGCGGGTAGATCCTTCAAGCTTTCTTCGCTGCCTGTTCCTCCTTCCACCACTGCAAAAGATGTCAGCGTCCGGAAACCATTCAGGAAGAGTGGGACTACACACCTGCATTGTCCTCCTGATCCCCTCCTCCATACCCACAATAGGCTCATACCCAAGAGCCCTCCTAGCCCTCTCAATGTTATGCCACCTATGCGCACTGACAGTCCTAACCCTGAACGTCGTGAAGTTCGGCTCGCGACCAGTGATCCACCCCACGACCTCCGACAAGCTAGCCAGAATGAAGCCAAGCGGACGAGGGATAGCAATAACACCGCGAGCCGGGTACTTCTCGGGGTCCGCGGCGCGCCAGATTGTGCGCATGAGGTCCCAGAAATATACGGGTTCGCCGTTGGAGATGAAGAATACGCTTCCGGCTACTTGGAGAGGGTTCTTCTCCGCGCGAACGAGCGCACCGTCGCTTAACGGGTCGAAACGTGTACGACCAGGTGCACGGTGGGGTGGAGGCGGAGCGGCCCAGTTCGCCTCGAGCTCGTCGGCGTTTGGCGGACGCTCGACGTAGGGGCCGAGAGGCCGTGCAGCGGAGGTGGGCACGCGGCGCTTGCCTGTGGTCAAGTCGACAAACGCGAGCGGGATGTCGAGCTCTGCGCGAACTTTTTTGGGGTTGTAGGGCGGTGGAGGAGTGAGCTTTTCTGCGGCGAGCAGATGCGCGTGTACGATGTTGTCCACGTAGGTGATGTCGAAGAGGTTGGTGTTGTCGCCGATCTGGTAGTGCGTCTTGCCGTCCTCGAGGACTTTCAACGCGCCGACGAGGAGCTGGCGATCACCCGGGCTGGATGTACCGTTAGCTTTGTTCTGATTATATTGTGATGGAACATGAACATACCCAAAGATACCGGCAGGACGGAGTGCGACAGTGAGGAGATCGCCCTTGCCATTGGCCTCGAGGACGATCTGCTCGGCGCGAGCCTTGGAGTCGTTGTACGCGTCCATCGCCTTTTCGGGGTACGGCAAGCGCTCATCGCCATCAATGATGTCGTGACCGTCAAACACGACACCGGCAGAGCTGGTATACACGAGTTTCGGCACGTGGTTCGCGACAGCAGCGGCCACGACCGCTTTTGTGCCGTCGACGTTAACTTTCCAGTACAGCGCAGGGTCGCCGACGCCGTGCATGGGCGAGGCGGTGTGGATGATGCATGTCGCGCCGCTAGCAGCGAGCGCGGCGGAGACCTGGGCCTCGTCGCTGATGTCGCCCGGGTAGAAGGGCGTGTCGTCGTAGCGCTGGACGATGTCGAATACACAGACGCTGTCGCCCCGCGCCAGGAGCGCCTTGACCATGTGTCGGCCCAGGAAGCCGCTTCCACCGATCACCATGTACACATCCTTGCCGCCCATTGTGCGTAGGTTAACTGTAGAAAAATGAGAGGACAGGGGATGGCAGGAAGCAAAGTAGCAGAGGCCAGCTAATAAATCAGACTCCTCGTACCATCCGCCAGGAACAACTCGACCGGAAATTCGGCGCGGAAACGCGGTCACGCGTCCGCGCCACGCAGGTTCGACTCTGTTCGACTTCAACCACGACCATCACGATGAGCAAATACACCGCTGAAGAGAAGCAGCAATTGCTGGATAACTTAGCCATCGAAAGTGCGTATTATATACACACGCTCTGATTAAATATACTGACAGATTATCATCAGCCGCCCATCGGATACGCATGCTACAAACGCGACTGGCCGACGAAGTCTCTGCCTACATCGCGCGACACGAACGACAAATCACTGCACTTCCCAAACTCGTACGCGCGCTCACTATGAAGGAATTTGCCGACAACTATAATGGAGACCCGCAAGCTGCACTCGTTGGACTGCAGAAGGCGCGGATGGGATACGATGCACCACCACTCGACCGTACGGCTATGAAACGCAAGTGGGTTCAGGATGTCGAGGACAAAGGAGAAGGCCCGAGCAAAGCCGCGCATGGCCACGATATTAACCCTGCTAAATCTACCAAGAACGGTATGCTGATTTATTTTTCTCTATGTCGACCAGCGATGTTTATGATCCTTAGCGCGTATGGCACCACCTAGTCCCATCAAGAAACCCGCATTCGGTGGCGGCGGAGGCGCCCGCAACCCACCACCACCCTCCAAGATCCCGCCTTCACCCCGTAAACGCGTCATCTCCGGTGCACCTCCGCCCTCACCAAACAAAGCACCCAAATCTCGCATGCCCACCACATCCAACTTTGCTCCTGCATTACCCAAGACGCCCGGATTCCCTCGTTGGCCTCAGAAGCACGAGAATATGCTCAGCGTCAACGGCTCGCCGCTTGCGAACCCGTACGAGCTGGGTTTGGATTGGCTGGCGCATGATTCGCCTGATGGAATGAGGGCGTCCACGTCATCTGTGGATGAAGACGGGAGGCCAAAGTCGCGTATTGTGATACGGCCGGAGGGCGTGGGCCACTCTCGCAATAACTCGCAAGCCAGCAACTTGTCTGGTGTGGGTGGCAGGGCAAATAGCAGGCAGGGCAGGGACGCGGGTGGAGCATTCAGTGCACGCGTGGCTGTTCCGACGAAGGACGGACATATGCTCGAATTCGACCCGTTGCATACCAGTCCTGCGGCGCTTGACAAGCTCAGTGGGATCACGGACAGCGCGAAGAAGCAGGCCAAGGAGGACATGGCGCGGCTCCTGCAGCAAGCCGTTCGCAAATGGAACATCGACTCTTAGCGCATTGACCATTTTCTACTCCCTTGCTTCTCGGTCATTTGACTGTACATAGACTCAGTTTCCTGGCACACGCATTGCATTATGTATTGTATACATTCACATTTCTAGCCCTCGAGCACATCTACATACGCGAGTCGAGCAACCTGCCCGTCCCTATTGCGGACACGGACCAGAGGACCTGGCAAGCCGTACCTGTCCCAACTGTATCAGTAAACCATGAAGTGCCTTCGAAGGGGAAAGTGACGTACGCTCTCGCGCGATCCTGCGCCTCCAATAAAGCCGACAGAGGTATAGCACCGATGGCTCGCGCACAGCCGCGAGAGAGCGAGTAGCTCCCTGTAGTCACGTACCCGATTATACGGTCTTCCTTGTAGTCGGGTTCAACATCCTAGACAGTTCATCAGCGGTCTGCGTAATGAGATAAGTAAGAGAGCCTACCTCTTCATTGGACGCCGCTACTTCCTCTGCATCCTCTTCTTCGTCCTCGTCTGTAAAGTCTCCCGGTCTTTGCTTCCTCTTCCCTTTGCCCTTCTTCTTCTCTCCACCCAATGGCACCTCGTCAAGCTTGATCCTACCACTCCTAATCTCCCTCGCCCACTTCCCTATACTTCCATCCCCAACCTCATACACGACAGCCATAGCCTCCGCATTCCCTCTCCCCGCCATCCTCATCCTGACCCTGACGAGCGCTCCAACGTACAGCGAGTCCTCGGCTTCGCGCGGTAGAGGTGGCGCATCGCGTTTCATTCGTGCCGCGTTGACGTGCTCGAGCACTTTCGACGCTGGGTTGAGCATCCCGCTCGCGTCGGTGACGAGGCGCGCGACGTGTGGACCGCGGAGGAGCCAAGGCTTCACCTCCTTCCCGTCCTTCTTCGCCTGCTCCACTTCCGCCCGCTGCGCGGGTATCATGTCCTCGTCCTCGCCCTCCCCATCGGCATCCCCCTTCGGCGCATCAGCACCAAGCACAACCCCCCAATCCGCCACCCACGGACTCCTCGTTCCCAACTTGCCCCAGCTAGCCCTCTTAGCCGGCGGCCTCCGCCCCCACCTCTCCTTCTCCCTCTCAGCCCTCTCCCTCGCAAACTCATCGTACGCCCCAGTCAACGGATAATCGCTGGGAAAGTTCGCCGCGCCGGACTCGAAGAACTGTGCTGCGCGCTCGCGTTGGCCTGCGATACGCGTTCCGGTGTAGATTAGGGTGTCGAGGAAGGGTTGGGCCCAGCCTTTGGGGAGGATGAGGGTCCAGCCGTGGATGCCGCTGCCGTCTGTGTCGCGTGAGGTTGAGGCGGGGCCGGCGGATCGCTGGATGAGCATCACGGGTACGCGGGAGTCGGCGGGTGTGGGTTTGAGCTTGGTACCGGGTATAGAGGCTTGAGCACGGCGAGCGTCTATGGCCTTCTTGGTGAGCTTGTTGGTGTAGAGGGGAACGCGGACGTTCGGGTCCCAGAGAGTGCTTGATGCGAGGGAGGGGGAGGGGTCCTTGGTGAAGGCCTCAGGAAGGGAGGGCGTTGTCTCAGGGGGGATAGTCGCATGTGCATTACGCGGCGGAAAGCTATATACTATCATGGGTACATCGTAGGGCAACGGCTGAAAGACGAGCTTACTTCAGACGCGGGTCGTGCACAGTGAACCCAACGATCATGTTGCCCGGCACAGACGCAGGCGATTGCAAATTCCCAAGCTGTCTCCAGAACTGCTCAAGGCGTAAGCATCCAACCCGTCAACAACACCGAGCGCGAGAGCTGACCTCGTTAAACTCCTTACTCTGCCCTTCGACAGGGGTGAGCGCACCCTTGAGCACTTGACTGCTCTTCGGACCCATGATCTCGAAGACATTGACAGCGTCGCGCAGATTTGCCACTTCAATCGCGTACTCCTTCCCGGCGTGCTGAGAGGACTGGCGCAGTTCGTCGAGTGCGACAGACGCGGCAAGCTTGAGCGCCTTGAGTGCGTCCGGCAGAATGGTCGGGTGTACGCGGACCCATGCAGTGCAAGTAGATGCTTCTTCGGGCTGCGCTTTGCCCTTCCCTTTGTCGACTATCGGAGAACTTGGTGAATGACAAATACGGCACAGAAGACCAAAGTCGCGACATACTGGACTTGTTCTTGCGCTTGCGCTTCCTCTTTCCACCATTCGCAGCAGGTTCAGTAGCAGATGTCGCCGTATCCATCGGCGCTGGCGCTTCTTCCTCGGCGTCCTCATCCTCGGCGCGCCACATTACCTCTGCAGGTCCGATCAAGCCGCACGGGTACTCGCTGGCGATAGCTCCGCCATCGTGACGTTTCAGCTTGTACAACGCCGTATCGCACGTCCTGACACCAGTTGTGAAGCGCGGCGCACTCGCCGACGGGCCTTGAGGGTCGCAACAGATCTCGAGTAGGCGAGTAACGGCGGGCGCAGATCCATGTAGCTCGAGAAGACCGAAGTAGGAGGCGTCGTGTAATATCGCGCCGTGCATCGCTGCGCGGTGAGAGGGGCGGAAAGACTTCTCTGTCGGCTGAACAGCCTATCATAGGTGCAATAGAGTTAGTAGAGTGTTCAATTCAATAGAGTGACGACCCACCAGGCGGAATCCCCACATGTTCTCCATCTTCATACGCTTTGCATGCCACATATGGGTTTCAAGCCACCGCTTGTTTACTGGTAGGGAGTCAGGCTCTCTGACAGGAATCATTCGCCATACGCCATACATTACACACCTTGCCGCTTGAGTAGCTGAATGTTGCGCGGTATCTGCGCGCTCTTGCCGCGCTTTGGCCTCGCGCGACCGAGAGCTTTGCGCTTCATGGCGTCAATCTGTCCGAGCGCAGTAATCTCAGTCTGTGATACTGTTACGACAGTATCGTGTGATTTCTTACCTCTCGTGCAGACTTTCCCCGTAAACGCTGAGGTACGCGTCGGACATCGTGGCTAGCCGCACGACGGCGTAAGTGTCTAGGCAACTCTTGCCAAGCCCGATGAGTTGCGCTTGAGCTATGTATACCTGCGATTAGCATACCATGTTGAGAATTTTGGGCGCGCAAGTCTTACCTTGCATTCTTCTGAGCTTGCTGCATCGCCTTGATCTCAAATTCGCGTGACTGATCCTGGTCAGTCGCGAACGCGAACAAGGTGCCACAGCTAGACGGACCTCGACAAACTTCTCAACATCAAGCTTTGACGGGAGACCTTGCATGCCTATACTCATGTATTGGTTTCTAATAAGTTCTCAAAAGGAGGAAGAGACTGACTGTTGAATGTAACCGAGCGACTCGATGCAGCGGCGTTGGATGTGCTTGGCCCGGCAACGGGCTGAACGGCTATATCACGGGCTTGCTGAAGTTTTGCACGTTTGAATTGTGTGCTCGTAGTCGCCTCTGCGCCTGATTCAAGCGCTCGTTTGAGGGGCATGTTGAACGAAGTTGCGACGAAGAAATCTAGACGATAGTAGCTGGTGAGGGAGATTGCACCCGGCGAGATATCCCAGACTGGCTGAGAGAGATACGACAGAGATCAAGGGTAGCAAAGCATGTGTTCCGGAGAGTGCCGACGTAAAACAAGGTATGCAGTCAGTAGGGCACTTCAGGTTGGTGGGCAAAGGTGAGAAGAGAGTGTAAGACGCGTCCTGCGCGATGGCGCGGTAAATCAACACGCGTGGCTCGCACGCGCACCGCCATCAAAGTACAATAACGGTGCTGCCATTGATCTTTGCTTCTTCCCATCATGACCCTTGAGACTTGCACACGAATCTTAGCTAAAACGACTCTCCTTACGAAGTGAATCTTATAGTCTGAGTCACTGCAGTATGAGTATACGCTCCAAATTTCGACAACTCAGTCCACGCCATGACCTCCCCAGTTGGCCGCCTCAGTTGGCCAACTCGTATCCGTGACCGGACAATACTGATGGTGAAGAACGAGTATAAGTACACAAGAGAACAATTCAACATTCACAAGAGGTATGTATGACTAGTCTCGTTCGCAACGCTTACGGGCTTTGCTCGTTGCAGATTTGGAAAATCTGCCTGAGTCTCATCTCGAAGTGCCCCATGGTGGACATGTCCATTGCCAGCACCCACCAAGGCAGACGGGGTTCTTTCACGACATCGCTATCGGGGCCGTATGTGTAAACTTCTCCATCTGGCCGTGTGTAGTATCCAGAGCCGTCGGGACGAGCTAGATAGGTCGACCCATCACTACGAAAGGCGTGTCAAAGACATACCCCCACTAGCTGATGGCACTCACGCATTCCAGTAGAAGAAGGCGCAGATCTCCGTGGTGTAGATGTGTCTACAGTAGTAGTCACCCTGTGAAGGACCGTTGGCTCGTGTAGGAGGTCGGAGCGCGGAATCTCACGTTGCAATTCTTCCCTACGTAGGGCGGACATTCGATGAGTAAAGCCCCCTTGGCCGCGTCCTCTGAACAAAGCGGGCAATAGATGCCATCATACATGGACAAGGAGCTAGTAGTGATCTGAGCGTTGTGCGGAGGAACAGTTATATATGACAGGCACCTGATACGGCCGCATCTGAATGCGTCCGGGAAGTCGCTCTTCAGAGCTGCAATCTCCTTTTCAGCCATGAGAGTAAGAGTCAGGGATGGGTTGGCGTAGGTCGCCTACATTGAGGCTTTTATAATGTCTCGGGGCTGACGATAAGGGTGCGTAAAACTCGCTATGGAGATGCATCCGTCAGATCTCGATACATCCGCTGATCTGACTCGAAAGGTTATTACCGAACTGTCCGACTGCAAGTTCGCGTCCAGACTTTGCGTTTGCGTCGTCGAGGCTTTGTCCCCGTATCGTCAAAACTATATATTTGTGCACTTCGAGCATTCCGGGTGGATCTCGTGCACGTGATGGTCAGAGAGTCTGCGCGGTGTCGTCAGCGGCGTCGAGCTGGCGGAACAGAAATCGGATTAGAGGTTACGTACAACGCGTTTGAAATACGTGCATGCCTCAACTAGCTGCACAACTTGAACGGGTGTTGGCCCAAATGTAGACCTCTACATGCGAACGCATCAAGAAGATCGATCCCTGCAAGTATTCACCCACAACCCAAACCCAACGTCCCCTGCCATTTCCTTGATACCTCGCCTCTGCTCTTCGCGTCTTTCCACGACCGCCTCATCCCACGATACTGGGTCCTATGCTACAAATATTCCTTTGACGAATTAGCGCGGCGCTCTCGTCTCAGAGTAAACAGAGGGTACATACCTTTGTCGCCCACTGTACGTGTATGACCGGAGCACTTCCGCCCACACGGAAGAGCTTGTCATGTGAAGAACGTTAGTAAGTATCATATCGTCCAACGATGCTGACGCAAACTGACTACGATTCAACGATATGCAGCCAGAAAGGCGAGAAAGGGTGGGACACCTGAAAGAGCATCTCGTGATAGCTTGCATATCGTTCGTCGAGCGCATATTCGACGATAAAGTGCGGCAGTCTGACAGCCGGTAGGTCCATCATGTCTTCGCCTGGTGCGAAGTGCACGACTCGCCCGTCCGGAAATCGGTGTTCACCCGACCCATTGACGCGGCGCAAGTGCACAGAGCCATCTCTATTCCAATGAAAGCACGCTCCATGGCGCACTGTGTATATATGTCTACAATATAAGTCGCCATCGTCGTTGACCTCCTGGTAGGGGGCGACGAATTGGGGTACATGGTGTAGGCGCTCTTCGCGACACAGCTGGCATGACACTTCCCCGTATGCATTCGCTTTCTGGATGTACTCGACAGGCCAAACGCCCACCGGAGGAAGAGGCATGGATAGTTCTCTCATGAGCGAGATGTATATTGCATTGCAGTCGCGGTCTGAGATGCGGAGGCAAGGTGGGGAAGCCATCACAACCGTGAGATGGGGGGAGGATGGGCAAAAAGCGGGCGCACAAGCTAGCCCTTACATACCTAGGCGTTTATCAAAAGTCTCACGCCGCGGTCTGAGAACAATGGGACGAAATTGCTCTGTTGCGGCGTGGGACAAACGAGGCGGAGGCCCAGGGCTTTCACCTTCCCGGGTGGCTGGGGGTTCGTCTGTGGTGGGTCGGGTGCACTTTGGTCCTCACGATACACGAATAGCGGGCGCTGGTCGAGCGCCAAACGAAACCCACACCGGAGGCCTCGATGCCAATGTTGCCTAAACGGTCTTCCTCGACGATCGCCAGATTAGTTCAGAACGTCAAACAAGACTCGAAAGACTCACACAACCCAGAGGGCCCCCGACGCCACAGTGTTTGAGCGTGTTCGGGCAGCATTGAGACCGGGATTGGGAACCTGCGGTAAGTTTAGCCTCTAGGTAATGCCGTCGAGTGATCTCCAGTGCGTGCGGCAGTTCAGTCCCAGGTATGTTGTTTGCCCTACGTCTCATGGATGCGAATCTTGAGGCGTATGCTGCAAACGACAACTTTAGCCGGGTGTTCGCACGCTAGGTGTATTCGAGTCTAGGGCTTTCAAGGCCGTCGTTCGGGGCAAGTTCGGGGGACGAGGATGTGCGTGCGCAACAAGCGAGAACGTGCAAGTCAAGCAAGAGCGTGCACGTCAAAGAGAACCTGCCTGGCCAGGTTAAGTAGCTGCGGGGAAGGCAGGTGGCTTGTGCTAGTCTTCTAAAGCAGCCTCAGATGCGCGTATAAGTACTACATGCGATGGAATGAGACGACGCTAAACTCTACTTACAAGGGCAGCAGCTACCTCGATGATAAATCGTCCGGAGGTGATATGGGCGCTGTAGAACGTATAAGAGACACTGCCACATCTGATGCTTGTATCGGGCATTGAGGCGGGTGTGCGAGGATGATGGTCGAGGTCCACTCGCCTGAGCTGAGGGGCGAGGTAGCTTTAGCCGCCTGCAGGCGCCTGTGCAACTTGCTCCAAACTTCCATCTCGACTTCTACCCTCCATATCCCGACCATGGATATATCTGGTCTACTACAGAAATATGGCGGACGTCTACCGAAACCACTACGTGACATGATATATCCTGCAATATTCGGACTGGCGCTTTCACCCGCTGGTGGTGCCCTGGTCATCACGACCAACGTTGCGGAGCGCTTACGCGGCCCCCACGCCTTGCGTCCACCACCAGCTTCGCTCACTACCGAAGACCTTAATGCTGTATCGTACGAATCAATAGATATGCTCAATGCTATATCGCGTGAAGCAACCCATAGAGGCTATGCTGTGATTGGAGGGTCTGGCTATGTCGGGACGTACGTGCGTTCCGACTGAGGACCGGTAAGTGCAGCTCACTGAACCGCGTGATCAGCTATATCGTGAAGCTACTTCTGAGGAGGGGCGAGACGAGCGTCCGTATACTCGACGTCGCTACACCCTCCCGCCAACTACTCGACAATCCCGCTGTGACCTTCATCCCGTGCGATATCACATCCCGTCAGTCCGTTGAAGAGGGTTTGACCACGCCGTTTGCGTCTACTGGTGCACCACCAGCTGTCATCTTCCATTGCGCGGCTTCAATCCGCTTTTGGGAGCGCGCAGGATATACCTGGCCAGCGTCGCACAGAGTCAACGTTCAGGGCACCGAGAACGTGTTGGCTGCGGCGCGTCAATTGCCAAACGAGACCCTGCTCATCTACACGTCCAGCAGTGATGTCATCTTGCCGCGCCCGCGCTTCCTGCATATCGCAGGGGAACTTGACTCAAAGCCCTACGACTCCGTTGTCTTCAGCGACAACGATCCCCCGCTACCCGAATACGCGGAAAGCGCGACTTCATATGTGCGCTCGAAAGTCATCGGAGAGCGCCTTGTACTGGAAGCGAACGGTGACTCGCTAAGAACGCTCTCCCTTCGCCCAGGACAGTGAGTTCGGCCATCTGCCGTCCGGCGCCCTCTCGAGTCCACCGCTGAGATGCTAACAACTTGCCAGGACGGTTGTGGGCCCTGCAGACAGGTTCCTGACGAGCACGCTCACGATGCCAACCGTACCAGTATGGGATGCTGAATGGGCACACACGAATGTATGCGTGTGGGACGTCGCCGCCGCACACTTGTGTGCCGAGAAAGCCTTGGTCGAGCGCGGGGGCGAGGTTGGCGGAGAGGCGTTTTTGATTACAGGGTCTGGCCCTGCGTGGAAGATGCAGGACACGAGGAACGCGCTGCAGGTTGGTCGTCTAACTAACGTACCGCCATACTCTGGGCTGACACATACTATTAACAGCACTACTCAAAGAAGACCTTGGTCTTCAAGTTTATCCCGCCGTTACTCATATGGGTGCTAGCGCACTTTGTTGAGGCATTCCTCTTCCTACGATACTACTTCCTACTCCCAGTCTTCGCCCTCTTCGGCTCTCGGCCGAGCATCACACCGAAATGGGCTGGGGAACTTATTTATCTACAACCTTCCACGCTAGAGTACATGCGGGACGTGGTGATTGATGATTCTCGGGCGAGGGACAGGCTCGGGTATGTGGTTCCGCTTGATCGCTTCGGCGGAGCAGGGCTGGCGCTGATGCCTTTGCAACCAGATATTGCCCTCAATGGACGACGGAGCAAGCTATCAGGTACACGGTCGATCAAGTGGAATCCGGCGCTGTGGGTGGCACTCATGGGCTGCAGCTCAAGGAGCTCTAGAGCGCGCCTGGGGGCTTGGATTAGTTAGATCACTACAGTAGGACTGCCATGGCTACCGCGTACATAGAACCACACATTACGACGACCGTTGCTCTACGGTACACGCCTGCAATATATCGGCGCGAGCTTGAAACGGCCACGATGCGTTTCGCCGGTGGCAGGCGGTACGGACCGATGACGCCGGTCACGTGCGTGCGGTTCAGATCTTGAGATGCTCCCACGAGCAATGCTTCAAGGCCAGGCTGAAGCGCTCGAACGAACCTCGTTCTCAACCTCGACCGTCGACGACCAGCCCGCGCCCTCTGCCGCGCCTCACGACTTCAAGAACCTCTTCGTGTGATCATCCCCCCTTCTCTCGTATATACTTCCCTCGTGTCTATCTCAACGTCTTCCACCACACCACAAGGTAAGAAAGGTTCATCTCTCTTAGCGGCATACTATGACAACTGCTAATCCCCTCTTCTCGCACTTTAGGCATTATGAAGGGCTTTACCTCTACCCGAACGACCAACAAGGAGAATGGACCTTCGCGCACGATTCGCCCCAGCCGGATGCCTCTGTCTGACATCACCAACGAGGTCGAGTTCCTGCGCCGCTCGCTCGAGAACGACACATCGGTCAACCGGAGCGTCAACGTAGAACGCGATAGCACCGCGCCGCGCACTCGCCGTGTGCGTGCGACGACGGCGGGCAAAAAGTCGAAGATGGCTGGCGGGCACGAGGCAGCGCCGATCCGGCGGCTCGGCGTCGCGGCTGAGAACGCGCACTCGTCCGACGAGAGCTCGCTCGAGAATGAGCCTCTCCTGTCCCGCCCTACTGCTACTCGTACATTTGGCGCTCCTCGCCAGGCGCAGACCGTCGCCGCTGTCGCATTCCCCACAACCACCACCGGCCCGGCAACTTCCGTGAACACCCTCACCACCCAATTCTCCAAACTTTCGGCCGACGCGGCGAGCGACCGCCAACCGTGGTCTACTCTCCAGGTCCCTCCCAAGACGCACAAGACGACCAGTGGCCAGGTCGTCATTCTTCCCTCCCACGCTACCCTCGTCGACTTCCGCGAAGGCGAACGCCGCAAGGGCAAGAAGGGAGACCAAGTCATCGTTGTGAGTGCAGATGGTCTCAATGTAAGTAACAATCATCCTCTTTCTTTACACCAGTACTCATGCTCGACTGTTATAGATTCAGGTCTTCAGCGCCCCTCACCTCAGCACTCCGTGCTGCCTTGCAGAACCCACCGCAACTTACACCTTGAGCGCCTTGCCGGTATCCTACTACAAGCTATATGACCAGGCCCGCAAGGTCATCGAGCGCATCAAGAAGCGCATTCCCAAAGTCTGCTTGCGTTTCATCTCGCGTTGTCGTCATGTCCTGATCGTTCCTCCAGCTCGTCATGTATGAGACCGACTCGACTTGCACGCTGATGAACAACGGCCCTGTCGCCGACATCGTCGTCAACCTCGACGCACCCTCTCAGTCGACAAGCTCGGCGCCCGCGGTGCCATCCGTGCGGGTCAACCTCTCGCGCAAGTTACTCACCTGTGAGATTTCGACGTCCACTGGCACCGAGGCACGCGGCGGCGAGTGGAACCGCAAGGTTCTCTTCTGGCGTGGCCGCGAGGAAGGCATTGGTGCGGATGAGACACGCCGTCTTGGTCTTCGCGAGCGCAAGGCTGTCAAGGTTCTCATGGACTTCCTCCCTGTCGTTGACAGTGTTGAGGCCCAGCGGAGTGATGCACCGACTGTCATTGACCACCGGCCGCGTGGCGCCAAGCGCCCACGCCAGCCGTCATCGCTCTCGACTGGTGCCAGCGCTGCTGCCCGTGAGACCATTGCTCGTGGCATGCCTCGTCCCAGGAAGGGAAGCACAGTGCCTCTCAGCACGGCGGCGCCTAATGCCGCACCCGCTTCGTCTCGCATCACCGATACGCCCTCGACCGGCTCCCTTGCCTCGCTCAACATATCTCCCCGCCCCAAGCTCGGCCTGGGCGCATCGCCGGCGAAGACAACGACCACAACTCGCAAGGCCAGCAGCACCGCCGTAGCTAGCAGCCCTTCCAGCGCCGCACCGCGCGAATGGGAGGCTGCCGCCAAGTCTGCCGAGTTCACGAGCGAGGATCCGATGGACATGCGCTTCTTGCCCGAAGTTGGCTGGTGCATCCGCTTCGGTTCGGGCGCTGGTACCTACCGCATCATGTTCCTCGACGGTGCTGTACTCGAGGTTGGCGTCGCCGACGAACGCGTCACTTTCGCTCCCCGCGAGGGTTCTGCGACGAAGAGCACCGTGCGCGACTGCCATGCTCAACGCGATGTTGGCGAGCGCATGAAGGTCTTCGAGGAGTTCGTCTCCATGTTCGACGGCGCCGACGAAGAGTGAAGGCGCGTTCATAACCTCACGACTGCAACGACTCGCACGACGTGATTCTGCACGGCTTAGAATGACCTGCATGACATGTACGAGCGAGACGCTGCATTCACATTCACAAACTTCCCTCTCCCAGTTTCGATCTCTCGCATTTGTTCTCCCTTCTCATAGCATCCTTCTCGTCTTCGCATCGCATTTCTCGACTCGTTCCACTATGATCCCCTCAGCATGCACGCATTGTGTACAATTATGCCCATCATTATTCTCGTCTCGGTTTCCTCTCTCGCGGATCGATGTATGTACGATTTGACATGGGAAGTAGTAGTACACGAACTTGACGTTCACGCAATTCACGCCTTGTTACGCCTCTCTCATTGTGTGAACCCAAGTCTAACCACGGATGCCTATTAGACGAGACGAGAAGCACGGACAAGATCGGCGGGCAATACTAGAAGAGCCGGTCATGGCATCGCAGCAGTGCATCCGCTATCGCTAAGTTGAACGCGCTGTTCGACTCTCATAAAAATGCTCCGGTCATCAAAGACATATATTTCTATCCATGGCATACGTGCTATATACCATTTATACCCGTTCGTAAGACTCATGAAACCCTATGGAGAACTTCTGTACGCCCGAGGCGTCGTCATGATAGACATCTAATCGCAGAAGCTGATGGCGAGGTTGACCTACAAATCGTCAGGATCATTGTACTGGCCAAGATATCGCTATTGTCACTCACGTTGTCAACCTGGCAAGCGACCTGGACCTGAGTGTCGGTGGGGACGTGGAACGCGGTGGAGCAGGACGCGCTCGTGCAGTCCGCGCCGGCGCCGTCGCAACCGTTGTAGTAGCCGAAGCCTACATGGCCCTCGCGTAAGAAAGAGTAGTGGAGAGATAGAGCGCTAAGTGCCTACCAGTGGCGACGCTGAACGAGTGCGGCGCAATGAGCGACAGATCCGTGCTGGAGCCGCTGCCCGCCGTAGTCGGGTTCACGAGCGTCGTCTCGACTGCGATGGCATGTCAGTCAAGAGATCATGCCCGACTTGCTGAAACCACTCACGAAGCGTGCAGCTCTCTCCGTTGGCACCGCACGAGCCAGTCTGGAGGTAAGCAATGGCGCCAACGAGAGGTCCGTTGCTGGTATAAGCACCGCCGGTCGAGAGAGTCTGACCGCTCTGGCTGCGGAGGGTGGGCTGAGGGCGATCATGAGCAAAGAGCATGCGGTAGCGACCAAACGTGCACAGACCGTGCCAAAGCCGCAGTTGTTCGTGAAGGTGATCGTGTGCGACTCAGCCTGGACGCCGGCGAGGGCGGCGAAGACGAATGCAGCGGAGGTGAGAACGTTGAAGGAGAACATTGTACGAGATGATTCGAATGGCTTGGAAGAGGAGTAGCTGTAGGTGCTGGAGGAGATATCTCAGCAAGTCAAACCCTTTATACGCCTCTGTACGCAGTCTAGTAACTGGTCCAGGTGCTGCTCGGTCAGGGTAGCCTCGCTTCTCCGCGTAGACGGCAAAGACATGTGCCCTCGATTGAACGGGATACATGTGCGCAATCACCGCCCATAAGCACTTTCTGTACAGCCAAAGCTCGGATGCATGGTTCCGATGGGCAGATTCTGCCGCAGGTAAAACACATCAAACGGAGAGCAGCGAGCTCGGATGGCCATTTGTGATGGCCGCTGAATTATTATCAGCCTGCAGTCCCCGCGACCCACACGTTCGTCAGCTAGTCTAACAATACCCAACAAAGCGGTATACACAGTTCCAGCTGAGAGAGAGTAAGCATCACTTCTTTCGCGGACTGATAAGCCCGCAAGACGTACACGACAGCGGCGACTTCAATGAGCACGTTGGCCATCCACGCGTCGGTATCGAGCGGCGAACTGGCCACGCCTTCTGATCAGCCGGAAGCCTCCATATTCCGACGGATTTGACCGTTCGAGAGCGATGATTAGCAAAGTACGTGAAATATGTACATATTAGACGGAGTATCCGGAACTCGAGGGATAGCATCGGCGCTGAGGAGCCTGAGTCCGTGGACCGTTGAGCGTCAAAGCGCTACAGATCATGCCAGACCCTGACACTGGCAGAGTCTAACGGTCCTAAAAGGCCATGCCTTAAGGAGATGCACGTAAAGAAACCAAAGCTATGAAAAGATTGTGATGGTCGAGCACAAGGCGAAAGATGGGCTCGCAGTCGTTTCACTGAATACAATGCAACGCGGTCACGTGGATATCTCCACCTGCTGACTTCATACCGCGGGACGCGTTCGATGACGTCGAAAGCGACATCAGGCGAGCGCCAGCAGAGACACGCTTCGCCTTCGCACAAACCGCCATGACTCTCGACAAAGCATCTCTTCAGTCCATCCCGACGAGCTTCGCGTCTTGCTCGATCGGCTACGACGATTCCCACACGCTTCCACTGAAGCTCGATGCTATCAGCGGCGCCGGTTTTCAAGCCATCGAACTCTCGTTCCCCGACATCCTCGCGTTTGCCAAGATTCATACTGGTAAGGAGGTGAAGGAAGATGACTATGTCGCGTTATCCGAAGTTGCGGCGGAGATCGCGAAGCTGTGCGCAGAGCGCAAGCTGAAGATCATGATGTTGCAACCGTTCGCGAATTTCGAGGGATGGCCGCTGGGAAGTATAGAGCGGGAGGACGCATTCAAGCGAGCAAAAGGGTGGGTGCAGATTATGGAGGCGGCCGGGACAGATCTCCTTCAGGTGAATGTCTTCTCTTGTGCGGTCGGCAACCATCTGACATGCGATGAAGATTGGCTCCACGGACGCCGCTGGCATCGATACTTCGCGCGTCGTACCGGATTTGCAAGAGCTCGCGGACTACCTCGCTCCTCGCGGCCTGAAAATCGCGTACGAGAACTGGTGTTGGTCAACGCATGCGCCGACGTGGCGCGACGTTTGGGACGTAGTTCGTGCCGTAGATAGACCCAATGTCGGGCTCTGCCTCGATACATTCCAGACGGTTGGTAGCGAGTGGGCGGACCCGACGGCGCCAGATGGTCGACTCGCGTCCTTCAGTGCTGATGCGTGGAAAAAGAGCTTGGAAGACCTCGCGAGGGAGGTGCCGAAAGAGAAGATATATCTGCTGCAGATATCGGACGCGTACAAGCCCAATACGCCGCTCGAGGGAAAGACCATTGATGGCATGCCGCCGCGCGGGAGGTGGAGCCATGATTATCGTCCGGTACCACCGGAGGGATACCTCCCTGTTGCGGAAGTTGCAGCTGCGGTACTGAAGACGGGGTTCAGGGGATGGTTCTCGATGGAGGTTTTCGACTCCGGTCCGAGCGGCGAAGGAAAGCAGTATGAGTTGAAGAACTTCGCGGACAACGCCAAGAAGAGCCACAAGTGGTTACTAGAGCAGTGTGCCGATGCGTAGAGAACCTTACAAACGGCAGTCAATTGTACTAGGTCAGAAGTCATACATTCATGGCGGTATAAATTGGTATAAGAAGGGTTATCATCGTTTAGCAATTTGGCGAGTGAGGTTGTCAATGTACATCTGCAAAGTTGCATTGCCGCCTGTGAGCTTATCGACATCTTTATCCGCGTTCTTGACTCGTTCAAGCATGACTAGTATATGTAAGTATAGAATACACGTGTTGATGCCGACAACCCTAGACATACCCTTCAGATCTTGCTGAGCAGCTTGGATTTCTCTGCATAAAGATGAACATTTGTTCGGATGATATTTCCGTGTATGGGGCATACTTGATGATCTTCTCCTTGCGCATCGCATCTGCTACAATGTCTCCGGATGTAACGGGTGGGGGAGCGCCCCAAGCGTCGCCCTCATCATACCCCGCAAAGCTCATGGTGGGCGGAGACAAATAGCGATGAAGCCAGATCCGGCGATCAATGTCTACACGTGCGAGCACGAGGCACTGACGCGTCGCGTCGCGTCAAGAACGTCGTTGTGTTCTGCTTTCACCATCTCAATTGATCATGCCTGCCCTGACTGGACCCTCTACTGTACTTGCCTTTAAGGCTGGACGTGCCTTCCGCCGGGGAGATACCAACTTCGTCGATGCCAGCCCGGAGAAGGGCGCGTTGTTGATAGAGCGCGAGGAGGACATGATTCATCTGGTCTGGAAGAATCGCGAGACAGGATCAGCTGACGAGGTCTGTATACTGCCACTTTCATCACTTTACTGTCTAGTATCCCTGACTCATAATGAATGCAGGATCTACTTCTCTTCCCTGGCGATGCGACTTTCATTCCCGTCCCACAAGCACCAGGAGGACGCGTCTATGTCCTGAAGTTTGAGTCGTCTGAGGCTCGCCACTTTGTATGTATCTTTTCAAAGTGATTGCAAACACGCTGTCTAAAGATAAGTGTAGTTCTACATGCAGGATGGCTCGACCGCACGCGACGAGGAGTTCGCGCACAATGTCAACTCGTTGATCCAGGACCCGAGCTATGTTCCCGTCTGGCAAGAGCCGTCCGCCGCTCCGGACGCAGAACCCGCGTAAGTCCTCCGGTCATACTATCCTCACCAGCCTCTCAAAGCGCCCCGAAGCGCTGGCTCAACCTCTTCTTCCCAACTCGACCAGATCCGAGAATTAATGTCCCGCATGGCCGCGAACGCGGGTGGCGCCGAGCCCGTCGCGCCAGAATTCGCGTTGAGCGATATCCTTACGCCCGGAAACCTTCTACCATTATTCTCCGCCCGCCCCGATCTCGTGGCTGCGTTGTTCCCACATCTGCCTCCAGACCTTCCCGAGCAGCCGTCTCGCGAGGTGCTGCAGCGCGTCATTCAGAGCCCACAGTTCCGCGCGGCTGTCGCCAGTCTAGATCGTGCCCTTCGGACGGGGATGTTGCAAGGATTGATGGGCGGCTTGGGACTTCCGGAGGAAGCCGGTAGTAGCGTGGCGGCGTTCTTGAGGGCCGTAAAAGAGCAAGCCGAGCGCGACGGCGGAGAGAGTTCGATGCAGACGGATTGATTATATATCTATCTGGCTGCCGTGTTCCACAATGAGGGCATTAAATAGGTGTCGCGACGTGTGTACGTGTTATACAGAAAGCGAGGTGCGAAAGTAAGACGAAAGACATAAGGTACGAATAAGTCCGGTCGAGTGATATGTAGATCAGTGCCCGCGCTCGCTGAGCCACTTCATGACGATGTCGAGGTTATGCTGGCTCTTCATGGAGCAGGAGTAGCAGGATACTGGCCTGCCAGTGATCTTGCTCAATTCCCTGTTGGTCTGTGAGCAGGATGGCAAATAAGGGAAGAAGAACGCGTACAGCTCGCGGATGAGATCTTGCACCGAGGCATGATCTTCGACATCATTCTTGTTGCCAAGCTGTGGCACAGGTCAGCGGCGAAACACTGTTAGCTGGAACCGCATGCGTACCACAAGTAATGGCACCCCAGCTAATGTTGGTTGACTAAGGAGTGAATGGAGCTCGAAACGTGCCGTCTCAAAGCGCTCCGACTAAGGATACAGCAACGTTAGTCCTATGAAGATAGCAGTAGCGAGTAGTTGCACGGCGACGTACGTCGGTAGAGTCGACTACAAAGCTACAGAGTAGCATCAGCACCATAGGACGAATACGGACCCGGCAGTGGTACGCACACGATAGCGTCTACGCCATTACAGTAGCGCTCCCACATCGAACGGAACTTCGGTTGCCCTATGACCCTCCATGATCAGTCTTTTAGGCGACAGGGTGCCCATGACGGGCAACGCACCAGCAACATCCCATATCTTGAAGGTCACCTTGCCCTTGCGAATCTTGCGGAAGTTGAAGGCAACGGTTGGCACGACCTCTTCGCTCCACTATGGAGAAGCTGTTCAGTAGGGTTTCATCGCGAGTTGGCATATCACGCACTTGTCCAGAGGTGATCACATTGACAAACGATGTCTTTCCAGAGGCCTAGTAAGCGGTATAAGTGAGTGTGTGGGAGTGGAGCGAGGGATATACGGAACCTGGAGGCCAACGACGGATATCTCTGCATTCTTGGAAAAGAAGAGCCTATGAAGGTATGAGGAAGCGCTCAATGGAATAGTGATTGACGTGCGCACCCAACAACCCAGTTCCAGAAGCCAGAGAATACGCCCGGAGAGGACATCGAGGAAGCGTTTAGGTTACAATAAGCGCGCGTGTGACTTGACGCGCCTGTCGATCGCGCGCGCTTGCGAGGTTGACGCGACGTTTGTTCTGACGTTCACGACGCCAGCGCCGGCACCCTCGGCCTTATGCTCAGTAATTGCGCTCTCGCCGCCGTCGCCTCCACATCTCGACTCTTATGCGCCCGCAGAACACTCACGACCTTGGTCTCCGGATCAGACAGCGCGAATCATGAGCCTGCCGTGCTGCCTGTCCCCGCGCCGTTCACCAAGACCAGTGAGACGCCCACCCGTCCAACATATGCGCAAGTCAGGCGACGAATGAAGGCAATCTTTTATATGGTCGACTCGAAGTCTCCCCTCTCCGATAGACAAAAAGAATGGCTGGATGTTCTTGGTCTTGTCTCGCCCACCGCTGAATCCCCTGTCAGCCGGCACCTGGACGTCAATCAGCTCAACAGTCTACGAGAATTCTTCGCTTCATATCTCAAAGGGGTGGATGAGGGTAAACCGCCACAACTCAAGGGCAAACTCAAGAAGGCACTGAGTGGTGCCGTCGCTCGCGCTTTCGGACCGAGCGACGCAGGGGAGGGAGAACCATCGGCCGCCGTCCAACCGGCCAAGGTAGTTGCGGCAGTGGCAGAGCGACGAGGGCGAATCAAACCTACTGTGGCAGTTCATCGTATCAGATATGATGTCCCGGACGCGCTCAGTCCCCTTGCCAATTCGCAGTTGCACTCTCGCTCTCGTTACGACCTCATGCCTCTCAAAGAGGACGTGCTGACCGGTATGGGATTTTGATCCTTCCAAGCACGCCACAGCTCAATTGTTCCAGATATAAAGCCTGTCAACGAGATGCGGCCAATATCCCGACTGGCCCATGGTCTAGATCGCACTTTATTCAAGTAGGTTTACTCTTTGCTTAATCCTGTATCTCTGAGCTGATAGACTACCAAAGTCCTGGAGTAAACTGGCTACAAGACCCCCGGTCACGCGTCTTCAACTATGATCCATGGCTTCAGAAGATCCCTAGTGTTCGCGACTTCGCTTTTGAGCGGTTACCTGGCTTCATCAAAAGCTCGCGTGACGAGGTGCGTTTTCGTGTAGTCTCTTGCCATGGGATTGAACATTGACTACATCCTTAGGATCTCTGGAACCTATGCAGACGGGAAGGGCGCCAGTTCGCTGGCTCCACGTCTTCACTAAGCGGTCTTCTGTGTCATATATACTTCCTGCTCAGTCGAGATAGGCCTGTCGACCTCTCGACACTGAGCAAGCACATGAATGTATTTGTAGGTACAATCATACTTCGTCCACTACTCATGTTCACTGACTCTCTTGTTGTAGCCAGAGACATTCACCCCAGGTCAGCGGATGCCGACGTCGGTCATTCTGCGACACAAGGAGGGTGTATATGCGACAGACTCCGATAGTTTCATGCCCGGCTCTTCAGAGACGAACGTGCTATCGTGGATGGTCAGTCCATTCCCAGAGTATCTCTCAATCACCATGCTGATCTTGATGATAGGGCACCATGCTCGAGAAGTTTCTGACGACGGACGCGGCGACCTTCTCGCGTTACATGCGGGACTCTCCTGATCCAGCTGAGGCTGACACGGATACTCGGCGCGAGGCCTATCGCTACAGCATGTCCTCGAAGATGGTCATGCGTTCGCAGCTGGACGCAGTAGACCCTCGTCTCCCTGGTAGCGGCGTCTTCGATATCAAGACGCGAGCAGCGATGTCCGTGCGCTATGACAGCAAGAACTGGGTTGAGAACGCAGGATACCTCATTCGCCGGCTGCATGGCGTGACTGAGAGCTTCGAGCGCGAGTACTGCGACCTCATTCGTTCGGCGTTCCTCAAGTACAGTTTCCAAGCTCGCATTGGTGCCATGGACGGTGTTATGGTCACTTATCATAATACGGCGAGAGTGTTCGGATTCCAGTATATTCCCCTTGAGGAGATGGAGGCACGACTATACGGCGCACCGGAACGCGGCGAACGAATCTTCGCGAAGTGCGTCCAGGTTCTGGAGTTGCTTCTCCAGACGGCCACTGGTGCATTCCCCGGCAAGGTCAGATCGCTTTGCTGTGTGTCGTCCTTGAAAGCGCTCACGCTGTGTAGTCCGTCCGCATCCTGACAGAAAAGTATGAGCTAGACGGCTTCTTGCGATTCTGGGTTGAGCCCGTGGCCGACGAGGAGGCAGACGCGCAGATCACCGCGAACGAGGAGGCCGAACACGAGGAGGCCATCCAACTCAGCGAGGGCGTTGATCCCAACGAGATTGTTTCCCGCCGTATTCAGAAGGCCAAACAGGCTGCCGACGCTGAGGAGAAGAAGAAATCGCCCATCAAGATGTTCGATCTTCACATCAGCCACCTCCTGAACGGCAAGTACGTGACCGCTGAAGATGCCATCAACAAGGTCGCCCAGGAATGTGCGTCCAGATCCATTATTTATCTATACTCGCGCGAGTCCTGACACCGTGTCATAGGGGGTCTCAAGGTGACCGTTGAGAGACCTGCTCTCGAAGAGGGCGAACTCCGAAAGTTGCGCGCTGAGGCCCGTAGACGCCAGTTCCGTGCGAACTTCCTTCCCAGCGGTGTTTCCCTCGACCAAATGGCGAAGCGGTGGGATAAAGAGGCCAAGATCAACCCGGCGCACGAGGGGGCCGTGCCAGCGTTCAATCCCGCACACTGGACCAAGGCGGATTGGAAAACACAGGCGGTTCGCAGGCTATCGCGCAGGGGTGCCGAGGAGACGAAGCGGTTGGATAAGCTTGACAAGGAGATGGGCCATGAGAACTTGGTTCCTGATTGGGTACAGGCGAGCGGTGTCAGTTTGCCTGAACCCAAACGCGAGCCCGAGCCGGAATTCAACGCGGAGAAGTCGAAACCGGAGAACATTGCGGACCGGGACGTCGAGAGCGGCGAGCCCGGCGAGTCGACTGCGGAGCCCTCGACGGCTTCCTCTACGGAGCAACCCCGCGAGGCGCGGCTGGCGTCATCAACTATCTCTCACGCGCGCAAGGCGAGAAAGCTGGAACATCTCTGCTATGTGCGCGACCGGAAACAGTCGGGCAGCTTGTTCGGGGATCCGACCGGAGAACCGTTGCCAGTGCCCGAAGCTGTCCGTGAACAAATCGCCAAATCTCGCCAAGTTTTGGAACAGCTTGAAGCACTGTTTAGCTCAGTAACTGCGAGTGACCAACGCGCTTCAGACGCACCGACACTTGAAGAGGGCGGGCGTAGAGTGCCTGCGGCGGGTGCAGAGCAGGTGACGGAGAGGATGCACGAAATGCCGCAGGCGCTTGAAGGCGAGGCGCGGACACACGAATGGGACGAGCGCGATAATTTGCATCGCGTTGACACGGAGATGGACAAGGGTATGCGCCCGTCGTCCTCCCATGAGTCTAGTGTGAAGGAGTGGAAGACGGAGGAGAGCGACAAGCCTCTACCGGGCACGAAGGCGGCCAAGGACGAAGAGAAGGCTTAGATGGTTTGATCTTTTGGTTCTGCGCGGATCGTTCGTTGTTGGGTCTACGTTACATTGGAATACTAATTGTCGCACTCGCATCGCACACATCGCATTGCATCGCATATTTCCTTCGCACATACTACGCGCAATACAACACCACATTTCATCGTATCATCGCTTGACTTGCTGGACCGTGCGGTACCTGCTGCTTAGAAGGTCGTAGAAGTAACGCGAATCAGGTTCGCTGGCTGCGGTACCACACGACCGTTCTTCCATGTACTGTATAGGCATAACTCGATCATAGCGCGCGCCATCAGATGTCGAGGTTCGAAAGTTATCGGCGCTGTGTGACCTATATAATCGTGGAGGGCGTAAGCGTCTAAGTACTGCGAAGTCTGCCTGCATCAGGATGTCCATTGACACCTCCACCCTCTTCGAGTCGGCTCGCCTTCACTACCGCTCCGCGCGCGATGCAGACCTTGACGAGATGGTGGAGATGTACCAAGACTCGGAGATTCAGGCGTCTATGATGGCTGGCGCGATCGTCCCCCGTCCAGAGGCGTTCAAGGAGACCGTGCGCGGCTGGCAGCCGAATCCGTTATGTGTCGTCGCCTCGGACAAGGAGACGGGCACGTTCATCGGGAGCGTGTCTTTGCCCGATGCGAGGTTTCCGAACGAGTTTGAGCTCGCGATGAATGTGAAGAAGGACATGTGGGGGAAAGGGTACGGGAAGGAGATGCTGCTATGGGTAGTACAGCACGCGTTCAAGTCGGTAGTGATTGAGGATAAGCTCGAGGAGTCGCCCTCATTGTAATCTTCAGATGGATGCCTGGTGTGCATCGTATTACCCTCAAGGTTTTTCAGAGTAATGCGCGCGCAATTGCGCTATACAAGAGCGCGTAGGTGGCGTTCACCCAGTCATTCAAGGCTAAGTACTGAGCAACTGTAGGGGCTTTGTACAAGAAGGCGTGAAACGCAGAGCCAGATGGAGCGATGGAAAGTGGGAGGATGTCATCCTGATGGGTATTGTGGAGGACGACTTCGACCCATCGCGTGCGCGAGTGTAATCACAGCTCACACAACAGCATTGCCTTCACATCGGCACTCATCGTAGTGAAGGGCGTGTATAAAGTTGAATCGACCATGTAAGTATGGGCCAATGGACGTTGCTGCCAAGGTGCGGCAAGAATATAAATAATGGTTTAACGCCCACACGTGAGCAATTCGGCGCGTCGGTTTGAGAAGTCGCGCGCGTCCAACGCGTCTTCAGCTTGAACGCACACGGCCATGTCGCAAGCGACGGCGGCCTCGGACTCTATACCAACTGGGAGGCTTCTTGTCTCGACACACGTCTCTGCTCTATGGGACCCTGACAACGCGACGTCTATCCCGGTCACGACTTCTCGCATCCACACCTCCCTCCCCGCATCTCGTAGCGAGTCGGACCCACCGTCCGAGCACGCGTCTCAGGCGACTTTCTTCCACTCAGCGCAGACAGGCTCTTTGACCGCACGTGTCTTGAGCAATGGTCTCGTGCTCGAACTCATTTCGCTCACAACTGCCGCAAATCCCCTTCGATTTGCATTCCCGGCTACGCTTCTCCCTAGTCCGGGCGTGCTCCTATGGCAAGAGCGCGAACTGCACATCATTGCGGTCACTTCCCACGGATCACTTTACCGACTAGTGATACCGCTCTACGGAGCCGCTGAGGGCACACTCTGGAGCGAGCTTCTGCCCTCAAACTGGTGTCGGGAATACCAGATCCGGCATGCACCACCGTCGTTGCAGGGACTCGTTCGGGTCCAGGGCGTGGACACGGTCGTGATCGCACTTCACAATGGGGGAATCATCAGGCTGGATGCGGACGATATTGGCAGCGATTCCAGACATGGTAATGCGCCTACGCCTTTTGTCCGTGCGCCACACAGACTGAAACAATCATAGATCATTGGTCCGAGAACCTCTTCCAACCCCAGTCAATATTCGCCACTCTCACATCCTTCCTGAGTCAGTCGGCTACAGAGAGGGCACGCGTCATCTCCATTGCCAGCCACCCCCCACCATCCGACATCGCGCACACATGGACCCTCTCCCGCGACCGTACCTTGCGGTTATGGTCTTCGAAAAGCGGCTGCGTCGCCAGCCATACACTTCCCCACACACTCGACTTTCAGCGTGAGGCAACACCGACTCATGGAAGCCCATCACCCGCTGTCCCATTGCTCGACACAGAACCTCAACATCTGTTGACGGTGTTTTCCAGTGATGAGCGCCCAGATGACGCGTTCGTCATTGTCTTCATCCCAACTTCATCGTCAGCGACGTCGGGCGGCTATTTCCAGCTTCTCTCTTGCAACGGCAACCATCTGCGCGCTCTCGCCACGTTTGAGAGCGCCGCTGGAAGTGCCCACCACCATGTCCAAGATTTCATGGTCGTTGATGAGGATCTCTACGTCCTCTGGGACTACGAGGGACAGTCCGTACTTCATTCGGTACCCCTCCACGCAGCTTTCGGCTCTCGTTTGAAAGAGCCGATCAGGAGAAACGACTGGGAAGTCATTCGCTACCCTTACGAGCCCGATCTTACCCCTGCATATCTTGACGAACTTCTCCTTGCATCTGGATCCCTCACGGAGAAGTTCTTCGATGCTGTCACCCGTCCTGGCGTCTTCTCTCCCTACACCCTCAATGTCGCAACTCAGCAATATATTGCGGCATATGCCTCACTGCCAGGGCCAATACCCGCCGCGTTGCAGACATCGTACCCGACCATCGGCGAAGCGATAGCATCCGTCGTCGGCTGCACTGTATCACTAACACGCGACCCCGCCACTGGCGCTCTCCAACAAGATCGGTATTGGGCCGCGCTCAAGCGAGATTGGGAAGGCTTCGTTGCGCGGTGTCGTGAGACCGAACGCTCCGCGCGTTGGCCTATTTCACTGGGCATTGATGGCGAAGGTGTTCTCCACGTGCTGGAACGCGAGCGGATCGGTGTTGTCGTAGAAGAGGACCTTGCGCTGCGCGTTCATCGCGACCTGCGCGATGGAGTTCGCGATATCGAGGACCACTTCGTCGCATGCGACGTAGCCTGGCAGCTACGCAGGAAGCTTGATGCGCGGGCCATACGTACGGTGGAAGCGCTCGTGTCCGAAGCCGTGCACCAGGAGATCGCGTACCCATATCCGGATGTCCTCGCACATATGGCAGAAAAGTCCCAGGTCCGCGAAGTATTGGGCGAAGACAACCTCGCATGGTTCGACGGGGCGATATTGCGTGTTCCTGATTCGTCCAACTTGCGTACTAGTCTGGACCTCATTGGTGGCTTTGACCGCGCTGCGAAAACGGAAGACGACGAGACCGAGGCGGTGCTCCTCTCTAGTCCAGGCGATACTGGCTTTACGCGGGCATTAACGGCGGCCTACATCACTCATACGACCCTCGCGCGGCATGAGCTCTGTGTAGCCCTTCTTGCTATGCTGCTTTCAGATGGAGAACGCGCAAGGACGGCCTGGGACTCCGTCATCCTGGCAGACGTTCTAGCCGTCTTCCGCGGCATCTCTATGCTCCACGACCTGTCGACAGAGCCAGCGATCGAGCCAGCACCGCCATCCGGGCTCGACACCGACGCCGTTGTAGCACGCCTCCGTACACTCGATGTCTCGCGGGCTCACGGGCAGAGCAGCGCGCCGGGCCCATCGCTACTGTGGCACCTATTCACTCACTACGGTGCTGCACCCCGTACACCCCTTCCCGCCGCAGCACACCTGTTTATGGACGCGACCGGCCTCCTGATGAGCGTATCTCCCGCGGAAGCCTCCGCATCTGAGGTTCTCTGTGCAGAGCGCCTTCGTGCCGCAGGACGCATCGGCGCTTCACGCCGCCTTCTCGAATGGCTCCCACGCGCACCAGGCGTGATGTACGTCCGGTCACTCCTATGGCTCGACATCGGGCACGACGCAGAAGCCGCGGAGGCCATGGATTGCCTCGCTGGTGCCTTCGGTCATGCGAGCGCTCTCAGCTCAGAAGACGGTGTTGCCCTGGCGTCCGTACTACCCAGCGGCCTGCTCTTCAACTCGGACTTCCAGTTCTACGTACATGCATCGGCATTGTTCAAGGCAGCACAGTCAGTCGAGTACGAGGTACACTTCGCGAAGAAGGCCATCGCATGCGCGCCCGTGGGCTGGGACACGTTGGGACTATGGAGTGATGTGATCCATGGGTCGATTGAGCTGGGCCTTTGGGACGAGGCTTATGCTGCCCTCATGGCCTCGCCGCACGACAAGCTGTGAGTTGCCGAATATCACTGATAATTCTATTCATATCTGACCCCATAACAGGAAGCGGGACTGTGCACGTCAATTAGTGCATCGCATGTGTGAGGAGCAAGCGATTGAACGACTTGTTCGCTTCAGTTTCGGCGGACTAGTTGACGAAGTCGTCGAGAGCCTTGCGTTCAAGGCGCGTAATGCGGACCCCCGCGTGCGCCCATCATACTCACGCATCCTGTACGCGTGGTACATGGCGCGCTCGGACTTTCGTTCGGGTATGTCTTCAGTGGCTTTGCGTTCATCGTGATACTAATGTCTGACGCAGCGGCAAAGGTCATGTACCAGCGTTCTCGAAAGCTCACTGCCCTCACGGCCGTCGAACCCGATCAGTATTTCCCGCTCGCAGAGGCCAATCTCGAGTCGCTCCTCGTCTGCATGAACGCCCTCGCGCTCGTCGACTCGAAGAACCCCTTCATTGTGGTGGCCTATGCTCCAGGTCCTGGCCGCGTTCCACTCACGAAGAATGTTCCGGAGGACCGCCTAGGCGGTGCACGGCGCGACTCAGAGTACCTCACTCGCGATGATATTCTGAGAGAATATACTCTGCTGTCCGCTCAACTTGAGCTCGTACGCACGGAACCGGAGCTTTTGTCGAATGCCGATACGCTCCTCACCGCTGAGGGTGTCGTCATGCGACTGTCGCTCGCAAGTCGCTACGAGACGGCCTTGAAGGTGGCGAGAACGCTGAAGGTCGATGCTTCGCCTGTCTTCACTCGGCTTGCAATCGAGTGCGTGCGTCTCTCGCGGGCAACGGATCCCGTCATGTGAGTATACTCCTGCCCCTGCTCGCACGGTTATCATACTGACACGGATTTAGAACGGAGGCCATGACAGACTGGCTTCTCACTGACAAAGCGACATCCTGGGCCGGGACATGGCCCGCACGAGCCTGGCGCTACCTCCGTGAAGCTTTGACGCGACATGATGGACCCGCGACGGACTACGACTATGCGAAGGTGGTGTTCGAGACCATATGCGGCCTCGAGCACGGCAGCGCTCCACCGCCGTGGTTAGTGCAGACGCTGGAGGCCCATCATCCCGAGTGGCTGATCCGGACGGCTATGCGCTTCGATATGTTGGACTTCGCCCTGGAACAGACGTTGGCGCTCTTCCGCGCGGTACGCTCAATCGCTCGGGTTTCATGTACAAGGGTGCTGACGTACCCCTTCAGAGTAATGCCAGGCTGGCGCAAAGCCCGCCGCATACGGCCAGTGCGACATGGTTGCCTTACACGCTCATCGACCAACTGTTGTTCGCCACTTCCAACCAGAACGAACAGTCACCGCGCGGTAAAGGACTGAGGAAAGATGTTCAGGCCGCGCTATCAAGTCGATTGCGTAACATGGAGAAGACCACCGCTGCGCTGGGATGATGTTACTATCGGCTTGAACTTGCTATCCGTTGTGCTTTCGTATTGGATGTTGTCTTATATGTCCTCTATTGCTGAATGAACGCGCGACTCGGACTGAGATAACCTCATTGAGAGCCAGGCAAAACGCTAGGTACACGACATGAACACTAAAGAGGAATCGCATGTCTCATTAGGCGGCTAGCTGTTCTCTACCCTTTCCCTTCTCACCCATAGCTGCGGGTACAGTTGGCGCGTTCCTTGGCCTGTGATCAGCCCACCATCGCATCGCCCACTCCTTCTCTCGATCCCCTGAGTTGACGACAAGCTCCTTGAATAATTCCTCCCAGAGTTCGTCTCTTTCCTCTACACCGGCAGCCAAAATGGTCTCTCGTGCGCGGTCGGCAAAGATTGATAGTAGGGGCAGGTCCAGACCAGAAAGTGATGAGATCAGTGCCAGGCGCAGTCGTTGCTTTTGTGCAGGTGGTGAAGTCTGTATAAGCGCAAGTATGGCCGATAGTGCATGGTGTGCGAGCGCGCGCGAGGACGTTGCCGCGCTCGATACTAGTGCGGAGAATGCAAGGCGGAGTTGGGTTGTACTCAGTTTTTCATCTGCGGAGTTCTGCTCGTGGGCCCAGTGAGTGAGAGGCAAGTCGCAAAGGGGACAGAGTACGTACCTCAAGCAAACACCTCGTGTAATACGGAGTCAACTTCTCCACGAAGGACGGCTCCGCATCCACGCTCGGGTCACCCATATGCTTTCGAGCATGTGAGGCGAAGACACCCAACACCACGGAATGTGCAAGTTCATATGTTTCGCGATGAGTCGGGTCATTGAGATGTCTGCATCGCCATCAGCTCATCATGGCGAGCCCAACAGAAGACAATGTGGCATACGGTAGGCACATCGGTACAACGTGGGTCTCGACGGCTTGCGCGTCGAGTACGAGAATGAGCTGCTCTACACAACTGAGCCTGAATGCCAGTACAGCGCGGTCGAACACCCTTGATCGGGTTCCAGTACTCGGGCCTTCGCTATCTGCATGACAATCAGACAGGCGCTCGTTGATGAAGTAATGAAACACATACCTGCGACGCTCATTCCACGCACGAGCTCATTGCTCAAACTCGCGTCAACGCTCAAGATATCAAGCGCGCTGTAGAATGCGCTCTTAAGCTCCCCAAATCCGCCTTCGACTCCTCCGAACTTGGAAATCACGAAAGAGAGATGTCGCAAGGTCTCGAGAGTACCAAGAGCCAAAGATGCAGCTGACAGTTCCGTGACCAAGCTGTCCGGCCGGTGAGAATACACGATCGATCCTAGCACGGCCTGTGAGACCATGACAGTGGCGAATAACTGCGTCTTGAGCGCCGTCCAGAGTTGCGTCGCCGTATCGCGGGACTCGGGTGATATGGCCTCCTCGCTCTCTACATTGGCCAATGGACTCTGGCTCCAGTCACGTTCCACGGCGTATGCCAGAGCACGCAGCCTTTGCGTGACGTCGCTCAAGGTGGTCCAGCCTTCACGCGGCCGAGATTCGACCAGGAGAGGGAGGACAAAGGCTGCAGCGCGGCTCAGAGATGCAACATGGGTGAAGAGGGTGGATGATGAGAGAGTGCGTAGGGTCGACTGTAAGGGACTGGTCAAAGGATCTGAGTATGGATAGTCGCCACTCTCGTCCGGACGAGGGCTGACGAGGGAAATTTGATTGTGCGAAGATGTAGAGATCGATTTCGCGAGGGTCGAGAGAAAGGAACCCTTGTAGAATGCCGATTCAAGGGTCGTGATAAAGTGGGACGTGAGTTCCTGTACGTTGGCAGTGAGACGGGTTACACCGCAAGACTGAACACGAACGTACGGGCAAAGGCAATGCTAGCAATCTTTGTGAATCAACTCGTGCCAAGAATTGAGACGCAAACACTAGAGATAAAGATAGTGTATCGGCTATCAGGAGTGCGTGAGCAAGGGTACACGGTTGACTATTCGGGGTGTAATACCTTCGCCTGCCTCGACTTGTGGTTTGAATTCGCTCTCCCAGCTATCGCCCTTGCGCCCATATAGTTCCATGACCTCTGCTAGAGCTATGACCACTTCATCCTCTGCCTTTCCTCTTGCGCTGCGTCTCCCGTTTCCGGATCCAATATCCTTCTTCAAGTCCTCCAAACCCAACAAGACGCCACCCGCTCCAACAAGCCGAACAACGCTTTGCGCTCCGGTAAACCCTCCGACGACGGACCGAGCCCACGCGTCCATCTGCACACGTTTGCTTGGGCCAAGGCTGAGCAGGCTATTGCTTTCGTCTTGTAATGCCTTCCATTTCAGATGAACGGCGCCGCGAAGCGCGGTGTGTAGCACAGAAAGTGTATTGTGCGCGAACGGTCGAAAGAGCGGCGATGAGACGACTGTGGCGGAAAGCGGAGCGGGTGCTGGATGTAGCGAGAGAAAATGCGCAATCAAGGACTGCAACGTCTCCAGAGGCAGGCTCGAAGTAGGTTTGTGGAGGTGAGCCAGCAATATTGTGTATCCCCGGTCCGCAGCGACGTCGGTCATACTTCAAGTAAGCAGGGCGCCCTGAATCTTTAGCGTAGTGTCGAGACAGAGCTGGCAGACAAATGTTAAGTCCTGGTACATAGTCTTCTGGACAGAGTCCTGTCAGACTCCGTACAGTGACCGCGTCCGTTAAGCGTTATTCACATGGTATCGACGCGCTAAGCAACCTCGGACAGCACGGACCCGGGTGTCGGTTCTTCTTGCGCGCAATACATGATATTTTAAAGCGGGTACCGTGGCCCCGACAGTCAGCGCGACTGGACGTCGACGGCAAGAAAGTACGAGTGCGAGCACCGTGGGAAGACCCGACCAAGTGCGCCGAAGCAAGGCCGAACATCGCACCCTGCTTCGAACTCAGACCATCACCTCATATCCTCATGGATAAATATACCCTCGCAACACTACTCAGGGACAGTCCCGATGAAGCTTTACTTGACGCTGTAGACATGGGGCAAGACCATAACGACATTATCACGCTACTCGAGGCAGAATTGCAGCGCAGCGCGTCTCGTCTCCAGCGCCTGAAGGAATACAGGAATCAACTCGCTTCGCCCATGTACCGCCTACATCCGGAGCTTCTTTCTCGGATTATGTCCATCTATGCACACGGGAACCACGAGCTTTATAATTTGCGATGGACGAGGTTGATCCTCGTCTGCAGACGGTGGCACGACATGGCCATGCACTCTTTGAGCCTTTGGAGCTTCCTCGATATTGCAACTATCCGCCCACCACCCATGACCAAGAGTAGCAAATACGAAGAGACTGAAGCGCAACATGTCAGGCGCATAGAGATGCAGCTATCCCGTGCGGCACAGTCACCGCTTTCGGTCATATTGGAACTTTATGCGGAGCCTTCCGAGGCGAAGCTACCCTACACTTCAATGTTCTGGGATCCTTCGTCGCTTCACGCTCTCCGCCTGTCGGGGAGACCTGATGCTATTGAAAAGATCATGCGCGCGCTTGCTTGTCATAAGCATGCCACTCTCAGGACCCTTAAGCTGCAATGCTATAACAGCACCGCCTCCACGCTCGCCTCCATGCAGACCTCCCTGGATGTCGCTCTCAGGGATAATCTGCCACAGCTCTGGCACTTATCGACTGAGCTTACATTTGACTGGGCTCTGGTGCGCGGATTGCGAAGCCTACGGGTTTCTTATCTCAGGGATATATCATTGTCTTTCACTCTTCTGGACGTGACCGATGCCCTATGTCGTTGTCCTCAATTGGAAGAATTGGAGATCCGTCTCCCAGGCACATATCAACCTGCCTCAAATCCTGCATTGGCCTCTCCAATTTTACCCTGCCTCGAGTTGGCCGCCGTCGTAGCTCCACTTGGAGTGTGCAACCAGCTCCTCGAGAGGATCTCCAACCTTCCGAGCTCGACCAGACTATTCATTTCAGCCGCGGACCTCTCGCATGACATCCCTTCACTCTCAACGCTATCGTCACACATCGGTGCTCATGCTTGGGGCGAGGATGCACCTGTAATCCGGTCTCTAGTGGTGACCGAGGCGTCCACACACGAGTTTCCCCCGATCCCCAATTCTCGCCGGTTGGGAATCATTGGCCAGATGATCCCACTACGGCTAACCAGCACACCGGCGACGATCAACTGGGCGTATGACAAGATGTACGGAACGTCGTCTTATGTCGGTGCCCAGGTCGTGGTACCAACGAGCGCGGGACCACAGTTCTTGAAGAGCGTGTTCCAATTTTGGCCACTCTCTGGTGTCACACATCTGGACTTGAGGTCGATGTTGTCTATGCCAGACCTTTTGCCCGTTCTCTTTGCGGACGCTCCTGCGGTGACGACCGTCGTCTTGAGGCCCGAAACCCCGATCGCGCGGGATGTTGTCGATGCCCTTCGGTCGCAACTGCGAGAATACGGAAGACGCGTACTTGCCCACATCGCCTTCGACGCCGGACGGATCGTCAATAGGCAGCCTCAGGTTCAAAATGGATGGCAGAACGCCTTGGTGCCGTCCAGTGCTGTGCTGGCACGACACACCCTCATGATGGCAATGCTGTATTGCAGGGAGGTTGCGTCCGCGGGTGTAGCGGTGGACACAGTCGAGATCTATAACGAGCAGTATGATACGAGACATCGCTTGTTGGGTCCTGTGGAGAGCGTTAACTGGTCGGAGCTATACAAAGATCTTCGGCACGGCTTCGTTTATGAGGGACGTATGCACAGCGACGATCCGGAGTATGATGGCAAGGCGTGGAACTCGTTCGTTGTATCGGACGCAATGTAGTTATGGCAGTCTTCACTGTGCGCTAGCTGAACAAAGCTGCTTCACCAAATCAGCAGTACGACCTTGAAACCCCTATACATACACTCAACATGTACTTAGTCCTGTCAAACATCAAAACATACCTGTGCCAAACCACCGATCTCTTCGAGTGACTTGAATTATTTGAGCAAGGAAGCTCGCCGCCACGGGTGCATGAGGACGCGTTGAATGCACGTCAAGTGGGCACTTCGCCTAGCCCGGTGTCTACATCGCGCGGCGCCACGTGTCGCCTTGCGAATGGACATTTGAAACCTGACACGAACCACCATCATGGACGACTATTGTACGTTCTCGACGCTTGATGGCATATATCTATAGCTCTGCTCAGCACTGATTCAACGCATTGTGTAGGCTATGATCCCCCCGTGCTCTTGTTAGAGGCGAAATCGCAACCTGATCAGAATGTGGTTTTACCGTACATCGATCGCTTGCACCCAGAAATACTCTCTCATATCTTCTTCGTACACGCAAGAGATAATGATGAGCTTTATACCTTACGTTGGACACGGGTTCTTTTGGTCTGCAAACGCTGGCATGACGTTGCGACGGGTACCCAGTGTCTTTGGAGTTACATCAACATCAGTTGCGCTGTACGACCGCATGATCCCGATCCATCGGACATAGAAGCACACGATTCCCCGGACGTTCGTCGCATAGATGCACAGCTCACTCGCGCTGGCATGTCACCCCTCACAGTCATTATAAATATGGCTGTACCGATGTCCGAAGCCAAACTGGCGCGCACGACGATGTTCAGCGACCGGCATAATCTCTCGTCGCTCACCATGGGCGGCTCCTACCCTGAGGCCTGACGTCGAAAGAGTGCTTCGCTCTTTATCCTACCAGTCCGCTATCACGATGAAGTCCCTCACCGTGTACACCTACGCCGGAGGCCCTCGCCACAGAGACCGTTATGAAGCAACGAGGGAGATATTTGATACAGTCTTGAAGACCACTATGGGCCATCTATCGATCCTGTCTATATCGAACCTATCACTTGACTGGTCTTTGATACGTGAATTACGCATCTTGCGTATATCATTTACAGCGTCGCTCTCTCTCCAAACCGTCGCTGACGCCCTCGCTCGTTGCCCTCGCCTTCAGATATTTCGATATGTCGAACGAGAAGGGTTTCGTCCCGATGTATCCACCGTCACAACCGCCATATCGCTGCCATACCTCGAGGCGCTACACATCCAAGGCGCTGTCGGAATCTGTGCCGGTCTTCTACAGTCCCTGGTCAATACGCCACGTTCGCTCAAGATTGTGATCTCCGCCTACGAACTGTCGGATGTATCACCAATCACGTCTTTCGCGTCACTTGTGTGGGATTGCGCCTTCGGCGAAGACGCACCCCTTATTCGCTTGGCCAGAATTTCGCTATGCCCAGCGATCTTCACGATCGGCGACAACGCACTTGAGCCCTCTGATACACGATTGGGGATCGCTGGACACAACTTCATCCCAAGGTCATCCCAGGGCTTTGATATGACTGGCTGGTACGCTGCGGGAGGTCCGGATGAGTATCCGAATGTCGGCTTCGAGACCACCACACCAATTTCCGCAGAGGAGGAAGTGCTGTCCGGTATCTTTCAATCGTGGACGTTCGTCAGCGCGACGCATCTGGATCTGCGGGGAACGATGACACTTACATCGACTCACTTGGATGTGCTACTCGCGAACTTGCCTGCGGTGACAACGATTATGGTCAGACCTGAGGAGACACACACACTGGCTCTCATAGAATATCTTCGCGTTCACTTGGTAGTCGGGCGGCGGGTTCTCTCCACGATCATCTTCGACGCCGAGTACGTGAATAGGTCCAGCATTGAAATTACGCAGGGGAACATTGCCCCATCATCGACTGTCAACTCTTTCGCTCGTCAAAATGTCATGCAGACGCTGCTACTATGCGCAGATGCTGCCCGCGCAGGCATGCCGCTGGACGTGATCGAAATCTTCAATGAGCCGCAGGATCCAACACAGCGTCTCATCCAATCTTCACAAATGACCGACTGGAGTGAGCTATACGAGTACCTTGAAGAGGGTTTTGTATACGAGGGAGTCTTGCATAGTAGTAAACCTGAACACGACGGTGCAGAGCGAGACCTATTCACGAATGTGGACTCTTGAGAATGCTACAGTAGTGCTAGCTTCAGTATGTACAGGTTGAGAACAACGGCTTATACTGTGATATGATTTGATCGTTATCCACCAGGAATGATGATGCTAGCATTGAGCGCTGAGCGGCTATTGCACGCGGCGGCCACTCGGGCCGCCATTCGCATCCTACTTAAGCTCATGCAACGCGGATGGGCACCGTGACCCACGCAAACTTGCACCTTGACCACCACCATTGACCACTATGGACACACATGTACTCGTCGAACTGCTTCGCGACGGTCCCAACGAGGAGCTGATACGTACCGCCGGGGATGCGGGTCAGGACCCCAAGGGCATCGTGCCGTTGCTCGACGCAGAGTTGAAGCGCAGCGCCTCACGTCTCCAGCGTCTAAAGGAGTACAGAAATAGGCTCATGTCCCCGATGTACCGCCTAGAACCGGAACTCCTTTCCAGGATCATGTTTATCTATGCACGCGATAACGACGAGCTCTACAACCTGCGATGGACGAGGTTGATCTTCGTCTGCCGACGCTGGCATGATGTGGCGACGCACGCGTTGAAGCTTTGGAGCTTCATTGAAGTCGTCGCGCCCGATACAGTCAAATCACTCACGAGAGCACCACAAGAGCTCTACGCCAGAGATATCGGGCGCGTGGGGAGTCAGCGCTCACGCGCAGCACATTCGCCCTTGTCCGTCAAGATGTCCGCGGCGGATGCGGACCTTTACGAAGGGAAGACGACTTTCATGTCGATGTTCAATTGGTATCCCTCCTCACTATCATCCCTCATCTTGACGGCCAAGGCCGGATACGTCGAGCCGATTGCCCGCATGCTTGCTACCCATAGACATGACATCCTTACGAACCTTAAGGTACGCTGTGGAGACTGCACAGTCGCTGAGCTGGCTACATTGCGCTTGTCGTTCGACGTCGCATTCCAAGATAACCTACCTCAGCTTTCACATCTGACAATCGACATCACGTTTGACTGGGCCCTGCTGCGCGGGCTGCGTACTCTCCGAGTCCTATTCAGCAACTATAGGGACGATAGGGCAGCGTTGTCATTAACCTTCACACTCCGGGACATTGTCGATGCTCTGGCACGTTGCCCTCTTCTAGAACATCTAGAAATACGTCTGCCGCATGGCTTTGCGCACAATGCCACCTCTGCCGTCTTTCCCGTCTCATTACCATATCTTGATACGGCCTTCATTCAAGCTGCACTCAGCGTGTGCAGCGAGTTCCTCGGGGCACTCTCCGGCTCACCCAGCACAGCCAAGATGTCTGTTAATGCAACCAGTCCCTCGGATGATCTCTCTACGTTATCCAGACTGTCCTCTTTCTTGAGCACCCATGCGTCGAATGAGGGGGCGCCGGTCATCCGGTCGCTTGTCATGGCTAGACAATCCCGTCTAGGCGCTCTCGGGGCCCAGCGGACGTCGATATTGACCATTATTGGTCGTACGAGTACGACGCGTCTGGATGGCAGAACAGCAATGCCGCTGTCTTCCTGGTCCGTCGAGAGAGCGTACACAACATCCTCTCATATCGGTTTCGAGGCCAAGATAGCCGATTCGCTTACTGAATTGCAGGCCTTGACGAATACGCTACGAAGCTGGCCGCTCTCGCAAGTCACACATCTGGACTTGCGGTCGATGAGTCCCGCTCAAAACCCCTTGTACATCATCCTCGATGAGGTTCCTGCGGTGACATCGGTCGTTGTCAGACCAAATTCTTCAGCCGCACGCGAGCTCATCGAGTACCTACGATCGCAATTGCGAGAATATGGGCGACGCGTACTCGCTCGTATCGCATTTGACGCTAGCAGTGTGAGAGACACGCAGGCTGGAGATCTGGCTGGCTTGTTAGCAAATCCTCTGTTGCCATCTACCGCGACGGCACGAGAGACCGTGATGCGCATGTTGCTATATTGCAGAGAGGCTGCCACTGCGGGCGTAGCGATGGACGTAATCGAGCTCTACGACGAGCCAAAGTTGAATACGAGGCATCGCTTGATGGATCCCGAGGAGGAGATCGACTGGAGTGAATTGTATAGCGATCTTCGTTATGGATTTGTGTATGAAGGTGTTCTGCACAGTGGCAATCCGGAGTATGATGGTAGAAGATGGGACTCGTTCAAGCGCGATGGTGACATGTAGTTCGGTGGAAAATACTGCTTTGTTGTACCTGTACTTTTATGTAAAGTACGGCCATTAGCGGCCGCAGTCACTCTGTGTTATGATGATACTCTCAGGAAAGAGGATATTCAGAAGAAGGACAGATTTGCAGAACATGCTGAATCCAGGTCGAGGGACGTGGTGGCTCCGCGTGCCACACCGATCGTGGCGCAAGGCACCCGCCGCCGCAAGGTCTCGGCCTCACCGCCTCGAGGCCGACTATAGCAACTCGAACCACCACCAACGTCAGTGCGTGTATCCTCGGGTCACAGCAGCGCCGGGCATTTGTGCATCTGAGGCAACGAACATCCTCTCGGTACAGGCCCATAGCCGGTCGGTACTTTGGCACCCCAGTTCGCCGCTGATTCGCCTTTGTGCTCCTCGCACATATGTACGGCAGACGTCCGCGGATCGTGCATGCATGCTCGCAACTCGCGGCGTCAAACTCCCGGAGGCACGTCGTCCAAATCAAGGCATCACTGTGCCGGGCGGATATAGCCGACTGGATAACAGGCAGCGACGATCCTGCGGCCACGATGCTGAGCGCTATGCGTGCACTGTATCGATGTTGCGAACCGCAGTAAATTTAAGCTTGCAGTGACCCTGTACTGAATCTGGGCGTAAACAGGCCTAGCTTGGGCCACACGGACACATGGATGTGGAACGTCGAAACGTCAGAAACTGGGCGCGTTGCGACACGCTGGAACGTGCCGCGGACGACGTTGAGAAACGCGAAGAGAAAAAGAACGGGCTGTTGCTACTGCGGCTGGGAAGTGAAAGCGACGATATGTACCGATGGTACGCTCGTATCATACAGCTCATGCCCGTACGCGGCCAGGCAAAGCCGAGTGTAGGAACGGGCGCCGGACAAGGATAGCCCACGGCGAGGCCGCCGCACCTTGCCCGCGCGGTCTTCTCGCTCGTTTGTTTCGACCTTCTCGCGCGGGCGAATCGCGCCAAGCTTCAGAAGAGATGGGTGCGGCGTCTAGCCTATAGGATGAGAAGCGGAGGGCGCGTATACAGGCCGCGGCCCGCTTGTGCCCGTTTGAGAGCACGCGGTGGTGTGACGGTGAAAATCATGATGGACGCTGGGAGCATGTCAACGAGCAGATGGAGTGCGCCCGGGGAGGTCTGATTTCAGGGCAAGCGCCTGGGCCGAAAGCGGGAGTGATAGCTGCAAAGAGAAAGGAATCCGATAGCGGCACGTATGTGTAGAGACAACGGGGGAATCGCGGAACGTATATCGCAGGGCCAGTGCCTCGCGAGGGAACGGAAGGCTCTCGAATGCCGTTCATTTTGGAAAATCATACTATAATGACGAATGGCGCGGGAGTCGGGGCGCAGGCACTGTGCTGAAAGGAACGAATATATTCATAGAGAGTTGTAGCGTGACAGAATCAAGTGTCAGCGCCAGGAGAGGGTAGCCCATAAGGAAAGTGGAGAGCTGAAAGAAGGATGACGGAGGTGCCTACGGAGGAGGGAGAAGATCTGGCCAAACTGTGGGAAAGAGAAGGAAATGATGATGGGCTCTTGGGCGGGGCGTTAGGGCCTTGTGCCGACCGACGTCGACGTGCTGCCTCTGTCTGTCCCTCGCACTCTCCCTGCCGCCCTCGCCGCCGCCGACAGCGAGCACGTGGCCTTGGTATACCCCTCGCGCGGAGCAGAAGTGGAGAAATTAATTGGAGGATGCCCAGTTGAACATCCCGGGAAACTCCCACAAACATATCCAGAAGTGCTCCACCCGACGACAGCGCCGCTTCCTGTCTTTCCTCTCGCCCTGTACTATGCCACAACCACCACACCCGACAATCACCCCAAAGCCGACGCCGCCGAGACGAAAGCGACGGAAGACGGCCTCTCACGAGCGAACCGACTTTGATGCCCAACTCTTCCGTCGCCAGGGCATCTTTGACCAGTCTGCAGTCGGTGCGTACACTATATTCAATATATCTGTCGCTGGGAGGTGGACGAAATGGCTGGAATATATTCGGATGTCTCGCTTTGCGGTATCGGGCGATAGACGGCGGGCCGCTCACACCGCTCCTTCTCACAGCCGATGCCGAAGCACTCTGCGCCAACACCGGCAACGACGTCGTCTCCTGCTTCCCCACCGCAGACGCGACCATTCCCCAGCATGAGCTCGCCATCTTTGTCTGTACGTCACAACCCCTCCTCCTATCTCCATTCCAGTGTTCTAACATTGGCTATAGGGAACAGCAGGAGACCACAATTGACGCAGACAAATAAAGTCAACATTTACATGTTTCGCGTCGGCGAAAGCGAACCCCTCCTGCAGTGGCTCGACCACGATAACCCGACAAACGGCGATGCGGGCACGGTCGCCGCTACTGTGAACGACACGTGGTTCCCCAACTCGGGCCTGAACTGGTCGGGCAGCAACCAGACGAGCCCGTACTACTTTGTGCTCACCCGCAACGACGCTGAACTCGACGGCTCGATCCAGCCTCAGTCGACGTTCACCGCAGTTCGTGAGTTCATGTTGCCCGTCATTTTGACTTTTCCGGAAGGGCTGATCGGTTCTTCGCAGAAACAACAATTGCGGACGCGGTCTCGTCATCCCTCGCATCCGTCTCTTCAGCCTCGACTGCGTCTTTGGCCTCGATTACCAATTCCGCGTCCCGCTCTGCGGCTTCGGCCTCTCTGTCGTCCGTATCGGCCCAGTCGACCGCCTCTGTCGCATCCGTATCATCAGCCTCGGTGGCCTCCGTATCCGGTAGCGGAGCGGCTGCGACTTCAACATCCACGGCAGGCGCAAGTGGCAGCGACCCGAATGGTGGCGTTCAGAGGGATGGAGGATCCAACTTTCCACACTGGGCCATCGCCGTCATCGTCGTTCTGGGCTTCCTCGCGATCGTCGCCATTGGCATCCTCATCTTCCTCATCATGCGCCGGATACGTCAACGCAGGGCGTACGCGGCCAACTCCCGCAACAGCATGGGCTCCTCTTCACCCATGATCCCAGCTGTTGTCGGCGCTGCCGGTACCCGCAACGGTGAACCACAGAGCCCGCAAATGGAGGAACGTGGTGCCGGGTTGTATGATCCTGCAGCGGCTGCTTCAGTGCACAGTCCGCAGCACGACGACGCGTCTCTTGCCAGCCATTCACATAGCGGAGCGCACAGCATGAACGATCCTGGCCTGTTCTCCGGCGCGGATGCAGCGATCATGGCGGACGCCTTCCGGAAGGTGCTGCGGAAACCGGACTTCGCAGGGCGCCCAATCGAGGAAGGTGATAGCCCGGATAGTCAGGAAGCGCCGGCGAGTGGGGAGGGCCCGGCGGGCACGAACCGGTTGATGAACTGGGAGCTCGCAGAGGAGGGGCGGGATATCCGGAGTGTCGGGAGCAGCCGCGGTGTGCACGTAGAGACGCACAGTAACGCGGACGATGCGAGCACGATACATTGAGCGTCGTGTAACGCGTGTGTCTGTCCGCTGCTTTCTTCCGTCCGCCTCGGGATTTCTCGCTTTTGGGCTCCTGGTGTCTTCTTGCCGTTTTTTGTACCCCGTCTGGTGTCCGATCCGACCTACCTACGTAGTACGTACTCACCGTATTGTTTATCACCTAGTTCAACCCACCTCGCTTTTCTTACGCTCCCATTCATCTACACCCGCCCTTTATTTTTAGCGTGACCACACCCCTCGCGCTCCGCTCCTTCCTCCCGCCCGTCGTCTCGACCATATCCCCGGCCTAGGTCCGCCACCCCACCCGCCTCGTTTTCGCTTAGTCCTAGCTGAGATCTATGTTACATTCCGCCCCCGTCGCTTCCCACTACCCCCTCCCCTTCAGACATCTTTCTCCCATCTCTCTGCCTTCGTGGACAGCCACCCATTTTTCTTCCGAACCCTCTTCCTCCTCCATCCTACAGCTGCTATCGATGTTTATTTCGCAGTCGTTCCACACAAAGTCGCGTTCGATTTCACCTTGGCCTCTCGTCGTATGCCTCTGCCTGCGTTGTTCATCTTTTTGTCCGTACGTGTTATCGTCAGCCAGTTATCAGCAGAATACTGTCACGCAGCCTAGCTAGTCTCCCTGCTCCCATCTTCCCCTTGCCCTACATCACGCCTGTACATGGCATAAACCAACTCGTGCGCCCTCGGCGGCGGCGCGCGCCCCACGCTCGTTTATATCCGACCTATGTCACTCCTTTTTCCACCATTTGACACCCATATGTTCATCGACATCGCGCGTGGCGCAGTATCTTCTCCATTCTCGAATCTCGGTCTCACCTCAATCACTCGGACTTGTTGCATACCCTCTCATCGATCATCTTCATCTCTGCTTATTGCTGTATGTACGAGTCATGTCTGGCTACTGGACGTTTACGCGTTTACGGCCGTGAACGATCGTCGATGACGGAGCGCCTTTGCTATGACATCCACAAGTCCTTTCATGCTCCCTTCGCCTATGAAGCAACTTTCATATCATTGAGTCCTAGTTCTCCTTCACGTCATACGCGCCGTTTGAAGGTTAGCGGAACGCTCACGGCTCTGGCCGAATAGTAAACACCGATTGATTCGCACTGGATGCAATCAGGAATACGCACGTCATGCTGATGCCGTTCTTGACATCGAGCAAGCGCGCTTTGCGCTGCTCGCGTGTCTCTCCGGCGTACTTCGGGTCTGCCTTAACACTTATCTGATATTGCGACACGAGCATGATGATGACAGCGACTTCTTCGCTCTCGGCAAAACGTCGCCCTATGCAGGCTCGAGGACCTGTCGCACCAGTGAGACATTTTTACCACGGTGAATGATCGATAGCTTACCTCCGCTGAATGGCAGAAAGGCGTCCTTCTTATAGTCGCCAAGGAATCTCTCGGGGATGAACTCGTTCGGGTTCTCCCAGTAGCGCGCTGAGAGGGCAGAACGTCAGCACCAAAGTTTAACGAACTGCAATAATACAACTCACGATTGTGGTGAAGGCCAGAGACATGAATGTTGACCGGCATGCCCTTGGGAACGGGTATTGTCCTCGTGTTTCCCTGCGCATCTTTGACGTTCATGTTGGTGTCTTCCGCACTACATTTGAGGATCATGTTGACAGGCGGTCTATAGATGTCGTTGTAAGTGGAAGCGACTCTCACGGCTGCGATCGGATGTATGCAGGCTTACCGGATTCGCAGAGTCTCGTAGAACACGCTGAGGTTAGATGATGTCATGAGGTACAGGTTATGAAAGAAGGCCCGCACGCTAAAGCATAGGTGAAGAGAGGCATGTCTTCATATTCCTGGTGGATGCAGGGTCAGCCCGTTCAGATGATCACTCCTTGATCACTCCCACCGGACGGTGACCTAAGCTGGCCATCACACTTCGCGTTTGCAGGAAGAGTTTCTCCTGCTTCTCAGGATATAAAGCTAAGAGAGCGAAGCAGAACGCGAGGGTGTTTGCTGTAGTCTGGGCCCCGTAAGCTCAAGACGATCTCTGAGAAGAAACGGCATCCGTACTTCATGTCCGGCGAGTAAGAACACAAAGATGTTGCCTGGCATGTTGTTAACTGCGTGCAAATCCATATAAGGCTTAAACTTTGGCCATACCGATAAGTTCAGAGTCACCAAGCCTCGATACTCCTTCGAAGTCCCCGTTGGCCGCATCCAGAAGGCTGCTAAAGAGGTCATGATGCCCTTCCGTTGCACCTGCATGCTTTCTAGTGTATATCATCTCCAGCATATACTTCTATTCGTGGGACGTATCAGCGTGGTATGGCCATGTCCAATGAATGATGCACTACCTCTAGCTCAGAAAAGGCTTGGTCGACCTCGCGGAGCCGGCGGCTGAAGCCCATCAGGCGGTTTGGAACGGCCAGCTTGATGAACACGTTCTCTGACACGATACGAAGCGCATCCTTGAAGCCTATTCGGAATCCAGACGGGACCTCGGTCTCCTCGGTGAACGACATGTGTCGACCAAATGCTATTGCATGCGTCAGACTCCCATTACCCCGTATGCATTGAGCCTTCTCACCTGCTGCACTGATGACGAACAGTGTTATCTGAGATTGTCAGTCTCGACACACCTCCCAAGGGTAAAGAAGCGGAACATACCTGCACGGTGAGTTCTAGGACATGGTCGGTGGATAGAGTGTCTGCTCTTTTCCAGACACCATCGATGAGTTCAAGGACCACTCGCACGCTCTCATCCCAGACCAGTTTGTTGTTCCGCTGGGCGATATCTCCGTCAGAAGCGCCAGAACCTCCTTCGGTGATTGAGACTCACTTCGGAGAACGCGGGCGCGCAGATCTTTCGGTGTCGTTTCCATTCCTGAGTGAAGGCCACGTCAATGAACGAGGTTTCGAGGCGATGGAACACACCTCTCCTTCTGTAGCTACAATGTTCCCGCCGAAGAACGAAACGACCTGTAGACTCAAGGATGAGTGCAATGATGACAGAGGACGCGCGTGAAGTGCACTTCATAGTTCTTCAAGGGTTTAGGGAAGCGAGCACGGTGAGTAGTGATCTCCTGCAAGAGGATGAGCTCGACTTCAAGACCGAGCATTCGCCAACTCATACTTTGATAGCATCCGGATCGGCAACAAATAGCATGGCGCCCGCATTTGGCCATACATGCTTCTACTCAAGGTATCGGCGAACGAAGTCGTGGAAAGGCGAGGGAACGCGTACGAGTGCGAAGGCATCGTAACCAGCAGATATGAAGTCTGACGATATCCATGAGTCGCCATATCAGCGGGGTCGAACGGACATAACGCGCACCAGCATATCCCAATTCGGTCTCCCGTGTATTCCCTTTTGCAATGAGTGGGATTCGTGGCAAGACGTTGCTGAGAGCGGTGAACGGCTCTATTAATACGAGGGGTCCAGGCAAGTCTCTGATGAGATATGGTAGCAATGAAAGACATCCGGATGCCAAGGGTCGCATACCCAACGGATCGGGATGCCTGCGTCAACTTCGACCATAGGCGAGCCAGACATATCGCGACGGTAGCGTACACGAGAAGACTTGCAGTGCTCATATGTAGGGTCTAACAGACGTGGCGGCAGTGCTATTGAGGTCGGAGTAAATGCCAGTATTTCAAGTGGGTGGTCTCGAACTGGAGATGCCGGTGCGAGTCGCAGGACGTAAGGGACCACGATGTCAACTGAGGATCCAACGAGCGACTTCCATCCTGGATCAGTCGAGAATCACGCCTACAAGTTCTGGAGTACGGCAATAGATATATGGAGCAATCAGAGCTCATATTCACTAGGCCCGGGCAACACGAGCACCTCGTTTACAGTACAGTGCGAGACGTGGACGCGGAAAGCAACGCGGCGAACTTCGATGGCGCGCGTCTTGATGACGTTCTCACGGCCACTCATTTCCCAACATGCAGGCGCTCTCTCTTGAGAAGCTGGGAGCAATATTCATCAAGTCTTGCTGCATTCGCTACGCTCAATCGTAATGAGAGACAGTGTTATCGAGTTGGAACGCCAGACCTCCCGCTGTACAACGTCGTCCGACGGCAGTCCCCGACTGGCACTCAATCCCAAGCGTCTCGCTATCGGTCCTTGCGGGTCCGACGTACCCGAGTTTCAGCTTGCGAAAGTTCCTCGACAGGAAACACCGGCGAGGACGGACGGGGTCTGTCCGATTTACTGCTCGATACGCACTGACTCAGTGACTGTCGGAGTCTACGCGTCATGTCACCGTCACCGTCACACGTCTATCAGACCACACAGCGAAGAATACGTGATACGCAGACAACGTCTACTATTTCGGAGGCGGTTTCCGCCCGGGAAGTAGTTTCCGCCCCTCCCAGTGTAGCTTATGTTGAACAACGATCTCGCGTCCTACCGTCGTGAAACTTTTACACAGTAGCAATGGATATATTCTCTGTACTCAACAAAAGTTTGGAAGCAGGATATCGAGTAGTACTGCCTGTGATTTTCGCCCAAGTGCTCAACCTGGGTGTAAATAAGTTCTTTTGCGCTCGGCCAAAGTGAGCGATGCTCTCCTTGACCCAAAAATATTCCCCAACAGCCATAGACGCCTAATTAAGCCATCGCCAGTACTCCGGTAGTACTCCGAGGGTGGTAACTCGTACGGTGTAGCAGACGATGGCAGCGGGCTTGAGCAAACCGTGCGAGTGTGACGGAGAACACTGATCGCTGGTCGGCCCGAGCAGAGCAAATGGCGCGGGCGGGCGGGCCAGCTCGTCACGAACGACCTCGTTTCGTGACCAGGAACGCCAAGNCTGCCTTTTATGTCAAACGTACAGCTCACAAAACGGCAGGGGCGGAAACTACTTCCATGCGGGGCGGAAACCGCCTCCGAAATGTAGCAGTGTTGCGACGGTCATTGAGTCACGAGAAGTCATGACCGGTCAGTGCCGCGGGCATAACCGTGAGTCAATGACCTTGACCATCGCCCGTCGAGAGGTGACGCTCATGTAAAGGGGCGGAAATTGCTAGATGCACCCCGGCGCGTTTCGGCGAATGCCGGCCGCGGACACTCTCAGCCCTTTCGCCACAAATGGTACAGTTGCGCGCGCAGCGGCGTGCCTATCAAAGTCAACGCGGGCATGACTGGTCATGACCAGACACGGTCATGCCCGTGGGAGATGACCGTGACCGAACTGACGTCGGTCATGACCACGCAACACTGCAATATAGTGATAATTTCTCTCATCGTGGGGCAGGCCGGCTGCAGATCCTACCCTTCTCTTTGCGAATGCGATTGAATGTTGTAGGGTTGCGGGAGCGGGGCGAACCAGATCATTTCCTTCGCAGTCTCTGTGACACGTGTCGTCGGACGAGGGCGGAGCGCGGCGGGCCGCGTCGTCGCCCAACCCAACCTCTCCTCGCACCTCCCGGTTTCGCGACTCCACAGGTATCCTTGGAGCACCTCTCTCGTACGCTGAAAGTACATGGATGGGTGGAAGGGACAGGAGGGGGGGGGGAGCAGAACTAGCAGACTCAAGTTGATCTCGCGGGTGATGAGTGCAGCCCGGACGCGTAAGGTAGACCAAAACGTCATGATGACTGTCACTGTCAGTGACCAGGAACAGACTCTGAACATATTCTTCTGATATTAACATTGCTAAGCTCGACGCTCAAGCTAGTGGAGCTACACGGGCAGTGATATCAGTACACGCATAAGTACAGTATCCTTCTAGAACCCGGAGTCCTCGCTATCTGAGTCGTGATAATCAGCGTTATATCGGTGGTCGCTGTTGTCTGTTGGGCCACTTGTGTCCCTTTGACCAAAGTGCCTGCACCCTTCCGAGTGAGCATCCTTCACATAGTGCTTCACCTTTATGGGGAGTACATCTCCAGCCAAGGTGCGAAGAGTGCTCTTGAGCAGAGTCAAGTCTTGTTTTTGGATATGGGATCCGCCGATCTGGACAAGGAGCCCAGGCGAGCGTTTGCGTAACAAAAGCGCATGCGCGAGTATGTCTCGCACAGTTTCACCACTCGACTTCTGTTCCTGCCACAATGCTGGGACTCTCGATGGTGGTGAGATAGGGTCCATTATATCTCCAAGATTGATTTCATCGAGCGTGAGCGTTGTCAGCGAAGGAAATGCTTTGGGGATTGTGGGTAGCGCTCCTAAGCCTTCGTCAGACGCAGGATAGTGGTGTAAGAGAAAGCGCGAAGAGGGCTTACGATCCTCCTCCAAGCCCAGGAGCATACACGCGCAAGCACAAAGAGATCTCCCGGTCAAGATGAGATTCGTTACGCTTCTTGCATCGCCGAACGCGGAGCAGATGGCGTCTTCTCCCCAACTCTGTACGATGTCGTCCGATATGTGGAGGTCCAACCGGGTGAGCGTGCTCATGGGGAGGGATGCAAGTAACCGAGGGATAGACCCATCGAATGCAACGACTTCCTCGGCGTCTATCGTGACTTTACATTCATGACGCAGCGGACCACCGTCGAGCTCTGCCGACAAATGAGATCGAAGAAGTCGGCCGCCAGAGTGTCGGTCGATGTCGAACGTCGCTGAAGTCCATCTGCGAGAGAGCCACTCAACGCCGAGCTCCGAACGTAGGCTTTCATATGCACTGTAGCCAGTTCCCTTCGTGCCGCTGCGGAATGAACGTTGAACAACGAGCGCGTCAGGCTGCTCGCTAAGACTGGCAACATCATCAGCTCAAGTAGAAGAAGAAAACTAGTGATAACACACCTAGAACTTGAGCGCCCCGAAGAGCCAGACCTTGCGAAAGCGGTGTATTGGGCTGCCATAGATGTCTATGCTGGTGGGGATATAAGTCGCTTTGTGGTGTGAGCGGGAGCGTAAAGCGAGTCGGATAGGGCGATGGTATACTACCGACGTAGATACTGAGGTGTTATATACTTCGGGATGGTTCATTGTAGTCTCGATAATCCTCCGGAGCACAATCGTCGTGCAGAAGGAGACAGAACGATGTCGATAGAGGAGCATAAACGACTCGGAATGGCAACGAATAACAAGGGTTGAAACCACTTGCGTCATGACAAATGCGCACAGCTTCGCACTGCAAACGTATCCATGCAGAACAAGGGCTTCTTGAAGAATAGACGGGATCCTCGGCAGTCGCACTGTTCCGATGCGACGAAGACAACCGCGCTCAAGACCTATGAAGCGCCCACGAGAAGAACGGCATGGACCAGCCCGTCGGACAGATATAGGATGCGTTGCGACAAGAGTTGAATCCATCGTGTGGCCCACGATCGTGCGGCCAGGAAACGGCGGTGGAGGTTGAAGACAAGCACCGTAGCGCGCGACCGAAGACTCCGGGAAGCGTCGGGCACCCGATCCGAACTTCCGACCTTAGGCCTTAGGCCTCGTCGCACTGAAACGTCCGTCCGATATCCTCTTTCACCTTCTCAACTTGGTTTCTTCTTCTCACAGGCTACTCTGATAGACGTTGAAGATGCCACCCATGCGCACGAAGCCCAATATTGTCACTGGACACATCTTCGGCACGGCCTACGCTCATTGATTCGACCTGGATCAACCCTCCGAGTCCATATCGAGAGGATATGCGTGCGACGATGATGCGGCGCTCAGTCTACGATATCTCATGCATCAAGTGCGCCACTTGCTACAGGTCTAGAACAGTCGATTCTGCAAGACCGAACGTCCCGAGATCATCTAGCGACCCTGTGGCGGCCATTTCCCCGGGATTAGTACTGCATGGCGTCGAATAAGGCTTTGACGATATCTCACGTACTCAGAAAATGCATCCTGATCTTACAAGTCGCGCTTCCGACGAGGTTGTCCCATAGTAAACCTGCAGTGGACATAAGTATAGGTGCACCACTATACTTTGCATTGATGCTTTCTCCGTAGACTCCAGACGCTCAGAGGCGTAGACACACGGCCATGAGTCCCTCGGAGGCTGGAAGAGGCGATCAATCCGGGGATCTACAGTCGTAACGCGTAAGACTTAGAGTGCGTGAGCGGCGATGGGTTGACATACAGGACAAGGACTACCCGAAAAGGACGATAGCGAGCTTGCGATCCGATTTGTTCGGCGCTCGAGCTCCTCGCTAACTCAATATGCCGATGGATTGCCAATCGCGATCCCCTAGTGGATCGGTGCGCTATGACGAAAGTCGCCTGGAAGAAAGGCGTACAGATCGGATGGGTAGTATCGGACATCTGCGTATTCAGATGATCTCCGCAGGATGGCAGATTCGCGGAAGACACATGCGCAGTGCCGCTGAGATGATGGCATCAAAACACGATGCTCACAGGTCGCGTATAAGGTTTTGAGTTGGGACAACCGTTCGCAGGGAATCCGAATAGCGAGTTGCATCAGCACTATTGCACACGACGGACGGGTTACGCGGAAGCACCGTGCGCTAGCTCTACATTGACTAGGGGACGTCAGAATTGAGGTGCGGCTGCCGCGGCAACCCGCTGCAGCTGCTGCAGCAGCTTACACGTGAGGGCCGCCGAGTCCGCGGGCTCGGACACCACGCGAGCCGCAGATGCCATCAATTATCAGCCTCCTCGCGCGCGCGCGCGCGGTTCGGTCTTGTCGTCACTTGTAAACTACCCAGTACCATATACGTTTCGGGCCCCACCCCATGCCTCGCGAGTCTATCAAGAATGAAGTCAACGAAGCCTTCCTGCTACACCAAATGCTTCGCAACACCCTCCTCCCACCCGACGAACTGAGTTTACCTGAGCTTATTCTCAAACTCGAAAATGAGAAGATTCTCTTCGAGGCTATCCAACGGACGAGAGTATGGAACCCGCGTGTATCCGAGCCTGTTCCGAAAGGAGGGACGATCCATCTGGCCTTCGAGTACGCCAAGAATCCAGAAGATTACTCGCGGTTTATTCAAATGCTTCGTATATCGCCCTATGCTTTCTGGGTAAATTCGAATTTATTGCTCTATACCATCTTCCATATTGATTGTGCATACAGGTCTTGGTAGACTTGATCAAAAAGAATCCCGTCTTTCATAATGGCTCCAATCATCCTCAAGCTCCAGTCGAATATCAGCTCGCCGTCACACTTTTCCGACTGGGACGATTCGGTAATGGAGCCTCGTTAGACGACATCGCACGAGAGGCGGGTGTTTGCACCGGCACGGTCCATGCATACACCGAGAGATGTTTCAAGGCCATTCTCTCGTTGCATGACATGTTTGTCCGCCCCCTAACAGAGGAGGAAAAGGAGAGGGAGAAGCGTTGGATCGACGAACAGATGGGGTTTAAGGGTGCCTGGAGAGATGGATGGGTTATGTACGATGGGACAATTGTCGTGTTGTATCAGCGACCTGGGTGGGATGGTGATGCGTACTACACCCGGAAATGTAATTCGGGTATGAACCTGCAGGTATATTCCTATCATTTTCGCCAATCGCGACGTGAGCTCACCAGGCCCATGCACAGGTCGGAAATGTTGGGTCAAACCTTCGTATTGTCGACTACTCGCACGGGCACACAGGATCTGCACACGATGCGTCTGCTTTCAAGGGTACCTGTGCTTATCTTCATCCTGACTGGTTCTTCAAGGTGAGTAACAATACCGTCAGATGTCCTGCATGTGGTCTGATATAGTATATACCAGCAAAATGAGTTCGCTTGGGTTGACAGCGCATATCCACTGTCAAGCCGGACCATTCCTGTGCACAAGCAGCCAGCTGCTGACGAGCGACAGAACCGGATTTTTGACCAGGCTGTGTCCCATCTTCGTGTGCGGTCCGAGCATTGTATGGGCGCACTCAAGGGCCGCTTTCAGTGCTTACGTGGCTTACGGGCCAACATTAACTCGCCACAGGACCATATCCAGGCTTGTCGCTGGATGACGGTCTGTATCATCCTCCATAACCTTATCATTGATGTTGATGGGGATGTGGGTCATGGATTCGATGGTGTACATGGCCCGACCAAAGAACGGGAGGACTTTGAAGTGGGTGGCGGGCTGCAGCGTGAGCCTGAGGTCGAAGAGGAATTTACTGACGATGAGGAAGCTGGTGAGGCTAAGCGTATCAAGCTGACTGCCGAGCTGCTTGAGTGGCGTATCTTGTCGCGAGGCTTAAACATAGATTAATAATGATGTTATTTTAACCACGAATTATGTGGTGGCAAACCTACTAAGTAAGACAGGGCAACAAACGGGTACGGTAGAGGTACGATATCAGAAGCAGTCCCAAAAAAATGAACAAGAAAGATCAAGAGATAACTATGCATAGCGAGTAGTCCAAATTATGCGGGAGTCCCGAATTCAGGTGGCGGAAACAAGCCATCACCATCAACATGCCAATCTGGGGACTCGTCACGGTCGTGGAGACCACCGGACGAGGAGAAACTACGGCCACAGCGAGAGGCGAGAGATGAAATCGACTTCGCCGGAGATACAGGGGCATGACGGCCCGAACGCGGACGACGCGGCGAAGCACGAGGTGACACGCGAGGTGTACGAGGTGTGCGAGTCGGTTTTGACCCGATACCAGTACGTTCACGATATTCTTCCTTGGTGATTAGGCCAGCTTTGAAAGCATCAAGTAGATTTCTATCTTCATCCAACTTGAGTCGCTTGCGCCTGTCTTCGCGTTCGTCGTCCAGTCGCTGGCGAACCAGCGCCAGAGTTTGCCTGTGAAAAAGATAAGTTAGTTATCTAAACCCTAAAAATGATTAAACCAATACGAACTCATTAGAATCTACGAAGGACTGCTGCCAGGTATTCGTACTGCCCCGTTTCCCCCCCGTAGATGCAACGGGTGTGATAGAGCCCTTTGCTGACTCCATAGCAATACGGAGACGATCTTGCGTCGCGGCCGCGGGGGTCGCGGGGGTTGCGGGGGTTGCGGGAGCCGGAACCGAGGTAGCCGGGGCGGGAGCGGGTTGAACGAGCGGCGGC